GTAAATTCAGAATTGGATGAACTAAATTGTCGCTGGTGAATGTATATTGGGTGTATTTGTAATTGTGAATAAAAGGGTGTATTGGTGTCTCATGGTACTGGGTTTTGGCTGGAAGAGCATCCGCTGCATAAAACATATGCTAAAATAGTTGGTGGTTTCTTCCACTGTGGCGACCCCTAATAAATAAGGGACTAAGCTAAAGGAAAATGAATGAATGAAATGCTATATCACAATATTTCCTATTAACCATGACAAAACACTGTTAAAACATTAAAATATTATCAAAATTGTCTTTTTGTTCTGTTACATATCACATATCATTATTAATTTGTTTTGTTGATTGAGCCAAAGAAAATTAACTAACAATAAAGTAAAACAAACTAAACATTTTATAAAACATTAATATATATATATTAAAATGACCAAAAAAACAGTGACAGCATGCACAGTATATAAGAATTTTTAAATCATCTGGAAGAAAACCCCTTTCCTCCCTATTCTCCTCCTTTTCCATAGATCGGGTGGCACGGCAGCCCAGTGGTTAGCACTATTAGCCCCACAGCAAGAACACTGCCGGCCCTGGTCCCTGTCAGGCCAGTGGGTGTTTCTGTCAGGAGTTTGTATATTCTCCCCGTGTCCGCATGGGTTTCCTCCGGGTTCTTTGGTTTCCTCCCACCATTCAAAGTTATACATATTGCATAATAGATTTAGCAAATCAGGCACTTGTCTAGCTCCCTACTTCTCAAGTGTTCCCTGAGCTACTGCAGCTGGGAAGTTTTTGGGGTCCAAACGGGAGGGAGCCCTGGGCTCGAGGATCTCTTGAGCTCAGGCCTCTCTCCTGAGACAGCATGCCAAACAAGCTTTTGATGGATATAAGCTTTTTGATTTTGATTTTCAAGAGTTGACATCAGCTAAGTGTGAACTCTTATTTATATATATATATATATATATATATATATATATATATCATATATATATGATGTTACCTACCATACAAAATTGAAAACTCATAAACACTCTAAAAAGGTATTTCATTGTAAATGACTCCCTCTTTAATTTACATCAGCAAAGACTCCAAAAACAATTGCCAGACTCTACATTCACAATAATCTAAACTAAACTGAGATGTTGACATTATATATCTTATGACGAAACATCTCTGACTTTCTCCCTACATGTCATGCCAAAAACCTGTAACTCTATACCACAAAATAGTGTGGACATACAGTAATAATCAAGAGTATGATAAATATATAAGTCGTCATAGTTTGAATAAATGCTTACAGAGACACAACGCTACTCTGCTGTTTCCAAAGCATGTATTCTCTGAAAATCCCCCTTGTGATTTAATCTGGCCTCCTCTCCTCCTTCTGTCATCATCACTCCACCTTTCACCCCTCTTAACCCACATCTGCCCCGCTCTAATTCAGTTGTCACAGAGCAGACATTTACCAGGCAGGATTACCAGACTTCCTGTAAGGGAAATGTGTGCGTAAAAGTATGAATGCATGTAAGTGAATGTGTGTATAAATATATGAATGAGTGGAGGAGATCGGGTGCTGAGGTCAAAACTTAAGAGGATTAGACTACTAGTCTTGTCTCTTTTCCAAGTTACATCAGTAGAAGTACATTCAAAAAATGACATTTGCTGTTTGTTTAAACTGCTTACATAAATTAAGCTGAAACAACACAATTTCTGAGTAACTTTTATGTTCAATTCACTTAAATGTGTAAAAACTGATGAGCTAACTTAATTCCTTCATGTTGTTCTTGCACAAATCACTTATGTAGAACCCTGCATTTTTTACAGTACAGTAAAAACAATCCCATTGTTGCATATTATGTCTAACAAAAACTACCAACAAAAATACTTTTATGTGTAGGAATAGGAAATATGTGCTTGTTCATTGTCACCCACATAGCAAAATATCTCTGGCCTAACTCTGGCTCACACAATCAGCTTTTACTTGGCCCACATGCCGTAGTGAATTACGGTACATGACTGGAACAAGTCTGGCTTTTAGACAAAGGCCAAACATGGACCATATCTTGGCCAAGTCTCAGGCAAGTTAATAATCCATAACTGGGCCTGAACTGGGCCATATATATTGGTGTGTCACGACTGCAATAAAATTGATAAACCCATAAAGCATTGCTCAAGATTTCAAATGTGGGTCAATTATTAACATCTGGCCCAAATACTACATTTTACATTTGGCCCAAGTATTGTGTGCCGCCTCAAAGACAATGCCACCTCTGCAAAACCAGGGCCATGTTTGGCCCACATGCTGTGTGCCAGATGTTTATAGACTGCTGTGCAGATTTGATCCTTTGGAGTTCGTCTGTCAGCAGTGATGGAAAGAGTACTAAAAAAAATCCAACGCAATCTCACGGCAGTTCGTAACTTTTTGATTTAGTGGCCAATTCGTTTGAAATTCATACAATTTACTACGATTTGCTCATCACCCAATGATGGTTAGGGGTGGGGTGCCACGCCTCCTTTTTAAAATCATACATTTTTGTACGACTAAATTCGTACGAATTCGTACAAATTAGTTCTACACTGACAAAATGTAAAATACTTACGGTTCCTCGTGAGATCAGGCAGAAAAAATCATACTCAAATAAAACTACCATTACTCAAAAATGTAGTTTAAGTAGAGTAAGCCCTTCTAAAAGTACTCAAGAGTAGTAAGTATTATGCTGGTGAAATCATTTCTCCTTATAGTCTTCGGTTTAAAAATGTAGCCTAAATTAGTGCCATTTTATTTTAAAGGGATAGTTGACCCAAAAATATATGTATATTTTTATTATTTACTCATTCATAATTGGTTTCAAATCTACTGGTTTCTTTTTTATGTTGAACACAAAAGATATTTTGAAGAAACCTGGAAACCTGTAACCATTGACTTCCATACACTGAAAAAAAAAGTGATTATTAAACTGAATGAACCAATTGCTTTAAAAGAAACAAGTTGACTTTAGAAAAATAATGTAAGTAAAGTCATTGTAACTTGAAACTGTTAAGTTGTCTTAATTTGTATAATTATGCAAATTGTGTTCACTTTGTTTTAAATAAAAGTGATCACTTTTTTCCAATACACATTTATAACACTTGTTTTTTTCCAGCTTTTCTGTATCTAGCAAAATGAGAGTGACGAAAATTAATCTGCTTTTCCAGACACCAGTGTGTCTTCTAAATTCAATACAGGCTATAATTGTAGATTTTATAGACTTAATGAAGCATCAAATATGTAATATTATAATAATTGCAGTAATTATTTGGAAAAAAAAGGCTAAAATAATCTGACACTGTCAAAAAGGATTAGTTGACTTTAAAAAGTGAGTACAATTTGCATAATTACAAAAATTAAGTCAGCTTAACAGTTTCAAGTTACAATGGGATTACTTACATTATATTTGTAAAGTCAACTTGTTTCTTTTAAGGCAATTGGTTTGCTCCCTTTAAGTAACTAATCACTTTTTTACAGTGTACTAGGAAAACATACTGTACTGTACTGTATGGAAGTCAGTGGTCACAGGTTTTTATCTTTCTTCAAAATATCTTCTTTTGTGTTCAAAAGTCAAACAGGTGTGAAACAAATAAAGGGAAAGTAAATGATAGCAGTAAATTCCAGTTATATTATTTGCTATACAAATTTAAAATGTGAGGTTAATTAAACCTGAGAACCAGCGCATTAATATATTCATCTATAAAAAGCCAACAGAATGTAAGCTGATGAGTTAATGTGCAGAGCAAAATCTGTGTAAACTGAAAATCTAAAAAATGGAGCACAAAAATTCAGCTTTGACCATATGTTAACATACATATATACTGTGAACCATGATTAACAAGTGTCCAGTAATTGTCGCTGCAAACCAAGCTTGTGCAGGACTGATAGAATACATGCAATTTGTGGATGATTGGACAATCTGGTGTCATGATTGTGTCAATGCTGTTTACATGATTGTGTCAAAGTACATTTGAAGGATTATCTGTTCATTCGACAGCCATATGTGCAACATCTCAGGGTGCATTCGGTCATATAAGACCAACTCAGTTTATATAGATCATTTTGAGGGATGTAAACAATAACAATGGTCCTAACGTATGTCCTATTTTACATTTTTTATTTCCATAGCTTCTGAGAATCCAAAAAGGTCCATGTATTGATAAATACTGTTATGACAGCTGTTTTAACATTAAGATGTGATTGAATTGGCTACAGTTTTGAAATAGTTTGATAACAAGCAGGAAATTTTCATGGGCCAGTGACATCCCAGTATTGAAATGGTCTTTAAGGTATTTCATATCATTAATCAAAAATATTGCCATTACAGAGGCAAATAACATTTACACAAGGGATATTTTAGAGTGACTTTACCAGCGTGCGATTGGCTCTTATATTAGGAGGCGGGACCTATTCCACCATATTGTGCGCATTGCACTTTTCTGCTGTAGTCTTTGCCATTAACATGCAATCATAACACTATACCTTGTTTTATAGTATCAAATAACTTAAATCAAATGTATGACCTATACTACATGTTACTATTATTAATGTTTTTAATTGATTTGATGTATTTCAAAAATGCTGTTCCACTTGGACTGCTAGTGACATAACAGTGGTAGTAATGGTTTCTAAAAAGCTACTGTATCTGACTGTCAAAAATGCTCAGTGGCATCTAAAATATGGGTTATTTTTGTTTAAGTGTGATGTTTAGGTTGCAAGCTGTAAGTTGTAATAATAATAATAATAATAATAATAATAATAAAAATAACAATAATAATAATAATAATAAATTATCTTCATATAAATATAATAATATAGCCAGCAGTCCAGGTAAAATAATTATATATTTCAGTGTTAAGTTTGACCAGTATTTCAGAGATATTTATTATTTTGCATAAGTCTCCATTTCTCTTTTTATTGTTTGCCTTTGCTGTGTGTTTATTTGATTGTGTGTGTTTTTTTTTTTTTTTTTTTTTTTTTTTGCAGGTCTGATTCTGCTGTTTTATCTGGCATTCTACATATTCCTGGCTGGATTGTTTACTCTCACCATGTACGTAATGCTGCAGACCCTCGATGACCACAGACCAACATACCAGGACAGACTTTCAACTCCAGGTAACACACACACACAAACACACACACTCATGCGCCTCTGTGTCTACATGCATATAATATGTGTTCCACTTGATCACTATATTAATTATAACCACAATAAATCTGTTTCTGCACACCTTTTACCATATTTAAATTGCAATGAAATGACCATTTACTATTTGGGCCATTAATCAACCTCTTTGACTTTCAAAAATATAATAAATGTAAGCAAGCAGACACTCATAGCCGCTGTCTGTTTCTTCTCCTCCTCTCTTTTGTTTATTTGATGTTTTGCAGGGATGATGATCAGACCTAAAGGAGAGCAGCTGGAGATTGCTTATACCACCGAGTACACAGAGACCTGGGAAAGATACGTGCAGGCTCTCAATAACTTCCTCTCACGTGCGTTTATTTAACAACCCTAATGCTGCATGTATTGCACAGTAAATATAGACATTAGGCATTTGATTAAAGCTACGGTATCTAACTTCTGGAAATCTAGTGGTTAATAAATGAAGAGCTTACAGGCAAAAATCTAAAATTTTTCTCCAAAATGAGCATTTTTATCAGGCTCTTGTGTGTATCCCAATTCATCCCAAAGAAAAGAAGTCCTTTTCCTGGTCTTTAAAGTAAAATATTTCAACATAAACAAAACAAGCTGAGAAAGTTTTTTATTTTTGATGGAAATTTCAGATGGTTTTTGCATCTGAACTCTTCGAATATAAATATGCTTCTTGCTAATTCTGTTATATGAAGAGTCAAGCATGATCTGAGCTCCTTGGATCCAACAGATCTTAAAAATACTCTAAATATAGACACTTAATATAGGCTCACTGTAAACTGAAACACATGAAGCTTTGGAAGATGGACTGAAGATGTACTCGTGTTTGTCGATTTGAAATGATTGTGTAGCAGAAGTTTGCACAAAGTCATGTCCTTTTGTTTCTTTTGTGCAGCCTACAACGACACAGTCCAGACACAGAAGAACTATGAGTGTAAACCGGATCAGTTTTTCATCCAGGAGGACAGCGGCGGTTTGAAGAACTTTCCCAAACGTTCCTGCCAGTTCAAGCGCTCTATACTGGAGAAATGCTCAGGGATCACGGATCGCTTCTATGGTTACGATGAAGGCAAACCCTGCATCATCATCAAGCTCAACCGTGTAAGATGAGAAACACCATAGAGACTCAGAAACATATCAATCTATATCCGAAAAGTTAAAAGGGTTAGGTATATTTAGAGTTTTCAGTCACAGGGATGGTGTGAACAACTGGAGGGCAAAACGTTCACAGGATTGTCATAAAATCCAGTGACGTTTCGATTTGTTTAAAGCTACAGATATTTATATTACTCTACAAAAATATTGTAAACAAAGAGACGTAAACACACAGACAGAAGGTTTTGGCTACTTGTGCGCCATCTAGAGAGCCAGTATTTCAATCACTAGAAACTGAGACATTCAAAAGCACTTAAAAGTGACATTCAATTCATTTCATCTTTAGCGCTTTTACAATGTAGATTGTGTCAAAGCAGCTTAACATAGAAGTTCTAGTAAATTGAAACTGTCAGTCCAGTTTTTAGAGTTGAAGTTCAGTTTAGTTCAGATCAGTGTGGTTTAAACACTGAAGAGCAAGTCTATTGATGCGAAGCTCCACGAGTCCAAGCATTGCTTAATGTATTAAGACATTATCATGTTAAATATTAAATTTAATACACTTCTTACGGATGAAGCATACAGGCAAACAGATGAACCCACAATATTTTTATGGTCTTTGTGAACAGGAAGTTGCTGGATTTTTATTTCAGTATGATGATGTATTTTTTACTGAAATGGAATATTGAGTTGGGGGCAGGGTTTTACTTACAGTAAACTAATAGTTAGAGGGTTGTGGCTAAGCATATTTCGCCCAAGCTGTCATCAGAGAAGGACAGCCATTCCAGAGTGAAAGCAAAGGATGAATTTTGATTACAGATTACCAACAGTCAGTTGCCGGCAGTTAGCTCTCTGCAACTCTCACATGGTCGCCCACTGAAGCTAAGCAGGGCTGCGCCCGGTCAGTACCTAGATAGGAGACCACATGGGAAAGCTAGGTTGCTGCCGGAAGTGGTGTTAGTGAGGCCAGCAGGGGGCTCTCAACCTGTGGTCTGTGTGGGTCCTAATGCCTAGTATAGTGACGGGGACTCAATACTGCTCATTGAGCGCTGTCTTTCGGATGAGACGTTAAACCGAGGTCCCGACTCTCTGTGGTCCTTAAAAGTCCCAGGATGTTCTTTGAAAAAGAGTAAGGCTTTTACCCCAGCATCCTGGCCAAATCTGCCCACTGGCCTCTGTCCATCACGGCCCTATAACCATCCCCAAATCATAATTGGCAAATCATCACTCTTTCTCCCCTCCACCAATCGGCTGTTGTGTGTTGTGCAGTCTAGCCGCTGCATTAATAAGCTCAACAGAAACATATGTGATTGCTTATAGGGTTCATTGATGCAAAGAAAAAAAAATAAAGTGCAAAAATAAATCTGATGCATATCTAAATTTAATAGCTCTAAATATATATATATGTATATATATATATATATATATATACATATATATATATATATATATATATATATATATATATATATATATATATATATATATATATATGTATATATATATATATATATATATATATATATATATGGGCCTTTTTTGTAGCATTTCTTGCCACCATCACCTGTTACCCTCCAACTGTGGTTCATATTTTTATTTTCATATATTATTCAGCTTTCACGTCACATAAAAACTAAATAATAGACAACAGTCAAATGACAGGTAAACCCATTAGTTCACCCAAAAATGAAAATTATGTTTTTAATTCCTCACCCTCATGTAATTTCGATCCACTGAGACTATTGCTTATCTTGAAAAACATAAACATGGAATTTTTAGATGAAATCCGAGAGCTCTCTCGTCCACTATTGACTGCAAATGTACCGAGATGTTCAAAGTCCATAAAAGAAACCAGAAAGACTGTCAAAACATTCTGTGAAACGTCAAGGCTTTATTGATTAACATTTGACCTGAAATCACAGAATCAGAGACCTCTTTAGGATGAATAATTCATCAGAGTTGCTTTGGCTTTCAATTAAGACCCAATTTGGCCTTTTTATCTCTCTCCATTTATTGTCTGTGTGTCTCCCTCTCTCATTTCAATCTCAAATCTTTCAATCTCTTTCTTTTTTCTTTCTTTTTTTGCAGGTGATCGGTCTGTTGCCTGCTAAGGACGGTCAGCCTCCTTATGTCACGTGTGGTGCGAAGGTAAGAGCGCTCGGTTTCAGTCATCCACCGTTCTTCTTATCCTTCAGTCTTTCAGAAAGGGATTGATTTCAGGTTAAAGTTGCATGAGCCATTCAACAAGACTGCTGGAGTCAATTAGCTGGTAATCAGACCTGCAGCCGGCTTCGCAGAAAAGCTTCCACGACCGGCTATGAGCTGAAGATTCACATGCAAACAGATGAGATAAAGCTGAGATAAAAAGTTGAATAAGTCCAATAACATCAGTCAAGTCAACAAGTGTTGTTTTTAGTACTTGAGTGAATTAAGTATTAAAAGTGAATGAATTCATTTAAATGGTTGTTTCTAGCTAAATATAATGCTCAGTATTATCAGGTAACAAACTTTCATCTTTATTTCGTTAATTTTTCTTCCATTCAAGTCAAGTTGAGCTTGATTGTCATTCCACTTGGACATACAGTGAAATGAAATGCCATGTTTTGCAGGATTACGGTGCTACAAAAATAAATATAACCATAAATATGAACACAACACTGGACGTAAGAGCTATCTTAAGCCTATACTAACCTACTGGAGCAATAATCAAAACTACACTATACTATAAATATGAACACAACACTGGAAAAAAGAGCTATCTTAAACCTATACATAACTAACCTACTGAAGCAATAATCTGTACTAAACTAACAACTAACTATGCAACTAGTAATTTAGTAAACTAACAGGTAATTACTCAATTACAACCTAATACAGACTATACAGCAGTTTCCCGGAGTGTTCTCAGTTGTGTATCCCTAAAACAGGTTTATGTGTGTGTTGGCTGGATATCAAGCAGTGGTTTAAGGCATTGATGCCATTTAGCCTTGTGCAGAAAAGTTTCTCAATCCAGTTCTCTGATCAATCACAGTTTACGCTTCCATGCTTTTACCTTCCTCTAATGATTTCATACCCTGACCCACCATTTCCCCATCTGTATTCTTCCTTTTTTGTTGTTGTTGTTGTTGTTGTCATATCATTGTTGTTTTCAGTGTTGTTTCAGTGTTTGTTCAAAATGTATTGTTTACACCATTGCTCATCATCTCCATTCATGTTTCATTTGTTTTGTTTTTTGTGTCTCATCTGTTCTCCCCTTCATTCTTGTCAGAAATACAAAGTTGGGAAAGATGAGTGGGTAAGAATAATCTAGACGGAATCAAGAATAATCATTTTTTTAATGCAAAACATTTGCAATATAGTTTATGCAACAGCTTTGATATTCTGTAGTGTGAAGCAAACTTCATTTTATCAAGCTGATTTGTGCCCCTGGACCACAAAACTAGTCATAAGTGTCCAAGAGATAATCTTGTATTGATGTATAGCAGGCATTCTCAAACTCTGTCCTGGATTAGATTAGATTGGATTAGAATATCTTTATTGTCCCCGAAGGGCAATTAGGTTTACAACAATAGCCTACAGTTGACAGCAACAAGTCACACTCCACCACATAACATAACAGTAAACAATACAATAATCACTTAAAGCTTGTTTAGTAACCCAACTACAGTTGGATCAAATGCCTGATGGCAAGAGGTAAAACTTTAAATAAAGTGGGTGGTTCTCATCTGCTCAAGTGGACATAGCCTTCTTTATGACTCTCTCCTCATACACTTGTCCAATATTGTTTAGATTTATGCCCAAAATCTTTTGAGATTGATGAACAATTTTGAAAGTCTGTACACTGTAAAAAGTGATTGGTTACTTAAAGCGAGTAAACCAATTGCCTTAGGAGGTCCAGTGTTCTGCAGAGTTTAGCTACAATCTGCCTCAACACACCTGCAAGGATTTTTCTAGAAACCCTCAACTATAAAAAGTGATTAGTTACTTAAAGCGAGTAAACCAATTTACAGCTAACTTTACAAAATAATGTAAGTAAACCTATTGTAATTTTTTTAAATAAAAGTAAACTAATCACTTTTTTTCCAGTACAGCTTTATTATATTAGATTTTTTCCCCAGCTTTTCTGTATCTAGCAAAATGACATACGGTAAAATTAATCTGCTCTTCCAGACTTCTTCTAAATTCAACACAGGCTTTAATAGTATCTTTTATAGAGTTAATGAAGCATCAAATATTTAATATTGTGATCAATACAATAATTATTTAAAAAAAGAGATGTTCTAAAATAGTCTGACACAGTAAAAAGGGATTAGCTGAGCATAATTAGCATAATTATAAAAATTAACAGTTCTTAAACTTAACAGTTTCAAGTTTCAATGGGTTTATTTTATTTTTGTAAAGTCAACTTGTTGCTTTTAAGGGCAATTTGTTGACACGCTTTAGTTAACTTATCACTTTTTTCAGAGCTTGATTAGCTAAACAAGGTGTGTCTGATTGGGGTTGGAGCTAAAATTGGCAGGACACCGGCGGACCTCCAGGACCAAGATTGAGAACCCCTGATGTATGGTTTGTTAGGATAGGACAATATTTGACAGAGATAAAACTATTTGAATATCTGGAATCCGAGGGTTCAAAAAATCTAAATGCTGAGAAAATCACCTATTAAATCATCTTAAGAAGTGTTTAGCAATGCACATTACTAATAAAAGATACAGTTTCGATATACACTGTAAAAATGTTGGGTTCCACATGATCGATTTGTGTTGGGACAGCATGAAGGAATTAAGTTAACTTATTAGTTTATACATCTTTAAGTGGGTTGAACATAAAACAATTAAGTTGTCCCTCATAAACCTCAAGAATTGTGTTGTTTCAGCTTATTTTAAATAAGTAGTTTGGACAAACAGCAAAAGTATGTTTTTAGTCTATGTACAGCAGGAAAATTACAAAATATCTTCATAAAACACGATGTTGACTAAATATTCCAATGATTTTTCCCTAAAATAAAAATCTGTCATTTTGATTGATGCAATGTACATATACCCGTCCAGCTTAAAACTGGTGTTGTGGTCCAGGCTCACATCTTCATGATACAGTTAAAAACTGCACATTTTAGCAGCAGAAAATAAAATGATTATTCACACAGACGGATCATATGCTAAATTATTCCAGCATAAGATCAACTCAAGGGACGATTGCTGTAGTGTTTCTGAATATTTATTAAATATTTGTAGCAATAGCAGTTTTGATATTAGAACAGGCTGATATTGATCAGATCAAAAGCTGCGGTGAACTAACAATGTTTCTCTGTCTGTAGACTGATGATTCAGATAAACTTGGTGAACTGGCATACTATCCCCCTAATGGCACCTTCAACCTCATGTACTATCCATACTATGGCAAGAAAGCGCAGGTACTGTACAACACACACACACACACACACACACACACACCAACACACACACTTGTACAATACACACTTAACAAAAAAAAACAAAAAAAACATTCACCATTTTTATTTTTATTCAAAGAGATATGAATAAAATGAATAACAAATTCCTCACAATCTTAAAATCTAAATTTAATGCTATGCTCTAAAACAATGCTGGGTTATTTCAACCCAAAATTGGGTAAAGTATGGACAAACTTAATTAAATTAGGCTATAATTTTAATTTAAAAGTGTAACCCAGTGGCTGGGTTTGTCCAGATTTCATCCAATTTTGGGTTGAAATAACTCCGCATTTGCTGTTGACAGAATAATCCTATACGCTGTTTTCTTTTCTAAACTCAGTTTCACTCTGAATTTGACACTGCAATGCAGACTGCACATATTAATCATGTAAAAACAGAAATGTCCAAATCAATGGCAATTTTAAATAGAACAACACATAAACTGAATGAACATACTCTTTACACATTGTATTTTTCACTCATAGTGCCATACTTTATTGTTTTAAAGTAAACTATTGTCTTACTTTTATTATTGTGTGAGCCGGGGTCATTCATTTACAATCATTACAAACTGCAAAAGCGAGCAATACGTTTCTTAAATGTTTTATTTTTTCATTGTTAAAAGGGCTGATTGTTATGACCCAACAAACAAATGATTAATTTAATGTATTTGGTCCTATAATTTTAACTTGAAAAATAACTGTTTTTGTCCAGATGTTACCCAATTTCTGGTTAAAAATTGTGTATAGTGCAGACAATGTACAAAGTTTTTAATAAGTACAAATTGTATTGAGACACTGTTAAGAATAAGAAAAACTCAGAATAATTTAAGAGGACTGTGTATGTTTAAAAAAACAAAGGTAAGAATTATAAAGCTAAAAAAAGTGTACAAATCGTCACCTTAGAATTATAAGATTCTGGCATTTTTGTCAATATTGAGTTATTGACATATTCCTGTTGAATGACAGCTTATTTACGTTATGGGATGTTTTTTATATAAGTTGTTTACATTCTAAGACTTTTTCCTTAATAAACAAATGTTACACACATACTGTTTTCTATGGAACGCAAAAACTTTGAAACTCAATATCTCAACATCATTTAGAACGCAGACAGAACCTCATAATTCCAAAGTGACGAAATACGTCAAATAGTGTACAAATACATCAAATAGGGTTAATCTATGAAATATATGGGATAAGGGGAAAAAATTATGTAGCTCACTTTGCAAATTTAAGAAAAATGAGTTTAATGACTCAGTATTAAATAACTATCAATGTAGTCATAATTGGAATATTTGCTGTATTGTGTATTTCGGTAATCTTGTATGTTTGCAAACATGTCAATACATTTTGAGACACGTTTAATGTACTTGTGTTTATTCTGTGTCATTAAATTTAGCAGAAAGTGACAATAATGTTTACAGAGTAGGCATAACAAACCAGGCTTTGGACTACACCTTTTTGGGTAACTATGGTTATATATTTCACTTGTAAAATTATGGTAGTGAGAACTTAATGAAATTAGGAAATAATTGAGAAATAAAAAAGTATTGAATTGAATTTTTAAAAATGTTATATGTTTATAAATTTGCATTTAGATAACACATTGACGTTCCATTCAAATTATTAATTACATATTCAGAACTTGGTCTTATGCAGCTGGCGAAGTTTTAGATTATACAATATCAATCAAATATTAATAAATCAAAAAGTACTACAATATATGTTTATGCACATTTTAAGTAATTTATGCGCATCTTCAAATTCCTACACAGTGTTTTTTATGCAACATCAAAATAATGCAAGCCAAAACAACTCCAATAAAAGTAGAACACTGACTTATAAAACAAGATAGCTTTTATTAGACTAGCTTTACTAGCCCTTTTTGGAGGAAAGAACCATATATGGTAACTTCATTGACACCGATTACAGTATATAAATGTATGTACACAAATCTTTGCCCTACACTCAAAAAAAAAAAAAAAAAAAAAAATATATATATATATATATATATATATATATATATATATATATATATATATATATATATATATATATATATATAACAAATTGCGTGGCACCTTGCATTTTTTACAATGTATAAAGGGAAAATAAAACAGCCTATAATGATTGTTCTCACAAAGTTTCCCTCTGGTATCTTCTTCTTCTGCAGGTGAACTACTCTCAGCCTCTAGTGGCCGTTAAGTTCCTCAACATCACCAGGAATGAGGACGTCAATGTGGAGTGCAAAATCAACTCCAACAACATTCCCGAAGGCAGTGAACGAGACAAGTTTGCTGGACGAGTTTCCTTCACACTGAGGATCAACTCCAGAGATTGAACAGACAAGAGTGTTTGTTTTTTTTTTTTGCACGCACACACATACATATGCACACACCGGTCCTCCCATCTAATAGTTTACAACAACGTGTGGAAGGAACAGCTAGTAGTCCGACAGAACAAAGAATAATAGTACTCTTTTAGACTTTGAGACTAGTAAGGTTGCAAATAGTAAGCAGGATTTTTTGTGCATATTAAATCAGTGTGTGTGTGTGTGTGTGCGTGTGAGTTCAGAGTACAGTATTTATTTTTTGAACCAAAATTTGAATTGCATGCTCAGCTAGCAGAGCTGGTGATTAAAAAAATAATATACTATTCTGGTCAAGCAACCTTACCTAGTATCTTTTAAAAAATACCTTTTTCTTTACTAAGTATCTGTTCATTTTGTTCAATTTTTAATTTCGGAGCAGGCGTCAATGAGGTAATGTGCTTGGCTGGCATAATCTCATGTGTGTTTGGAGAATCTCTAGAGTTCTGGGACTGTTTGGCACTTGTGTCTCAGTCTGATTTGTGAGGAGGATAGTTTAGTTTGCACCGACATAAAGGTAACACTGCGCATGTCAGCTCTAGCAAACACCAAAACAACACAACTTGACACATTCACAAACATTTCTGCATTCCTCACAGTTTGGCTCAGACTGAACTCTGAAGTGTGTCACGTTTCATTTCTCATGAGGCGTTTTTTGTTTAAGTTTGTTTATATGTATAAATAGGTATTTTGCAGTATTTCCTTTCTTTGGTTTCTCCTTTTTTCTTTTATTTGCATGTGTTACCCAGTTTGTCTCACATGGTGATGGGATGTAAGGTTTTGTATTGATCTGCACCAACAGAAAGGATTACAGCAGGTCTGGGTTCAGTTTGAAATCTGAATGATACAGTAGGTAGAAGAAGTGTGGTGTGTGTGTGTGTGTGTGTGTGTGTGTGTGTGTGTGTGTGTGTGTGTGTGTGTGTGTGTGTGTGTGTGTGTGTGTGTGTGTGTGTGTGTGTGTGTGTGTGTGTGTGTGTGTGTGTGTGTGTGTGTGTGTGTGTGTGTGTGTGCGCGTGTGTCGTGTGTGTGTGTGTGTATGTGCGTGAGAAAGAGATTACATTTGGATTCCTGCATGTGCATGTGTGATTTTTTTGATTTCATCTCATTTGTGTTAAACTTTGTGCACAATTTACTTTCTGAGTATTTTTGACTTTTGTTGTAAGTGACTTTGAGCATAAGCATAGAGACAGATCAGATAGAGTGACTAGGAGCAGGGACAGCAGATTTATGTTTCGAAGTGAATCCATCCCTGCATGAGTCAATAAAACCAAAAAACATGGTCACCAACCTCATTTCTCATTATTATTTTATTACAAATATCATTTCTCTCTCTCTTTTTTTGTTGTTGTTGTTGTTGTTTTCAACACCATTACGCACACCTCATGCTTCATGCAGAGAAGTGTCTTGTGTCTTCTATCATACTGAGAACTGCTTCACACTGCTTGTGTGTGTCATGACAAGCATCTGAGTGTGTATACTTCCTCTAATGCGCTAATCCTTTAATCTCACCGGATAATCCTGAATAGGTATGGTGCTGCACACCAACATTTCCACAAAAGCATCCATCTATCTATCTATCTATCTATCTATCTATCTATCTATCTATCTATCTATCTATCTATCTATCTATCTATCTATCTATCTATCTATCTATCTATCTATCTATCTATCTATCTATCTATCTATCTATCTATCTATCTATCTATCTATCTATCTATCTATCTATCTATCTATCTATCTATCTATCTATCTATCTATCTATCTATCTATCTATCTATCTATCATTTTTATGATTAATTTGACAGTTAGTAATGTTTTTGATGGTATTTTCCTATGAAAATTAGCCATGGTTTTATTATAGTAGTTTTGGCTGTATTGATTACACTGCATATGTAATCAATACATTTTTTTTTAAACAAGCTAAATGATATGCCAATGGGATGAGATATAATTTTGGACATTTCATCTAAAAACGAGGCGATTTCTTTTTTTTTTTTTGGTGTAGCAGATTTTTTTTTTCAACATTTGGTTATAGCAAAATCATGTTTAATTTATAACTGACCAGTTTCACTACAACTAGTTTTTACATGTTTTTATTTATATTACAGTTTTTCTCAGTGGCTTTCGTGCATTTCTCACAACACTATTTACATTTAATGCATTTCTCAAAACAATTAGTTCAAACTGCAAAACTGATGACCTGCAAAAGCGCGTCACTTGCTCAAAATGGAGAGCTCATCCCTCAAAAGCAAGTATTGATGTCGATGAAAGTGTCAGTGTCATCAAGATGAAAAGTCCTGACACCATTGTTTATGAACAAAATAGTCAAATGGCTTTGTCATGTTTTCATTATGTGTTTACTCTGTATATTGTTTTCAATGCAAAAAGTCAGATTCTGGTGACACTTCCTGAAAATGCTCAAGCACTATATTTGCACAGCCATTTGAAAACTACAGTAAAGTTAGACATCACTGCATTTAGTGAGGTATCTGAGTACAAGACACTGAATATGTATGTTTCACATTTTTACTGCATTTGCTCTTCGCAATTCTATTTTATTCACAACATTGTGCAAAAGAATAAACACACCCTTATTTACAACAATCATAAACTTCCTTTGGGTAGAGTTGTACACAACTGTAAACTATATTGCAGTACATATCGAAACTGAACCTACAACATACACAGGTCTGTAAATCTTTCATCAAATTGTTCAATTCAGAAGACATTTTCAGGAGAAAAAAAAAAAGATTTAAAGATTTTTAAAAAAAAATTCTAGACAGATTTTGACAACTAGTTCAACATTTTTGTTTGTAATGACTCCAGTAATGAAATGAGGACTATTAGTTGGAGTGACTATTCAGCATTCACAAGCTTAGTTGTTTTTAACTGACAAGACATAAGCAAATGATAATGTTATAAACAGCAGAGAGTTGTATGAAAACAACTGATGCATGTCCAAAAGCATTTGTAATGTGTTGGAAAGAATGAGAAACTGCTACTATGGTGTGCACAAATGACTAGTTATTTTGACAAATGCATTAACTATTGTGCAAATATAAATAGTGTTGTGAGAAATGCATCAAAGCCACTGAGAAAAACTGTAATTTGATGGTTAGTAATGTATTTGATGGTATTTTCCGCATGAAAATTAGCCATGGTTTTTTTAGTTTTGGCAGTATTGATTACACTGCAAAATATATATATTTTCTTACTTAAGAGGTTTTGTCTTGTTTCTAATTGAAATATCTAATCTTGATTTATTAAGTAAATCAAGTGTTTTTTATTATTATTATTATTATTATTATTATTATTATTATTATTATTATTATTATTATTATTACTAAACAAGCGAAATCATAGGCCAGTGGGATAAGAAATATACTTTTCTAGACATTTCATCTTGAAACAAGGCAAATTTCTAAGAAATATTTATTTATTTATTTATTTATTTATTTTTGTGGTGTGGCAATCTTTTTTTTCAACGTTTGGTTATAGCAAAATTATGGTTAATTTATAATTGACCAGTTTCACTACAAATTTTCATTTTTTTATATAAAAACCATAGTTAATTCTCATACGGGTCATAAAGGTCATAACAAAACCATTATACTTCATTCTTCCAATTATTATTATTATTAACAAAGCACAGAAGCTAGCAAAACCATTTGTAACCATGTTGCTAGCTGACGGTGACAAGATATATTCAGTTGCCAACTCTTGAAAATGTTACAGAAGAATTTTCAGTTTTTGACAAATCCTCATCAAATTTGTTTACTTGTTAGTTGTAATATAGCCTAAACTGTCAGCTCAATTAAACGCATTTATTTGTTAGCTGGCTAACTATATAAAGATAACTTATCAACTTAAATACTGAGGAATATTGCAGATTTTTTCACTAGTTAGCCAGTTAACAATATATAAACTATCATATCAACTGCTTTATATTGAGTTTAGTGACTCGTTTGTTCACTTTCACATGTGCGTCTCTGTTTTGACCTCCGGTGTTTGTTATTGCATATTTAATGCGCGCGCACGGTGAGGCTGTTATCTGACCCGGGAGAGAAAGCTTCAAATCAACAAAATTAAATATTCATTTCCCTCTGGACTAAGATCGCGTATCGTGGCTTCCCCCCTGTACAATAGTTCACCCTGGAGGGAATAAACACCATCCTAGCCCTGGTTTTGAGAAAACCTAGTTCATATTTTTGCAATACGCACAAAAGGGCAGCGAGAAAAGCAACATTATGAAGTGCAGGTTTTGCTGCATGCAAGCTTTGATGTAAAATTTTGTAAACTGCGCCCCTGGTGGAAAGGTTGTGCTGTGCCTCTCTCACACCATCATCTGTTCATACAGGAGAACTACACATTTAATGTAATGTAAAATATTCTTCTGAAAAGCAATATATTTATATTTTGTGTCAGTTTCGTGTATAAAGAGAAGAGAATGGCTTATGATGAAGAATATCGATGGCCTATTAGTATATGTATATATATATATTTGAATATATCTATAGACTGGAATGACTATATGTTTTAAAACGCAATACAGAAAAAAATACTATATTTTCAAATAACCAATGTTTTTATTTTGTCGACCATTTATGAAAAAAAGCATGTAACAGCTGGGAATGTATGACGGATATTAAGCTTTGCAGTGCTTATGTTAAACGTAAGGAGGTCATAAGACTTAATCAGCCCAAGAATGTAATAATTCATGTTCACTTTAATAGTCTGGATCTCACTGTAGCCTTTTTGAATACCAAAATGAATGCAACTTTTATGTTTCATGGACATACAGATGTACCATTAGCAATACGGATCACAGCAATCTTTAAGGAGAAATGCAGTTCATGCAGTATGGCTCAGTTTTCACACAGCGCTGATGAGAGCCTGAAATTATAGTTAATTACATAAACACCTTATTCTGTATATGTTCACAAGCTTACTTTAATGTATTGAAATAACAAACTTAATAAAATGAATAAAAATGCAGTGTCTCCTTTTTATTTTGTGCAATTTTATCAAATTTAACCTGTTGGCTTGTGAATTAATTTTAAGATTGTGAATCTATTATTTTAAACTATTTCTTAAATATACATACAACCCAAACAGACCATTGGGAAAGATTTTGTAAAACTAAAATTATTAATAATTATCTTCTCATTATCAGTTATTAACACTTTCTATTTGAGAATGTGAATGGACACATGTATAATGCTGCTCTAATAAATGATCAGCAACAGATCTACAATTTCCACTCAGAGATGCACTGAAACAAATGCACCGTAAATATGACATTCTCCGAAATAAAGTTACAACATCTGTCACAGGGGCTGTACTATATCAAAAAGAACATTTTTGTTTCTAATAGGGTCTTAAAGGTACATATGAATACCTCAAAAATACAAATATGTACCTCACAGTACCTTAAAGGTACAAAAGTTTACTCTAAACATACTAATGTCCACCTGACTGTGCAGTACAAAAGTACATTTTTGCAAAGGTGACAGATTTTGTACCTTGTGTTTAAGAGTGTTTAAGAGCAACATACAGTTAAAATTATTATTCAGAATAGTCAGAATTATTTGCCCCCCTTTGAATTTTTTTCTTTTTTAAATATTTCCCAAATGATGTTCAACAGAGCAAGAAAATTTTCACAGTTAAACTGATAATATTTTTTCTTCTAGAGAAAGTCTTAATTGTTGTGTTTTATCTAGAATAAAAGCAGTTTTAATTTTTTTAACCGTTTTAAGGTCAAAAATATTAGCTCCTTTAAGCTATATTTTTGTTTCGATTGTCTACAGAACAAACCATCACTATACAATAACTTGCCTAATGACCCTAACCTACCTAGTTAACCTAATTAACCTAGTTAAGCCTTTAAATGTCACTTTAAGCTGAATAAAAGTGTCTTGAAAAATATCTAGTCAAGTATTATTTACTGTCATCATGGCAAAGATAAAATAAATCAGTTATTAGAAATGAGTTATTAAAACTATTATGTTCAGAAATGTGTTAAAAATCTGCTCTCTGTTAAACAGAAATTGGGGGAAAAATAAACAGAGGGGTGAATAATTCAGGGGGTCATTAATTCTGATTTCAACTGTGTGTTTTTATGTTACTTTAACTTGTATTAATAGGTTTATCAGGTTCTAACTTTCATTTATTTTATTTTACTTCAAGGTTCGAGGCAGTTTAATTGATGTACATTTGATTTAATTTAATTTAATTTAATTTTTTTCAGTGTGAAAAATAACATTTAACATGGCATTTTATTTTCTTGTGAAATACACTATAATAATATTGGTATGTTTACAACTTCACAATAATATTATTGTTATTATTTTAAGTATAAAGGAGAGTCACTTTCATTGCAAGGAGTAAAGAATTTTAGTATTTGCATGAATTTTGGTTTCCTGGAATAATAAGCACCTTTCACATCTGACATACTCTGGGGATAAATGTCACATTTTACCTTATACTGTATGTCAACCTTTATTTTAGGCTTGTCATTTCAACTATTGCTGCTCTCACTGAAGTGATGTGAAAGGCTTTCATCCTTGTAAGTCACTTTGTATAAAAGCGTCTGCTAAATTAAGAAATGTAAATGTTTATCATTCGAATTATTTTGTAAAACATATTTCTCCGTAATAGCTCACTTTAGGTGCTCTTCATATGCATTGTAAAAACTGTTATGGGTCGTTTTGTGTTGGTACAACATAAAAAAATTAAGTTACTTTTTTGTACAAATTGAATGTGGATTAAACATAAAACAATCAAGTTGTTCCAAAAGAAATCCCAAGAATTACGTTGTTTCAGCTTATCGTAAATAAGAAGTTTGAACAAACAAGACGTATTTTTTAAATGCAGACTCACATGTGAGTAACTTGAGTGGTTTCTGTAAATGGACCACTCCAAAAAAATAATTTAATTAAATCTAGTGAAGAAATAAATGTATTGCAATGCAATTTGTCATGTCATCATGCCAAAATAGCTGAACATGCATGAGAAAGTTAAATATTGGCAGAACTATCATTAGAGATCAGTTAACAGTTATAAAACTGCATGCTAAAGACAAGCATAGCATTGTAAAACTTTCATGCTGAAACTTAGTCTTACATAACAAGTCTGCAAGCTTTGCTGAGCCTGCACTGCCATGTCTTTCACTGATCAGGACTATTATCGTACAAACCTACTAAATATTCTAATATCTTCACAAGAATCAATCCAAGACTATTTCCATTATCAGAAGTATCAACTCACACACTTTCTGAAGCAATGTGATGCCAGAGAAGAACTAAAGGATTAGTTCATCCAAAAATAAAAATCCTGTTGTTAATTATTCACCCTCATCTTGTTAGAAAAAAATAAAGATATTATAGATGATCCGAGAGATCTCTCTTTCTAAATCGTAAAGAAAGGTGAATTTAGTGATTCAACTGTAAACATACGAAGCTCCCTGAACACTTTTGCATGCCAAAAAACTGTAAAAAACAACATTATTCATCACCAGTGTGTCAGATCAGGGTGCGCATTTACTAATATGACGCTTGCGTGTTGCACTGCTGACCCTAGTGTCCACACGTCAAACTGCTTGTAGTATACGAACACCCTGACCTGACGCAGGAGAGAGGATACAGGTCGACAGAGTCATATTGACGTATTTATTGCCTGATTACAGTTGAACCAAGCCACAGGGAATGTTTGGAGAATGTTTTTGGTTTCATTTCTAGACTTTGAAAATCTCAGGACCACTGCAAAAGGATGAGAGAACTCTTGGATTTTATCAACAGAGATCTCAGGGGATTGGAACGACAAAAGGGTGAGTAATAAACAATAGTTTTCATTTTTGGGTGAAATAATTATTTCGGAAGTAGGACCTTTTAGTAAGAAGTTCTTAAAAGAACCATTTCATTGAAACGTGAAGAGCAATTTAATCATTTTAAGAATGTTTTCAACTATAAAGAACATTCTGTGCAATAAAAAGGTTCCAGGGATGTTGAAGGTTCCTTGTGGAACTATCAGTGACACTATAACCTTTAATTTGCATATAAAGAATAAAAAAGTCAAATATTTCCAGTTGTGAATAATTTGGTGGATAGTAATTCCTGACCTTTCTTCAAGTATATCAATAAGGTGGATAACATAAGCCAAAGTTCTAATCTTGTATTTTAGATGGCATTTCTTTAAGCTGGTCTTGCTCTTATTTTTCAGTTCGTGTTCAAGGCAGATCCAGCATGTTGTGTTCCTGTAGAGCTACTTCATTTCTCTTATACACCTTCTCTATTGCTTTCACAACCCTGTTCAGCACCACAGACGCCTCTACCTGTGTTTTCACACAAACCAACTTGTAGAAATAAGATCGCTCAGGCATAGCGAGAAAGGCCAGCTCTGCAGCTTTCCTGGCCCACCAGGAGTGATGGCGAGCCAGTGTGCGCTGGTAAGTCTCTTTGCAGAGGTCAGAAGGCCTTCGTAGACGCTCTCCTTTAGCCACATCTTTCCCCAGTTCATGCAGGAAGTTCTGCAGCCAGAGCAGAGCGCGGTGCAGACGCAGCAGAGTCCTGCAGCCAGAGTTCGTCTGTGTCTGGAAATCCACCAATCCGTTCTCCAGCTCCATTTTAATCATAGACCGAACAGAAGTGTAACCTGATGACAGAGTCTGGTCCATTTTACTGTAGTTTGAGGATTTGCTCTGAGCTAATTGCTTAGTTGTCTCTTTTCTTTCATTCATTTTCTTCTCTTCCTCTTCCGCTTTTTGTGCCAGGTCACGGATTATGGTGGTTTTTGACTCAATTTCTTGTGAAATGATACCCACTATTGGCCCCAAGGCTTCTAAAAACCTTAAAAGCACAAAAATAGATATATTTGGTATGTTTTACTTTCAATACATATCGATATTATTAAGATAATAATAATAAAATCAAATAAAATACACGCTAACACACACATACACAAAAAACATGCATACAAACAAACAAACAAACAAACAAATACAACCTCAACTCAGAAAATGTTGGAACCGAATGGAAAACGCAAATAAAAAAGAAAGTAGTGATTTCTAATTTTACTTTGACTTTATCTGGTCAACTTCATTTGGTTTGTAAATATAAATCCTTTCCTGTCATTCAGACCTGCAAAACATTCCAAAAAAGTTGGGACAGAAGCAGTTTAGGGCTAGTAATCCGGTAAATTGGTTAAATATGTAACAGGTGATTACAACAGGTGATTGTAATTATGATTTGGTACAAAAGCAGCATCCAAGAAAGGTCTAGTCCTTTAGGAGCAAAGATTAGCAAAGGATGGCCAGTTTGCCTTCAAATACTTGAGAATATTATTGAAATGTTTAAAAACAATGTTTTTTAAAGAAAGAAAAGAAGGCATTTTGATATTTCACCTTCAGCAGTGCATAACATAATTTAAAGATTCAAGAAATCTGAAGGAATTTCAGTGCGTGAACAACTTTAATCTCCGATCCCGCAGGTGGCACTGCATCAAGAATCTTCATTAATCTATAAGTGATATCACCACATGGGCTCAGGACTACTTTAACAAATCTTTTCCAAATACCACAATGTGTAGTTACGTCCACAAATGCCAGTTAAAACTGTACTGTGCCCTATGTTAACCGTGTCCAGAAGCACTGGTAATGGCCTTCCTGATAATGTCCGAGGCTCACACACTCTTCCAATTCAAAACTAGATTAAAGACCTATCTTGAGAAATGGTCGTGCCCAACTGAGCCTGGTTTCTCTCGAGTTTTTTTAACTGTTCACTTTCGCCAATTGGTGAAGTTTTTTCCTCGCTGCTGTCGCCATGGCTTGCATGGTTCGGGATCTGTAGAGCTGTGCATCGATGGATTTACTCTTCAGTGTTTGGACTCTCAGTAATGATTATTAACCAGACTGAACTGAGCTGAACTGAACTAAACTCTAACACTGAAAACTGAACTGACATTGTTTCAATTTACTATGATCTTCTATGTTAAGTTGCTGTGACGCAATCTACATTGTAAAAGCGCTATAGAAATAAAGGTGAATTGAATTTAATTGAAGCACTGTCAACTTCTCTGGGCTCTGAGGCATCTGGGATGGACCATCACACAGTGTAAACATGTATTGTGATCAGATGAATCAGTATTTCAGGTATTTTTTGGGTGAAATGGACACCATGTGTCAAAGAAGAAAAGTATCATCCAGAATTTTACCAGCAACAAGTCCAAAAGCCAGGGTCTGTCATGGTATTGGGTTGTGTAAGTGCTCTTGGCATAACGTGCATTCCTTTGATGGCACCATTAATGCTGAAAAGTACATAGAGATTTTGCAGCACAACATGCTGTCTTCTTTTCCAAGGACTCGGTGTAAAAAAAAGGAATGGCAACATTACAAAGTGGTAACTGCTTTACTGTTCCAACTTTTTGAATTGTGTTACAAAAAACTTAAATTAGAATATGTATTTATAAAAAAAATATGAGGAACACGTTAAATAATGTTTTTGTAATGTCTGCAACGAAATACAAGTCAAAATTAAATTAGAAATCAGTTTTTTATTTTTTCTATTTACGTTTCCATCTACTCTCTCAACTTTTTCTGATTTGGGGTTGTAATTTGAGTGTCTATTTTGATTAGCGGTTGTTCATAAAGCCAGCCCCTAGTAAAGTATACTATACATTATCTTACTTAATGAGCTCGTCCCAGCTTGCCAAGTATGGCTTCAGCAGAACATCATTGGCTGCGAGGGGCGCTGCTTGCAGGTGAGCCAGCAAATAAGCAATCTGAAAACTCTGATCAGGACAAACGCTCAGTGGAGCATCTGAAGTGTTGTCTATTACCAAAGACACAACCTGAGAAAAAGACAAGAGATGGAAAAGTGAGGTAAGGAGGACATATTCTCTATCTGGGGTGAGTAAGGTTGTGCCATAAAGCACACACAGACTAAAGCTCTACCATGAAAAACGACCTACTTACATGCAGTGGTGTGAAAAAGTGCCTGCCCCTTAATACTTTTTTTCACACATGGCTATGTAGTTTTGGATTTTATTTTCCTTTAATAATAAACCTATACATTAAAGTTTTAACAAGTGTAACAATAAAGTGTAACAAATATGGTAAAAAAATGAAGAAACAGTAAGGGAGCAAATACTTTTTCACACCACTGTATATTATGTTTTATATGTACTTCATACTCTTACCTTGATTTTCACACTGTAAACTTCAGAATGGTGCTCTAGAATGCGGTCTACAATGAAAGAGGTAGAGGATGATTTATGGGAAACGTTTAAAGAGGATGAGAAAAAGAAAAACAGTCAAATGCATATTTAAAAATCACATTTTCACGAAGAAAGAAAGCTTGGTTTCAACTGTCCCACATAAATGCATCCATGAGCTCTCTGAACATTTCCATGCATCAGATAAACCAAAATACGTCATTGAAAATATGTATAAATAAAACTAATTCTTTGCTGTTATCTTTTCCTCTTGTTGTTTCTTCAAGTAATGTCATTTACATTTCATGGAAAATATTGAAATAATCTTGGCTTGGACCAGATTATCAAACTTGTGAGTCAAATGAACAGGGGTGAATTAACATAAGAACAAGGTGAGGCTGCAGTGAGCCCTGCATAAGAAGCCTGAGGGCCCACGTAAGGAGGGGGCCCTTGATTGGCTGGACAATTATCGTCATGATGCCAGAAATGCTTCTTTGCATTACGCTTTCACTTTCAAGTATACAGTAGTCAACATTTGAAGGGGATAAAAAATGTTTTTCAAAATTCTCCTGAGACAAGAATGGGTGTTGTTGAATGGTTTTAAGACAACTTTGATGAAAGGCTTTGATCCACTTCAAACATTTACAAATGTATGATGTTTGGCTTGCTGGTTTTCAAAACAGTGATACAAAAACTCTGGACTAGAGGTGGGGATATAGCCCAATTGGAATTTTAAATAGCTCAGTTAAGCCCCTCCAACAGGGAGACATGCCATTTTTCATAGGACAATCCTATACTCCAGCTCTATTTTTAGTGTACCGGGCATTATACGAACAACTAAATCAAAGGTAACCAAGAACAAAAGAACAAAGAAATTAGAAGAAAGAAAATTACCATTTATACAAAAATGGTTATGGATTAACTTGCAGTTAGAGAAGTTGGTATAGTCCCAAAAAACACACCCTTAACAGATTATGCCTCTCCTATCTTATGAAATGGGGAAAACAACAAGAGCGGAGGATCCAAATGCAGTGTTTATTAGGAAATATTAAACAGGCAAGGGTCAAAACAGGAGCAAACAATAGCAACAGAGGTAATCCACAAGAGTAATCCACGAAACACATGAGAGGTCAGGGGAGGCAGCAAAAAATCAAAAACAGGTACAGTCCAAAATACAAAATACAGCATGGCAAGAAACACAGGAAAAATAAATCTGGGAGAACGCTCAGCAATATAAAATAGCCATAAAACTAGAGTTCGCAATAGTTGTGAGTGTCTGGGGTGCTTATGTGTGACTGTCAGTGATGGTGGTGTCTGTATAATCAGAATCTAGTTCATGTGTATCAGGTGTGAGGTGCAAATGATTGTGAGCGATGTAGTCTGGGCAAGTACTCTATACGCAGACTATGCGGCCCTTATAAGTTACGGAAGCCATACAAACTCCCACCCCCTCTGTTTAATACCAGTCGCTAATGACACCCCCCCTCCCCCTTTGGTCTCATGTCATGCACCCACACATTCCTTCATGAACAGTATGGGACGGAATTAATACACAAACACTAATGTAGACTACCTAAGGTAAATAAAAGTATGTTGGCCTAAGACTACCTGAACCAGTAAGAAAGCAAAGGTTTTTTACTTTACACAATAGCACATGCTTTTATCCAAAACGACTGCACCCAGTGAACACATGCCCAGGGAGCAGTTAGAGATTCGAGGCCTTGCTCAAGAGAATCTCCTCAGCCATGGTATTAGGTTGGATATTTACACCACCAACAATCCCTGCTGGTACTGAGACTTTTGCACCTCAAGTCCAACTCTCTAACCATTAGGCCATGGTAACACACTTGTTTTTAAACTTGAATAAATAGGAAAGTGGAGATTAATCAACAGAAAATCATGGGGAGCAGTAAGAGAGAGGAAGCATTGGTAATGGAGTTCCAACCAGGAATCAAACTTGGGTCACTATGAGCACTTCAGTGTGTTACTGTCTATATACAGTAATAACATATAATAATATATAGTGTATAACACACTCACAGGCTGTTGGCACAGATGGTATATATATATATTTTTTTTTACGTCTACTTTGCCCCTTTAGATAAAAAACTGACAACCAAGATCAAAACTGCAAAAAATTGGAAGCATGGATTTTGGATTACAATACTGTATAAAGGAAAACTACAGAAAGACTATATTTGTTGTTATTTGTCATCTAATCTAGTTGTCATGAAATATACTTTTAAAGTCTTTATAAATGGCACATTCAGCAACAACAAATACAACTTTTATAAAATTTTATAATTCTTTTGAATATTATGTAATGGATACACTGTTAAAAATTAGGGTTAGGATCAGAATTTCCCATGTTACTATAATTTTTCACAGCTTATTACATTAAGATAACTTGTTTTACAGAATTTAACTGTAAAATTCACAGTATATGCTGTATTCATATTTTTATTGTAAAATTAACGCAGGTAGCATGATTACAGTAAATTATTGTAAAAAGGGTTATATCTTGCACGTTAGTTGTAGGAATTTAACTAATATTTTAACTTGATAGAAATATTTAAAGAATGTTATTGCAGCCCCAAAACAATTTAGCTACCAACAACTTCAAAAATAACTTGAAAGAAAATCCTTCAGGTTTGAAACGACACAAATTCACTGTAAAAATAAAATCCATAATTTTACAGTTTATATCCGGCAGCTGGGGTGCTGGAAAAAAACGTAAAATAACGGCCGTTAAAGTACAGAAGTTTACCAGAAATTTACACATAAGAAAATGTCTGTAATTTATCATTTATTTTATGGTAAATTTCTGTAATTTAACTGCCGTCATTTTACAGTTTATTTCTGGCACCCCAGCTGCCAGATATAAACCGTAAAATAACTGAATATTTTTACAGTGTACTACATTTTAGTTTTGGGGTGAACTCCCTTCACCTTAAAATTAGATGTAATAATTTAATAATTTGTAAACAAAAACACTCACGTAGGCACAACGAGCCAAGCAAAAGGAGGATGAAGATGACAACAACACAAGCCCTGCATCTGACATCCATACTGTTTCAGTGTTTTCCACTTTAGTGTGTCTCCTCGTTCAGTCTCAGTCTTAGTGTCTCCTCTCTCTCTCCCTCCTCAGCATCTCTCCTCCACATCCAGTGTCCTCTCTTATGTGTCCTTTCTTCTCCTATACAGTATATTCTGTATTCTTCTTCTCTCCACAACGAATTGGCAGGCAAATCCCAGCCTTTGTCAGTCTCCAGAAATGTTGCTCAATCTGAGAGTCCATAGATTAGTCAGGAACAACAAATCACTCCTTATTAGGCAAGCCCTGAGCAACCTGTAGTAACCTTTACACAGTCAGCCTCTCGTACAACACGTGTCACAAATAAATAGAGAAATCCCGGAATACACAAGAGAAGGTCAAGTTTTATTTGACTAATTTGTTTATCTCTCAAAAAGACTGAGGTAAAAACGATTGTCTTTAAAAGATTCAAATGTCCCATTCAAATGTTTACCTCAAAATTCACCCCATTCAAATACTGAGTTTAAATGTTTGGGTAGGGCACTAGATAATGTACACTGGTCTGCTTTAACTTTTATTTACTCATATTCACATATTGTTTTGGTATTTTATTAATTCTAACAAAAGAGTGTTTTTAAATGAAGATTGACTGCATGACAAGGTCACTGTTAATCAAGTCAACACTGGACAGCCACTGTGACCTGAAATGTCAGTGAGCACCTTAAAAAAAACCGTCATGCCCTAAAAAACCTCACCCATCTGATTTGAAAGCTGATGAATTTCAGTGCCCCAGTTTGGCAGAGTAAGTGTGTCTCTAGGCATTAGCAGTTTGTCTCTGTGTCACTATATTTAGACCCAACTGCTGATTTATAGACATCTGTGACATAGACATGTACAAAAACATAGCAAACAATGCCACTCATAAAAGATGACAGCAATCGCATTAACTTGCACATATACTCATACTAATTATTATTTGTGTTATTAACCTTTTTATAATCACTATTTAATGTACATATTGTACACAAGAAGTCAATAAAAATCAAGAGAAAAATTATTTTGAATCTGAGTTGAAACTTGCAAGATAAAATCTTTATATATATATATATATATATATATAAACTTGTCAGTTGTATAGAACATTAGGCATACAGATTTCCACCAATGAACTATTTGTGACATCCTGTAATCTAGCCAATCCCTTTTCAAAAAAATGAATTAAAAACACACAATTCTACAAATTCCTGGTGTCACAAAATTAAATGCAACTATGAACAAAAGCTCTAATTGAATGTTCTGTGTGAACATTAAAAAATTAAATAAAGGCACTGGAGGCACAAAAGCACCTGCATAATTTTTTTTATATACTGTATCAAACATGATGCCAAGTACTCCTAAACAAATTTCATTTATAAGGATTAGAGCTCCACCTTCTGGAAATTAAAACACATTTAACTTCAGTAAAGGGATAGTTCACCCAAAAATGACAAATTACCCACTGTTGTCTCACTATCAAGACCTTTTTGCATTTCTTTGTCAGTTAAACACAAAAGAAAATATTTTGAAAAATGTTAGAAACTGATAACTATTGACATCCATACTTGAAAAAAACAAATGATGTTTCCAAAATATCTTTTTTTTTTCCCAAGTAGGAAAAATGTTAAACAGGTTTTGTGACAGTGAACGGCTTTTCATTTTTGGGTGATCTATCCCTTTAAAAAGAATAAATGAGGAGTGCGGTACAGCCCTCAGATTGCAACTGATGTAGCCAGAAGTACATATGGCTATGTATAGTCAATCTGTGCTTTTGAAAACACTATTGGTTGGGTTCGGGGAAGAAGGAGGGTGGGCCAATCAATCAGTCATTCAGTCAGTTGACAGCAGCCTCTGGTGGATTTACGTGGAAACAGCAGGTGCGAATGGCCCTTGCTGGAGAAATTTGACTATCTCAACTATCTCAAATAGCATACACAGCGGCCTCTGGTGGATTTGCGAAAACAAAAACTGCAAAACAAACATAGCTCCTGGGATGTATATGGTGTTCTCCAGAAATGCATATTGGGGAATGTTTTCAGAATGAGCCTGGGTTGTGATTATATGCACTAGTATGCTGTATAACAAATTAGGTTCAATCTTTGCTGCATTCCCAGTGGTGAGCACTTAATCTCTTTTGAGACCTGTGGTCCCAAGGGCACATTTTGGTAATTTTAATGAAGACAAGAAGTCACTGGCCATGACACTTCAGTCGCCTCTCTCTTGGCAAGCACAGTGAGTGACGTTTCTGCGGATGTGGAGTTTCCGGTTACCCACAAGCAACACGGTTGAATTTCAGATCATATATATATATAGTACACAAAGGAGACAGGAATGCATGCTCCGGTAAACCCACCAACAAGCTTTGCAATCCAGTGACACTTAAGCCCATGTACCATGTACCACTTAATCCTGGTGGCAAGCAACTGGCTAAGAAATGAATCCGTGCCATTTGGCTTATACAGAATGTAAACAAAACAAAAATACAAAACAAACATTTAGCATGATTGTGTCATCATTTTTTTTCTGCACTATATGTGTGGATTATTGAAACATCCTATAAATAATTGTGCTTTTTATGTTCTTTTAGATGTGCAGAATAGAGTCAGTTATTTTATTGTGAGCTGGACCTCATAAATCATTTAAAACCTCACACGCTGGACAGCTCTGTATATGATCTCACCACTTGAGTGTATCTCATAACTCACTGTTCTGAACTTTTGACCTGCTGAGAACAAAATGAAACGCGGGTACGCATTTGTGGGTACGCATTACAAGCAACGTAAAGTTATGAAATAATATCACTTTTCTAAGTAACAAGTAAAGTAACGCATTACATTTAAAAATTAGGTAATATTATTTGAGTTACTTTTTTTTTTAAATTGCAATGCGAGTTATTTTTTAGTTTGCTTAATTCGCTTATCAAAAATCGCTAAATCGCTAAATTAAAATGATCATAGTTATGTTAAATCCCACATGCAATGAGAGAATGTTGAAACAGACAGAAACCAAGATGGCAGAGCCTTATATTTTTGTGATGTGAATGGATCAAGGAAAGGGAAAAGGGTATTGCCTCGATGGACAGTGATTTTACTTTACTAATAAGACAATAAGTACAAAACTAGCAAACACATTGCTTTACACTTTGATTAATCTGTATTTATGGCATATACTGTAGCATAAGAATCATAAGTACATCAGAAGACAAGATTATCCTACATTTTTATTTTTTTATGTTTTTTGGGTTAATCCTGACTGATTTGATAACTTAAAACACATAAATATTGTGTTTTACATATGATTGCCTCAAGGCCTTATGATATCCTTCACACTATGCATTTGAACATATAAAAGCGATGATCAACTCTTTCATTAAATTTTGACTGTTTTAATAAACGAGTCGTTACACCTGTGGTGTTCACGGTCAAAAGTGACCCCCATAGTAAATGAATGGGTATCCAAACTATATTCATCCATCAGACAGAAAACATGCCCCTACATACTACCCCAACTCACTCACTCTCACTCACACATTTCAGACTGACTGTTCAGTCTTTTGCAGGCACAGATCTCTTTCCCATGCCTTCGGTATGTGTCGATCCTGCAACGTGATTACCTATATTACATTACATCATTTTGTAATAAATTTTCAGTGGCTATTTGTATTTTCAGTAATTTTTTGTCTAATTTTATACATTCATGTTGAACACTACTTTGAGACATTGTTTACAACTAAAGAATGTTGATAAAAATTTGTTTTTGTGCTAATTTAAGAGTTAAAACAGACTGGTCAATTTTGACCGGGAACACTGAAGTAAGGAGCAGGAGGTGACAGTAGGCTACACAGCATTGTTAATAGAAGAGCTCCTTTATTTAAAAAAAGAAGGAAAAACCCTGTGCAAGTTTTGAAATAGGTTGAAAGTAACGCAAAAGTAACTGAAAAGTATCGTAACATATTACTTACCATAAAAATAACCTATGTAACGCAACTACTTTTTTGGGCAGTAACTCAATATCATAATACATTACTTTCAAAAGAAACTTTCCCCAACAATGATGGCGTAATATACAAATGTAACCATCTAACCACACACTTTAAAATGTGTGTGCATTTAAAAGAGTGCAGTTTTACTACAAATACCATGGTTAAAATAGTTTGTGTAACATAGTTTTGCTAACTATTGTTGTTTGACTTAATGGTTAATTTTTATAAACTGATTATTGAATTTTTACATTTGAAGACATTTTCACTTAAAGACATTATCAGTGTGTTCCCTAAACTCTTTTCTTCTGGACAGACTATTGTTTCACCATCAGTAAAGGTGGCTTCAGTGTTTACCCCGGTGAGGCAATTTGGACCCAAAGTGTACTGAGATATGGTAAAAGGCACCTCCAGGGCTGTGTTAAGATTTAATTTGTTGTTTTGATAATTCATAAAAAAAGCTGTGAAAATACTGTACATTGGGTATTATTTGGACGAACTTTAGAGGAATGTAAAGTCAAATGCAACGTACTGTACACACAACACTTGTTCTTATTGGGCTCTCTATAGGTCTATGGGACTCTCATAGACATAATGATTTTTATAATGGACAGACTATCCTATCCCCCTACACCTAAACCCAACCCTCACAGAAAACAATCTGCATTTTTACATTTTCAAAATACCTCATTCTTTGTGTTTTATGAGCATGTTTACCCACGGGGACCTCAATTTAGGTTCCCATGGTGACAGAAGTTCCCATGAGTCTGGATGCCTTGAGGTTTAGGTCCCCACCTACACACACGATGAATACATTCTTGTTTTGATGGTTTATGAAGACACATGATGCATTTTGTTCTTCCAAAAAAGGCTTATTATATTGTCTCCCCGTACCCCTAACCCCAACCTTTAAAGGAAACCTATGGCAAATCTTAAATGGGAAAAGACCCATTTATTAATAATTTTTCTATAGTTTACACTTAGCTGATGATTGATTGTAAAGCGTTTTTGGCATGCTGCACCGGGAAAGAGCCCTGAGCCCATCTGATCCTTGAGTCCGGGGCTCCCTCCCATTTGCAGGCCAAGAGGGGAGTTTGAGCTCAGGTAGGTCTGGAGAACTCCCCTGCTTGTTTTGGCAAATGGCAGATTAGGGATTGTTATGAAGATATACTGCTGATTAGGATTTATGGTGCAGATTTGATTTGGTCAATTTACCTATGTCACATGTCAATGGACTGTGGGAGGAAACCAGAGACCCCAAAGAAAACCCACACAAGCATGGGGAGAACATGCGAACTCCGTATAGAAATGTACATGGGCCAGGTAAGGTCTTGAACCAGTGACATTCTTGCTGTGAGGCAACAGTGCTAACCACTGGGCCACAGTGCCACCCTGTCAAGGAAAAGGGGAGGAGTAGGGGTAAAGTCTAGATCAGATACGCAGCAGGCAGGAAGTGAGGCATACACATCAATATAGCAGCATTTTTTTTATAACACTGTATAACAATAATTAATATTTTTACAGTACTGTGACAGTTGGGTTAAGAATTGGGGTGGGGGTAGGCGTTAAAAAAATACAATTTGTTTTGTGTAATTTATTAGACAGCATAAATAATACTCGGTACAACTACAGTTTTTACATTACCGTGACGGTTGGGTTTAGGGTTGGGGCGAGGGTAGACCAGGGCTGTTTCTCAATTCCAAGAACGCAGAGAACGGACTTGTGTTCTTGTGGAGAGCGGTCTTGCCAGGTGTCCTCAGAAGAACGAACTCAGGAGACCGCGAGGGCAGAGAACGCGTCCTGTGAGAAATGGGATTCTGCGTTCTTCCTGATGGTCACGTGACCTTCACGCATTTTAAATGGAAATTATTTAAACATTAAAGCATCCATACAACGATTTATTGTTTTTCTCCTCTTACAAATATATAATTTGCAATAAAAACATTATAAATATACTCTGCACAATATAAATAAAACACATTTTAATACGAATTTCAGCAAACAAACACCCTTAATGTGTTTATTCCTTTATTAAGATGTTCATGGTAATGTTAACTTTCACCATTTCCTTTACGGAAACTCCTGAGGTAAATAAATGATATCTCTGAACTTCTTTAAAACATCTAAATAAAATGCTGCGCTTCCCACCTCCAGTCGCAATGACTTCTTGGACTTCCAGAGTGAGTTCGGTGCTCAAGTCTGCATTGTTGCGTCCTCGATGTCAAGATCACATCCGGGAAGTTTCATGTGTCCTCCGTACTTGCGTTCTTGAGTATTGGAACTGAACTTAGGCAGCTGATGATGACGTTGCACGAGAACACGAGGACGCAAGACCGCTGAAGAACGCATATTGAGAATCAGCCCAGGGCTGCTCAATCCTGCTACTGGAGATCTACCTTCCAGTCAAGTTTAGCTCCAACCCTAATCATACACACCTGAACCAATTAATTAGGACTTAAACAGCACTTCATAAATACAGGCAGGTGTGTTTGATATGGGTTGCAACTGAAATCTGCAGGAAGGTAGATCTCCAGGAACAGGGTTGAGCACCCCCTGGGGTTGATGTTAATAAAATACAATAAATGGAAAATTTAATAAAAAAATATATAAATAATTCTCATTAACTTCCAGCCGCAACCATATTCGATCTAGCAACAACCAGTAGGGGTGGAAGGGGCGATTCTTCAATATGTAGGTGACTAAGGTAAAGCACTCTGATTATTTATAGTGAGTTAGTAATCGTCTGATTGGTGAATCATGCATTAGCTATTGCGGGACCAGCTGTGGTCATTCATAAGCACACTATCATCTCGAAATAAGTTTATAAATAAAGTTCACTTGAATTAAATTGAGTTTAAAATTATGGACAGAAGGCATGTCGTCACATACCACCTCAGCATTGTAATGCTTAGGTCGTACCCATGTTATTATATTGTCCTCGTGAACCACCACACAAACACACGCACACACATACACACCATTCGTTCCCTGACACTGCATTTACCTTGCTCCAGGCACATGCAGAGCAGATCACACTGTCCAGACAGGCACTGGTTATTTATATCCAAGTGCATGGGAGACTTTAACGCTATGGCCCTCAGCGTCCCACTCCCCCCACCGCCGTACACCTGTTAACGTTGCTTATCGTGTCTTCAGACTGAAACACAATTCCCCGAGGCTGAACAACACTATCAATAACCGCTATATGTATTGTTATTAAGCCATAATGATACTCGTTGAAATGCGCAACTGTCAGTGGCAGCAGCAGCGCCAGTTCACGCTTCCAGCGAGTGGAACTTTTACAACTGGCACCTCAAACTGACTCTCCTGTCAGCATGTTTTAGCTCTATTCCTAGCATCTGAGATCACTTGCAGAGTTACTCGACAAGCAACCGACATAATCTGCATCATTGTCGCGTATTAGAGGCATAATGATATTGTCGATAAGTGAATGTGACTTTAAGAGTGCGCGCGAGTGGAGCTGTAACTCGAGCCTGGTGTAGTGACAGCTGTACTGGAGCTGAGCTGAGGAAGACGGAGCCTCACTGCTGACTGCTCCACAATAGCGGCTCTGGCTCTTTCTTCACAACTTTTGCCGTGTTTTTGGCTACCATGGCCGTGGCCGAGAGATTCGGCAGGACGTGTGTAGTTGCTATTGCGCTTCTGGCCACTGTATTACAAGGTATGTTGTGCACTTGTGTGAGTAAATGACTTGACTCTCCGTCTCTATCACACTTGTTAAAGCGTATATTGAAGTATAGAAGTCTTTCATACAGTATCATGCGGGCATATTAACATATGTTTGTAAATCAGAAATATTAACGTTGTGTTTTTTTTACAATAAACCCCAATATCTGGTTAAAAATGGGGTTCACAGTTTTGAGTTGTTTTAAAATGGCTGACGCCTATATTTATGAATTGTTCCAAAGGTATTAACAAGTGCAAATTGGTCAGAATATTATTGTTTTGGTGGATTGTTAATTGTGTGTAGTCCATGTAGTCCATTTTGTTTATTTAAATTAATTTATTTCAACACCAGTTGACCCAAAGGTATAAAAGAAAATTAAAATGTTCAGGACAGAATTCTTTAAAATGCACAAGACTTATTTTTGGATGTTATTTCTGTATTTATATATACTTAATTTGATCTATTTAAATCAATGAACAGTTTCACTTAAATATATCAAACTAATTATAAGTAGCATATCCATACGTTACTATATCTATTCATTCATTCATTCATTTTTTTTGGCTTAGTCCTTTTATTAATCTGGGGTTGCCACAGCGGAATGAACCGCCAACTTATCCAGCACATTTTTACGCAGTGGAAGCCCTTCCAGCCGCAACCCATCACTGGGAAACATCTATTCACATTCATTCACACACATACACTACGGACAATTTAGCCTAACCAATTCGCCTGTACCACATGTTTTTGGACTTGCTGAAGAAACCCATGCGAACGCGGGGAGAACATGCAAACTCCACACAGAAATGCAAACTGACCCAGCCGAGGCTTGAACCAGCGACCTTCTTGCTGTGACCTACTGTGCCACCGCATCACCTATTATTACTATATCTATTTTTTGCATATTTTTAGTCATGTACTATTTTGCATATTTTACAAATGGATGTTTTTTTTTGTCCTGAACCATTCCTAACTGTTAAACCTAAAAAAAAAAAACTTACTCTAGCTAAAGACTGGTGGTTTGCAATCAATGGTAATTATATCTTGAAATATAAAAATACACTACTAAAAGATTTGTGACACCTCTCCAAATCACTGAATCATAGTGCTGTAATCACTTCCATGGCCACAGGTGAATTCAAGCACTGAGGCATGCAGACTGCTTCTACAAACGTTGGGACCCTCTCAGGAGCTCAGTGAATTTAAGTGTGGTATTGTGATAGGTTGCCACCTGTGCAATATTTCCATCCACCAATATCTTCACTACTAAATATTGTATGGTCAACTATGTAAGTGCAAATTTTGATGAAAAGTGGACACAATTGGGAACATCAGCAACTCCGTAAAAAAGTGGTATGCCACGTAAAATCATAGAGCAGTGTAAGTACATGCTGAAGCCAGTGGCGTTCCCCCCGCCTACCCCCACTGAGCGTGATTTCACCACATTTTGCGCTACTCCACAGGCTGAAGAACACAGTGTTCAGTCATCACCAACTTTCTGCAGAATCAATAGACCTCCAAGCTTTGTGTGGCCTTCAGATCAGCTTAATAACACAGCATAGAGAGCTTCACGGAATGGGTTTCCATGGCCGAGCAACTGCTTTCAAGACTTACATCATCAAGCGCAATGCAAAGCATGGAATACTGTGATGTAAAGCATAGCATGCCACCACTGGACTCTAGAGCAGTGAGATGTGTTTTTTGGAGATACCTAATATGCTTCTCTGTCTGGCAATCTAATGGATGACAGTTTGGCAGTTAATGGTTTGGTCTAAATGGTTTGGCAGTTGCCCGGATAACAGTACCTGCCTGACTTCATTATGCCAAATAAAAAGGGGTCTCTTAGTTCAATGAAAAGGAGCTCTTAATGCTTCAGTATACCAAGACATTTTGGACAATTTTGTGCTTTCAACTTTGTAGGAACAGTTTGGTGATGGCCCTTTTTTGTTCCAACATGACTGTTCACCAGTGCACAAAGCAAGATCCATAAATACATGGATCAGCGAGTTTGCTGTAGAAGAACATCACTGGCCAACACAGAGTCCTGACCTCAACTTGATTAAACACCTTTGGGATGAATTAAGGGGACCGCACACCTGATATGCCACTCAGCACCGTGCCCATCTACGACTGTTCATATTTTTGCCGCACCACAGAGTGCCATCTAATTAATTTCATTTTAAATAGTATATAAATGTGTGGGTCCTGTGTGCGTTACTTCCAACTGTCATGTGCTCCTTCTCATCCAAGACCTCACAAATCCTCTTCTAGAAGATTGGTAAAAATTGACAAATACACTCCTAAACCTTGTGGAAAGCCTTCTCAAAAAAGTTTAAGCTGTTATCCTGTAGCTGCAAATGTTGGGCCAACTCCATAATAAACCCTGCAGTTTAAGATCGGAGAGTCATTAAAGTTTATGTGCATGTAAAGACAGATGTCCCAAAACATTTAGCATCACACACTGTAAAAAAAAATTCAGGGTTCCACATAATTCATTCATGTTGACCCAACATAAATTGATTAAGTTAACTTAACACTTTTAACACATTTATTTGGATTGAACATAAAAAATTAAGTTGTCCCAATGAAATCTCAAGAATTAGTTTGTTTCAGCTCATTTTAAGTAAGTAGTTTGAACAAACAAACAAAAAATATATTTTTTTGAGTGTAAATTGTTACAATAATTTACTTTTTTCACATGTGAGCCCGGTGGACTTATAGTTATAAAATCTCTAATCTATCCACAATTTTAAATATTATTTGAATTTGTTTATTAATAATATTTCTATGTGAGTTTTGCAGCTCATTTCTTTTCCTTGATTCTTGTACATTACAGTCACTGGGAATGAAGAGTCACAGTTAATTGCTGATAAGTTTAAGAACTACAGTAAAAATATTCGACCAGCAAGACATGCAGATGAAAAAGTTAAGGTTCAGGTCAAGTTAACTCTCACCAACCTCATCTCCTTGGTAAGTAACCTTCATATTAACAGTGACAAGTTATTGTCAGTTTTAAACATATAAACATATATCTTTGCTAAAATATAACAAATAAAAATGTTCCAGAAAATTGTGTATCATTGATACTTTAATATAAAATATATGTGAGCAAATTATTTTGCTAATATTTATATATTTTTATTGATTTAGTGATTTATTTCATAGACTATTTGCATTCTGACAACTTTCCCTCCTTGAACAGAATGAAAAAGAAGAGACTTTAACTACAAATGTTTGGATTGAGATTGTGAGTATCTTACACAACCTCCCTTTTCTTAAGTTGCATTGTAATAAATGTAGCAACATATATTTTTTATTTTATAGGTTTTGTTATTTTGATGAAAAAAAGCCAAAACATGCATAATAATAAATAAATAAATTAAAAAAAAATCTAAGCTTCGTCCTAGCAATTGATCTCTCTGTTTTCTTTGCAACTTGTTTAAGCGAATAGAGGCTGATCTGAATGCGAGTGTTCAGTCAATTGTAAGGGTGTGTTCACACCTGGCAGGTTTGGTTTAAAAAATGTTGTCTGGGATTGCTCTGCTTATGCTGTTTGTTTAAATGTATTTGAGAACTGCCATTTGAGCCCCGTTGTGCATCAGACAAGTTGTCCACTTTCATTCTCAATTCCATTCTCAATCCACTTCCAAACTGAATTCTGGGGAATTTTGACTGAAAAATGAACGTAGCACACCAAACAAATCTGAAATGAACCAACAGGACATAATGTCCAAAAATGCAACTATATAAACGACTGAATGTTTATATAAATGTTTTTAGAAGCATTTAGTACTTTCATAAAATGTCACAAAAGCAATGCAATAGAAGAAAGAAGGGAAAAATAGTTCTCAAATTTCTTTTTTACAGTTTTCTAAATAATTTGTTTGCATGTCTAAATAACTATTGTAATGTCAGATATTTTACCAACATATGAAGAGCAGGCTTTTTTTTCCTTTTGCTTATTCTTTTTCAATTTTAATCTTCTGAACAGTTTTCTCAACTATTTCTCTACTCATTCAGTCTAATCTAAAAGATTTTAGCCAGTACTTATTTTGTCTGCACCTATTCTCTTATTTGTCCTGCTAATACCTGCTTTTCTTCTTTCACATTCCCGCTCTTTAGCAGTGGCATGATTATCGTCTTGCGTGGAACACATCTGAGTATCATGACATTGAGCAAATTCGTGTGCCATACTACACAGTGTGGCTACCAGACATAGTATTGGAAAACAAGTGAGTTGGCAGTAAAACATTAAATTTGCTGTTATTTTCTCTCTGTTTTACTTACAAAATAACCTCTTTTCAGCATTGATGGCAAGTTTGATGTGGCATACTACGCTAATGTGCTGATTTCATCTGATGGCTCCATGTACTGGCTTCCCCCTGCTATCTATCGCAGCACCTGTGCTATTGAAATCACCTACTTCCCTTTTGACTGGCAGAACTGCACACTGGTCTTCAGGTTGGCACAGATTGATCCATGGAAATAGATGACAAGATTTTGGATCAAATTATTTCGTTGTATTTTTAATTATTTTCATAAACATATACATTTTATATTGTATATCACATTTATGTAACATTTTGTTTTATTCTTTATCTGCAGGTCTCAGACATACAGTGCAAATGAGATTGATATTGTACTGGCAGAAGATGAGAACGGAAAGCCTATTGAGTGGGTGGACATTGATCCTGAGGCTTTCACAGGTGCCATGCATACACATTTTACTATTTATTACACACAGACATAGAAGAAAGAAGGAATTATTACTTTAATCGGCCAGAAAATATTTAATTGACAAAAGGTGATGGGTAAAACCAGGGCTGTATCAATATATTAGTATGGGTTAATACAGTAATCAAGGAGTAATGATACAATCAGTTTTGACAAAGTTACTTCAAAAATGTAATTATTTACATCATTAAAATAATATTACTATATGTCTAAAACGTTATTTAATTTACTTGACTACTACTGAAAATCTATATACATCTCAACAAATAGACAATAAAAGTTAAGTCAAATGTGGGCTTTTAGCTTTATTAAACATCGTAATACTAAACCATTTAAAATGAAACTCCGTATCTTTTTTAATAACATGGTCTCACAGAAAACGGTGAGTGGGCAATCAAGCACCGGCCCGCCCGAAAGCTGACAAACCAACGCTACTCTCCAGATGACCTGGAGTACCAGGAGGTATATTACAACATCATAATCCAGAGGAAACCGCTTTTCTACGTCATCAACATCATCCTGCCCTGCTCTCTCATCTCCTCTCTGGTCGTTCTTGCCTATTTTCTACCTGCAAAAGGTGTGTGTGTGTGCATGTGCAGACATTCTGAGATTATGCTTCGTATGCCTCAAAATAAACAGTTGTTAATTCTGACATCACATGTCAAAGTTTCTGGATGGAAAATCTCTATCAAATGACAAAAGTGAACGACGAATGATATTTAGATATGTTCACGGTGTGCCGCAATTCTATTTGAGTTTTAATCTCAGAGGGTCAGACCATCCATGTCCTCACTAAAATCTTCACACAATTTTTTTCCTCTCCGTTTTGGGCTTCCACCCACACTGTAACTGCCTTTTTAGTCAACAAAATGTATTTTTATAAAAACCTCTAAAGTGTTGTTATTAAGTTACAGTGTGGACTTAGCAAAACATTAACACACTTTTAGTCATGTGACCAATTCAGCCAAAATAGTGGAGGATTTTGAACAGCCGTTTCTTTGTATATTTTCTGTTTGGAAAACCTTGTTAAAGATTCATTGCGTTCTATTATAATGATCTAGGTGCAAAGTCTAAAGAGCAGGACACAAATAGATAGGGTGTCTGAATCCACTTTTGCTATTTTAAGGATGGGAAAACATGGTTTGTGGTCTAACAGGTCTAACATGGTCTAACAGGGTTGTGCTTATTCTCTTAATGAGTTATGCAAAAGAATAATTTTTCTAACGTTTTAATCCTTTAATTTTTTTAATATGTAAAGATATGTGTGTATTGCTGTACATCCTGTGTGTATTAAGAGTTTGAACATTCATAGACACAAAACTAATGCATTCTGCGCTGGACTTTAGGCCAGCTTTTACCTGGTCAACGATGCAGTCTATTTCAGTTCTTCAAAATAGCAACGTGCCAACAACACGCAACACATCACACCAGCACGCCTATGAGTCCACAAAGAAGTGCGAACAGATTTTCTATTTAAACAACGTGGTGCAAAGCGTAAAACTTAGGGTTTTGTTAGTCTGAAAATAGCAAAAAATCGCACAAAACACGTCTTGGACCTTATTGCACCGGGTGTAGGAAAGGGTCCATAGTTTGTACATGCTTCTTTAAAGGACATGGAATTTTTATTCAAATCTTTTGTTTTGACACATCTTCTAATCAATGTTCTCGATCACGTTTGTAACCTTATACTTCTGTGTTGATTGCCACAATGTTTCAAAGAGCCAGAATGTAAATAAACATCTTAATGCATCCACAGTACAGGGACAAAAGAATTTTCAGTTGTTTCTTTTGGGACATTTTTCCTGAACTTGTGTAGACAGCAAGATGCATGCAGCAAGAGACCAAAGTGTACAACATGATTTAGTAAAAGATGCTTTTTAAAGTGTGATGTGACTAAACAGCAGTCCCAAACATCTATTGAGTTTTCCCAGTTCAAGTAAGTAGAAGCTTGGACTGAGAAACTTTACTCCACATGTCACAATTAAGTAGATAAAATTTCTAGTCTCTTTTTCTTAAGGTAGCACTTCCTCTATCTGTGATTTCTGCTTTTGCTCTTCAACATCTCTTTCTATGATACTGTTGTCTCACACTTTCTTACTGTCTCTTCTTCTTAGCTGGCGGGCAGAAGTTGACTGTGTCCATTTCTGTTCTTTTGGCTCAGACTGTGTTTCTCATCCTGATTTCTCAGAAAATACCAGAAACGTCACTGTCTGTGCCTCTTATTGGCAAGTCAGTACCAGTTTTCTCTCTCGACAGTTTCGATTTTTTATCCTTGAATCATCTGATTCACTCCTTTGTTTCTGTGTTTCAGGTATTTAATTTTCGTGATGTCTATGACCACACTCATTGTGACCAACTGCATTATTGTGCTCAACTACTCCCTCCGCAGTCCCAGCACACACAACATGTCCCAGAGCATCAAGCATGTATGTTCTGTCCTTAAAACATTCATAGTTGTAACCCAGGCTCATTATTGATATGCTTCTCTATTTACATTTCTGGAGAGTGCAAAATATGTGCCAGGATGTACATTTTTTTGCAGTTTTTGTTTTTGCTAATCCACTAGAGGCCACTTTTTCTTTTTTTCAGATCTCAGATGTTTTCAAAAGTAATCCAGAAAAGAAAAAGCCCTCATGGGGCCTGATTTTTACCACGTTTTCAGATCATACCCCGTTCTCACCCTGTTATTGACTTGTTTATTTTATTTTTTGCCTTTTGTTTGACCTACTTTGTGGAACCGTTCCTCGCCTGACTCAAACGCCGTCATCACGGTCAACTCCTCTTTGTGACTCTTTAAGTGGCAAGCCATTGAGCTAACTGGTAACACCGGAAAGGCGTCCACACAGAGGTAAGCGGTCAGCTGGTAGCGCGAAAAGAAACAGAAGCCTTCGGCAGTGTCATACTGCCCCATAGCATTCATTTGAAAGACAAAATGCAGCCATGCATAGCTCAGGCTACATAATTCGCAATCTCCAGAAATGTAAACAGGGGTACATTTTCACAAAGTTGAATATTTGCTAGCTATAATTATCATGGATCTGTACCTCTCTTATATCCATTAGATTTTCCTAGAAGTGGTCCCTCGTTATCTTGGCATGGCCCCCTTTGTGGATGAGGGGGACCAGGGTGGGGTGTATGAAATGAGGGAGAGGCGACGGAGTTCATTTGGGCTCATGCAGAGGGCTGAGGAATATGTTCTGAAACAGCCACGCAGTGAGATGATGTTTGATAAACAAAGAGAGAGACATGGACTCATGCGCACAATTGGTGAGAAATTCAGCCTTAACTTGTGTGTTCAAATATTGTTGCGTAGAAGTAGGGCCTACTGAGAACAAAATTTGCGTGCATTAGGTCAGTTTTTGGAATAACTGTATAGAATTTGAGAGGGGAAGCATTTTCAGTGTAAAAACACTATTTATTTTTATTTATTTTTTGTCCAGTACAAACACCACAAACATTCTAAAATAAAAGCTAGAGGCATAATTCAGCCTAAAACTAAAATTGTCAACATTTACTAATCTTTTATTTGTTCCGAACTAGTTTGAGTTTTTGTTTTGTTTTTTTGAACATGAAAAAAGACATTTTGAAGAATGTTGGAAACTGGTAACTGTTGAACACAGAGTAAGGAGAACAAAATACTAAGTTAATGGTTGCAGGTTTTCAACATTCTTCAAAATATCTTGCGTTCAACAAACAAACAAAAAAAAACTTAAAGTGGTGCATACATGATGACAGAAGTTACATTTTTTTGGTGTAGTATCCCTTTTGAAACATGTTTCTGAAATAATTCAATGAAAGTTACAGCTTTATGCTTAAAAAGAAAAATATTGTCAAATATATAAGTTAATATAAATTTTTATTCAAAACTTAATTAAAAAGGTAAACATTTTATTGGACCCATATGTTTTTTTTTTGTGTAGTAAGAAGACATGCACTTTAATAAAACATATCCAGGTATCCAGAACTTTAAAGATAAGCTCATAAAGGGATTATAAAACAAATTCACATGAGTGGTTACATTTTTCACTATGACTTTGTGTTGTTCTCTACAGTATTTATCAATAGTATCTGGATGCAGCCTTTATGATGCAAGCTGAGATTGCATCACTCAGTGAAGCAGTGTCAGACACAATGCACTCAAATGGAGCAAGTGATGTCACTGTGATGGGTACGGTTAGGGGTGGGGTTAGGTGAGCCCAATAAAAAGCATTGGATACAGCCCAGATTGCACTGCACCAGGTCTGCATCCAGACCCCTCTCGTATACATGTGTGTTGACATGTAAATATCAATCTTTTCTCGCCTGTCCCTTTAAAAGCACCCTTTCGATACAGATTGTAATGTGTTTGCATATGTCTCCCTCTAGTGGATGAAATTGATGTGAGCAGTACCGCAAACCTCTACAAGAGTCTGGCAAAGACGGCCCCAGAAATAAAAGAGTGTGTGGATGCCTGTAACTTCATTGCTGAATCCACCAAGCAGCAGAATGACACTGGATCTGTAAGTGTGTGTCTCTGTGTTAATGTCAACATTCATGAACAATAGAGTATACTTGCTCCATCTTGTTGCTCCTTTTTATCACAGGAGATGGAGAGCTGGGTGCTGATTGGTAAGATGATTGACAAGGTTTGTTTTTGGGCGGCCATCTCTCTTTTCTCTATTGGCACCATTGCTATCTTCCTCATGGGTCACTACAACCAAGCACCTGAGTACCCATTTGCTTGGGAGAACAAAAAGTATGTGCCTGAGTAGTGCTCTGAAAACTGGACAGATTTTTAAGTAAGTCAGTCAGTAAGTTTTATAGCTTGGGTTAGAGTACAGCAAGCTGCACATGATGTGAACAATATCATCTGACTTGATATATGATTTTGTCTTATATTTAATATTAGGGTCTATGGGTGTTGCATGTCTAAACTTTTTTGTACTAATTATTATTTATACTACTGGGGTTTTTACAGAAATGTACATTTTTTTTCAAACATTACAAAAACATTATTTTCAAACATTCATTCGTTCATTTTCTTTTCGGCTTAGTCTCTTTAATAATCTGGGGTCGCCACAGCAAAATTAACCGCCAACTTATCCAGTGGTACAGATGTGAAATAGTTGTCCGTTTCAAATGGTACTAATTTATTTACGCAGCGGATGCCCTTCCAGCTGCATCCATCTCTGGGAAACATCCGTACACACTCATTCACACACATACACTATTTTCAAACATGAGAAAATATACTAAGGAATTCACCTTATTTCATACAAAATAGTGACCTTTCAGTTTGCTGTGGCTGCATTTTATAATCCCCCAGCAAGTTTTACCATCTCTTTTTGCAGTGTGCTATTAAACCAGTGTGTTATGTCAGCCACTTTTGATTTATAAAATACAGTAGTATTTAGCATTAGTATTAAAGAGATGCATACTGATTTTTGTTTGTTCTATGTATTTATTTATTGTACTTCAATTTTACACATGCAGTGTTCATCCAATTTATTATTAACTAATACTTTTGTGGCCTATTTGCAGTAAATAAATAGATTTTCTTAATTCACACTGTCTTAAGATATGCACTGCAAAACTTAAAACCAGAAATTGTAAGAACATGTTTAAAACGTGCATTAGGCAATGTGCTGTTCTGCCTTTTCTATATGTACCAGAAACAAAGGATGAAATAAATCAAGTATTTAAAGTAAAAATTTGTCTCGTTCATTTTTGAGCTTGGAAAACCTTTAAAAAATGGTACAGATGTAAAATAGTTGTCCGTTTCAAATTGTGCTAATATATTTAGCATGCGTACTTTAGGGGTATACAAAGTATAAGAAGTACAGTATCTGTTGAAAGGATCTGGACATTTTTTTAGATGCATGTGTAAACTTTTTTGTACCAATTACTATTTACACTACTGGGGTTTTTACAGAAATGTACATTCTTGCATATGCTTGTGCAAAAAAAAAAAAAAAAAAACTTTATTATGGACACTTTTTTAAACTTTTCTTTATCTCAAGATTCTTTGGACTTGCAAAATCCTGGAGGCATTGATATATATATATATATATATATATATATATATATATATATATTAGGGATGTAACGGTATTGTAAATACCGTCATACCGCAATATTAATTTTTTTCGATATTACCGAAGTCGCATGACTCGGTAAAACTATAGGTCTTCTGAGAAAATTTGCTCAGGCGAATGAAGCGAACGGGAGGTAGCGAAAACTACAATTGCCATCAGCCCATGCTTGACCATCATCCCTTGCGGTCTGTTGTCGCTACAGATCCAGTAATGCGGAAATGGAGTGTGCTGCTAGAAGCGGGGATGAAAAGAGCTGGAAAACTCTAAGGCCCTGTTTACACTAATGCGTTTTAGTTTGAAAACGCATAAGTTTTGCTATCCAGTAAAACTTACGGTTTCACGGCTGGAGAGGCCGTTTTCATTCTGAAACGCTGCAGCTCCGTCTCAGTGTGGATGATAGAAAACGGAGATATCTGAAGCGGGGCTGCAGACATTCGCCTCTCTGATTGGGGCTTTTCCTGAATATTAAGTAGCCTAACACGCACAGTTCAGTCCTGCATTATCTCCGTGTAAGTTCAGACTTCGCAAGTTTGATCAAGGCTGCAGTCTCTTCTTCTCAGTTTGATATGGAAAAGCAGATTATACCGAGGACACGGGTAAATCTTCAAAGGGAACAGTGTACTTTATAACTTCATTTACATCACCCTGGCTTCGTTGTTTCACTTTGTCAACAATAAAATGTAAACATGATTTAAGGAACTGCCTATTTTCATTTTAATATTAGCAACTTAGACAGCAGACATGTTGAGGCGTCGTGCTGCATATATGAGCGTCATCTTCACTGTGTGGATATTTATAACAAAACGGAGCCGATAACAACTGCCTCCTTTCAATTTCAGTGAAAATACGAAACACAGCCTCTCTTTTGCTGAGTATCAGTTTTAAGAATCGATAATGGCCATTTTAAAAGTATAACATACAATAAGTTTATACATTATAGGAAATAAAGGCAAGCGATCAGTCAATATACAGAATGTACGTGGTTACATTAATCATTAACTTATCTTTGCGCTCAGCCAAAACACGTTACCTGAGAACAAGTAATAGATTCCAATGCCCAAAGTCAGGGAATATGTCGTTAGATAAAGACAACAAGATGAATGAAATATCACGTTTAATAAATATAGTGAGATTAGATCCAGCGGGAGATGCTTGATGAGACGTCCGACTAGCAGAGCTCTCATCTGGGTAGATGGGCTGAGTGTGATTAAATGTTGAATGTGATGAGTTTTCAACAATACTAAATTGAAACTTTATTTTTTACATGGTTTAATATTTTTTTTGTTATTAAAATTGAAGTTCCTGTATCAAAGCTTACAGATAGATGGCTAATTTGTATGTCATTGACACTTTTGGCACTTTTTTGGAGTATTTTCATAAGTTTTGTTTTTTCCTGTAAATGATTCAATAAATACCGTACCGTGACATTCATACCGAGGTATTACCGTACCGTGAAATTCTGATACCGTTACATCCCTAATATATAAATATATATATATATATATATATATATATATATATATATATATGTATGTCATTTTTACAATATGTATTTTACTTTATGAGTTTGACTTTCCTAAGAGGCAATGACAGACTTCAAAGATGAAGAATAAATTACACTGGACTTTGGAACCACTTTGACTTTAACAGAAGTTAATGTTTTTAGTTCAGTAAAACATTTTACAGAGCACAGTAAACATGTTTTCATGTGTAAAGTGTGGGTCTGGATGATATTTTTACCGCAATGACTACATTTTCATGCACTGAAGGTGTTAATGTCCTGCTAATGCTGTCCTCAAATGCCTGAGCTGTGTAGTAGGACAAGCACTGTGTGTGTGCATGCTTTTGTGCCATATTCAGGATTCAGGACGCAAATGTGCATAATATGACATATTACACCGGTATTACAAGGAGATTATGCAGACATTGCTGTCCCATTTTTCAAAAAGCTTTTTTTCAGAGTAAAACTGTCCTGTGAAGGTTGGTCTAGGAGCAAGCCAATATATAATACAATTTGTGCAATATATAAACAACAATGGAAACCTATGGAATGTCCCTAAATTCACCAAAACAAACGTGCGTGTGTGTGTGCGCGCGTGTGCGTGCTTATGTGTGTGTGTTGTTCACAGATGTGGATGTGACCAGTGTTGAGAGAGCTGCTAAACCAGTTTGTTTCAATAGTACAGATGCTCCTTCAGCGCCTCTGAGGATCCTGTCATTTCAGTGCCGCAGCCCCCTCGTCGCATCTACGCAAATTACGGTGAGGATGTTGAACATTTGCGCCAGTGACAAACGCGCTTAGGGAACATTTGCTTTTAATAAATCAACAAACAACTATAGAGGGCGTCCGTTTTTGAAATGATCTCCTAAATAGACCGCATTCCTGCGTGTGTGTCAGGTAGGAGGTCGATGCACGCGCGCTTATGCGTCATTCTCGCTGCGGACAGTTTTCGCGGGTTTACGGTAAAAAAACGGCCTCAAGTTTGTCTACGTTGAATGTTACGGCAAACCTACGCCTTGGGAGTTGTGATGGAGTACAAGTTATCCAGAAGTTTAAGTCTACCTCGGAAATAACCTTCGAGACTACGAGGGTTTACGCTGACATTTCGTGACGACGGTTTCTTTGTTGGTGAGTAAAACACTGAACACAAACTCCTGGACAGAAAGAGGTGTTACGATCACGTTGCTTCGGCAAAGGCACTTCTGGCACGTTTTCATCATTCAACTGTAAGATATCTTTCTGAAGTCAATCTTCACACAAAAGCCAACCTATTAACTTATTGTCTTTAAGCGACGAGTTGATTTGATTGTCAGTTTTTTGTTTTATATTGCGAGTGATGAAAGTGTCAGGAATGTAAGTGGTCGCGGTATAAGATCAATGATGCGTAAACATGGACTCTGTCTCAACACTTACGAGCTGCAGATGCTTTTTGAGCACTTCAAAGTGTGTGAACCCGTGATGCTCACTTCGTTTTGAGACACGACCACACTGCATCCCCTCCTTCGTCTTCTTGGCGGTTGACAGTAAACTCATCCGGGGTAAACTTTCGGGTGGAAGCCGGATTGGAGAGATTTTGAAACGGGGAAAGTCTCTGTTTGAGAGAGGTGTGTAGCAAGAAAGAGAAGAGAAAGTAATGTTAGATAGATGTGACTACACTTCTGTGTATGGAGCGAGGGGAAATATAAACCGGTCAAATGTAATGTACAATCAAATTTAAGGGAGGATGAAAGTTAAAAATGTTATAACCTCATTTTAAAAGCTGTTTTAGACAGTAATATATTTTTTTGCTGTGGTAAACGAAGTCACAATTGCCCAGCAAGCATTTTTTTGTTTTTAAATGATGTCTAATAGATGATGTCTAATAGATGTCTAAACATTGTCGTCTTGGCTAAAACAAGGCTTAACTTGGGCTGTCAGTGAAAATCTAATTGACGTCTAAGAATAGGCCAAAACTAGACTAGTCATCAAATAAACAGATGAATGACTACACAAGCCAATAGCCAGCTTATTGAAATGGGGTGGGGGGATTTTCTGAGAAAGTACCTTATTTTTTGGTGATATTTTTCTATTAATTTTTTTATTCAGTTATGCATTTTAGTGACATTTTAGACACAAATCTGTGCTGGATCAGCTTGTCATGATGATCATTAATCATACTTTTTTGATGCACCAAAATGTTTCCTACAATTTTGTCAAAGTGCTCAACATACAATTGTACTATGAAGTATGTATTTACACACTTGGATTTAAACTGTAAGTTAATCCAGTTTTAAACATTGTTATAAGGTTTGCATTTTAAATAAAAAAAATATTTATTTTAAATACAAATGTATTATCATTTATCATTACAAAATATGAAACTGGTAAAACTTGTTTTAAAATTAAAACTGTAGCCTATGGACTAATAAAAAATGGCCAGCTCAAGTGTGCTCCGGTTTCCCCCACAGTTCAAAGACATGCTGTACAGGTGAATTGGGTAAGCTAAATTGTTCATAGTGTGTGAATGTGAATGAGTGTGTGATGATGTTTCCCAGAGATAGGTTGTGGCTGGAAGGCCATCCGCTGTGTAAAACATATGCTGGATAAGTTGGTGGTTCATTCCGCTGTGGCAACCCCGGATTAATAAAAGGACTAAGCTAAAAAGAAAATGAATGAATGAATGTTGTGGCACACCTTTCATGCATATCCTTATGTACCACCTTTTGCAGCTCGTCCAACAACAAGTATTCGAAAGGACGTGAGTAAGACCAAATCTTCTTTGAAAAAGGGTTTACTGAAGTAATGCGAAACGAAAATACAAAGACACAATAGACTCTATATAGGATGCTTCAGGATTGGTCAGCCCAGTCACCAGATTTGAACATTATAAGACACGTCTGGGGTAAGATGAAGGAGGCATTTAAGATAAATCCAAATAATCATGATGAACTCTGGGAGTCCTGCAAAAATACAAAAAAAAAAGTATTTAAATTGTATTAAATATTAAATGATGTATTTTAGGTAATACAATCATTATGAATTCTTATTACACTTCAATATCAATTTTACCATGTTTTAACCTTTTTAACTAAATTATCATCACAAATGAATTACACATAACTCGTTGTCAACATTTCCATTCCAAGTGTCACTTATTTATGTGGAGTTTAAGCTGTTGTTATCAAGGCCGGTATTGCTTTTCAGATTATTGAGTGTCTGTTCCTTACAGTGAGTGATTTTTAGCAGTGCTTTTCATATCTATAAACAAAACAGTTGCTAATTTGAGCATTATCACTTTATGCCTTAATGGTTTTATGATTTGTTTGATCCTGTGGGTTTTTATGTTTATGATTAGTTTTTAGTATCGCCTGTGCCTTCTTCCAGCACCTTGCTTGCTAACTTCTGTCACTGTGTCTAGGGTTTCACCTGGTTACCTGGCAACAGTAGGCATAGTCAGCCTGTGCAACGCCCTTTAACCCTCTCTCTGTAAACCACTGTGTTCTTCTGCTTTTTTAAGGTTTAAATATTTTTGATATGTAAATTTACTACACTCAAACATTCAGAGGTTTGGCATCAGAACATTTAGTTAATTCTTTTAAGGCCTCTTCCGCTAACCAAGACTTAATTTACCTTATCCAAAACTAAATAAGAGTAAGATTTAATGTAAAATAATACAACGAAAATGAAAAATAACTTTTCTAACTCAATAAATATTAAAATGCAGATTTTTATTTATTCACGTTATTGCAAAGCAGAATCTTCCAATATCTAATAATCTTTCATATTATTATCATCAATGTTGTGCTGTGGAATGTTTTTGTGGGAACTGATTAATTTTTTTAGATAGCATTTTTATTTTTCTTATGTGTATCAATGTTATGCATCCTTGATCAAATAAAGGTTTTCAATTATTATAGAAAGTGTATTTAAAAAAAACACGAATGCAATAAATTTAGATTTTCACAAAAATCATGTAGCATGACTATTTTAACAATAACAATCAGAAATTACATGAGCAGCAAATCAGCATGTTAATTCTTTTTGAAAAATCATGGGGCACTGAAGATTTGATTAATAGCTCTAGAAAATTTGTCTTTACTGTCACATGGATAAATTACATTGAATATATATATATATATATATATATATATATATATATATATATATATATATATATATATATATATATACAGAAAATTATAACTAAAGTAACAAAAGTGAAGTAAAGAAAAGAAAAAAAAAAGTAACTAAAGTGCAGTTGGTTTCTTTTATTGTCCAAGTCGTTTTAGCCCAAATTTACCTCTGGTTTATGCTAGCACTTGATGATGTACCCCAGCTGCTTTCCTGACCCACATCTGGCATTTTATACATATTTGACTCAGGTCTGATATTTTGTATGGATTATATATATTTTTTTCCTAGTATTTTATGGTTTTGCATGAAAACTCGTTTCTTCCATTTTAATAATAATTCATTGGTATCAATCAGCCTTTTATATATTGCTAATATACCGATTAGGATTATGCTCAATATAGGGAAAAACTGACATTGAAATATTAAATTTTTTCTGCAATTTTATATATTGCGATATTACTATTTTCACAAGATGTCTCTATTTGGAAAGAATTAATTTTTACATTGATTGGGATGATTTTTGGGGAATGCATCTGCCTAAAATGTACAAAATTATTTATATATATATATATATATATATATATATATATATATATATATATATATATATATATATATATATATACACACACACACACACGCACACACACACACACACATACACACAGTTGAAGTCAGAATTATTAGCCCCCCTTTGAATTTTTTTTCTTTTTTAAATATTTCCCAAATTATGTTGAGCAAGGACATTTTCAGAGTATGTCTGATAATATTTTTTTTCATTTGGAGAAAGTCTTATTTGTTTTATTTCGGCTAGAAAACATTTTAAGGTCAAAATTATTAGCTTTTATTAGCAAATTTTTTATTAGATAGGCTACAGAACAAACCATCGTTATACAATAACTTGCCTAATTACCCTAACCTGCCTAGTTAACCTAATTAACCTGGTTAAACCTTTAAATGTCACTTTAAGCTGAATAGAAGTGTCTTGAAAAAACATCTAGGATTCACTGTTATAATGCCAAAGATAAAATAAATCAGTTGTTAGAAATATATATATAAATATGGTGCAGTAGGTAGTGCTGTCGTCTCACAGCAGGAAGGTCACTGGTTCAAGCCTCAACTGGGTCAGTTAGCATTTCTGTGTGGAGTTTGTATGTTCCGGTTTCCCCCAGGACCCCCACAGTCCAAAGACATGTGGTACAGGTGAATTGGGTAAGCTAAATTGTCCGTAGTGTATGGATGTTTCCCAGAGATGGTTTAAATAAAATAGTATATAAAATAATGGGTTAAATAAAATAAAATAACTTAAAACAGATAAAAAGATAAGAATTTTATTAACAGTGCTTTATAGTTTTTGGTGGAGTCTAACTATATTGATGTATATAAATTTGACAATTGAATGTAAAATAACATGGTATAGTCTTCATCATATATAAATAATTAAACACAATTAATCTTTGTTAAAGTGACAAAAAAAATTTTTGTGTCCAAATGATTTAAATTCATTGAAATTACAAGGCATCCTGCGATGTGACTATTGCAAATTCGCACACTGTGATATCGATGCTGAAATGATACATTGTGCAGCCCTAAAACCAGTGCTTTAAATATATCCAATATTAGCTAATAAATATCGCCAACCAATACATCAGTGCATCTCTAGGATATATAGCTTAAATAACAAACAACTTTATTTTAGTTTGAAAAGGATATTCTGCGTATATAACCTGCCTTCCTTATCATTAGACGGTAGTAGTCTTCTTCACAGTCTTCTTCATTGGAAAAACAAAACAAAACAAAATTCTGTGATTGTTTTTTTCCTTTGACTCAACTAATATATGCTTGCATGTCAGTGTTGATGTCACAGTCATATCCAGTGTCGTTACAGAACCTCAGAGACGTGGCTTAGATTACCTAAGGTATCTTTTAATGACAACGGCCAATTCATAGGCCTGTTCCTGAAAACATGTTAAGAGTGTCTTTCTTATCAGACACACACCCCTCTCTCTCTCTCTCTCTCTCTCTCTCTTGCTCTTTCTCTACTAGTGTGCTGATGAGATAAATAAGGTTTGTTTTATTAGGGAGACAATCAAAATGTGTGGATTTGAAAAGTCTGCAGGAATAGGGTTTACAACCACTGGATATACATGACTTTAGAAGTGATCCATAAAATCAATGAAGACAGTATCAATTTTATTTTACTTTTATTTATTTTTGTTTGTCTGCTGTAAACTAGGAATTATTCACATTAGAGAACAGAAAACACGACAGTGAATCATCTGTACCACAGCTGGAGTACAGTTTTTTCATTACTAGAATGATGGACTCTTTTGTTTTGTGGAGAAGTAGCTTTAGAAATACACCGCAGTTCAGCCCAGAGACTATCTGGATTGGATCCAAAAGCCACAAGCGCTTTAGCTTTTTTGTCCTAGTTATTTTTACTCATGCTTAAATGAATGCAGATTATGTGACAATATCAACAGAGCAGGCAAATCCTGCACCTGTGAGTACAAAATGCACGGTATTAACAATAATGAATGTTGTTTTTAATCGGACGTCTTTCCATGCATATTATACTATTTGGCCTAAGTTGCTTTACAGTTTACAAACTGCATAAAAATACTCAAAATATGTAAAATGTGAGTACAAAAGAAAGCTGTTATAAAAGGAACATCCGGAGAGTAGTATAAAACTATCACAGAAGTTTATGGATGATTATCAAACTGATGCTTTTCAAAAACCTGTAGTGTAGTTATCATTGTTTACCAAAATGACAGGTGCATAAAGCAAGATGAATTCCCTGTATCATAAGTAAGCTACACTTTCTCACCATTTGTAAGGGAAGACATGTGATCTGCTGTAAACGGAGAAGAGCGAGGGGGATGTTGTCGTCGATCCCAATTGTAAGAGCAACAAATAAAAACTTGAATTCTGGAAAAGAGGCAGAAGGTTTTTTTTCCATTGAATCATCTGTTGAACTGCATCCCAATCATCACAAATACTGCAGAAGACCTGTTGAAGTCTGCATGGACCTAAGATTCTCACAGAAACCAGTCAAGTTTGGTGAAGGAAAAATCATGGTTTGTGGATACATTCAGTATGGGGGCGTGCGAGAGATCTGCAGAGTGGACGGCAACATCAACACCCTGAGGTATCAAGACATTTGTGCTGCCCATTACATTATAAACCACAGGAGAGGGCAAATTCTTCAGCAGGATAGTGCTCCTTCTCATACTTCAGCCTCCACATCAAAGTTCCTAAAAGCAAAGAAGGTCTTGATGCTCCAGGATTGGCCAGCCCAGTCACCAGACATAAACATTATTGAGCATGTCTGGGGTAAGATGGAGGAGGCATTGAAGATGAATCCAAAGAATCTTGATGAACTCTGGGGGTCCTGCAAGAACGCTTTCTTTGACATTCCAGAAGACTTTATTAACAAGTTGTTTGAGTCATTGCAGTAATGTACAGATGCAGTCCTCCAAGCTCATGGGAGTCATACACAATATTAATTCTTTCACCACTGCAGCATGACTTTATATTCTATACTGTGCATTATTTCTGTTAAGTGACAAGACTTAGACAACTAAGCAAAGTCAGACCTTTCTGTCCTAACTAAAAAAATATCAAGGCATGGTTCTATTTTATTTTGGTAAAATAAGCGTAATCTAGAGGCATTTGCCTTTTCATATAAGCCACTTGTGATACCAAATGATCAACTAGAAGTCAAGTTATTATTTGTTGTTTATAAAACTTGGATAGGCGACAAGACTTTTGTCAGGCAGTGTAGTCAGAATGTACTTTGTTTCCAACTTTCTCAAGTTTTAAGGTTCATCAAAACTTAGCTTATTATATTTTCTGACCTCTTTGTCTGGGTGGGTATTTTTATTACTTAAATGAATCATTTATCTTTTTTTTGTGTTTCCACAGGTGTGTTGCGGTCTAGTAGCCTTATGGCTAGTCCTGAGTCTAAAGCAGCTCAAAGGTGGCGGAAATGTGTGGACTCCATTACTGAAGATCAGCTGAAATCTATTGAAAACAACAGTGGTGAGACAAATCACACAGAACAGTTTTCATTATCAGATCACAAAGATTAAAATGTAACTTTCAGGTGGAGAAAAACACTTTGATTGGCTGGTTATTGTGCGTTTGATTTGAGCTGGAATTGCATAAAACACACGTCTGGGAAAGCGTTTTAAAGCTTTTTTGTTTGGCATATCTAGTCTCATCTAAATGGTTTGCATACCTCTCTGCTGCCTGTCCCACACCCAAATTCAAAACTGTTGGTTGAAGTTTACTATGCATTTTATTGTTTTAATAGGTTATTATATTGTTGAGGTAGCAGTTTAATTTGTAGGAACAGTGTTATGTATGAAGAACAAAGATTTCTTTATATAGACAATCAAGACTATGGCAGTGTAAACAGTAAAAATATTTTACAAAACAAGGTGTGAACGTCTGGGTGATTTCCCAACAAATAGGAATCCATACGGTGAGTTAGTCATTGTAGAGAGAATGCATATGATGCTTGTGACATCTTATTTTTGGTATTTATTACAGAACAAAAACTGTTATTATTTATAGATCTCACAATTCCCAGTTACTCCTTCTCAATCCCTGATTTGTCTCTGAGGACAAAAGACCGTTTATGCCACATCCACGTGTCAATCATGCTGTAGGAACAGGTATTGAAAGTGTGACAGTGAGTCCTTTTACTCCCTGTGTAATAATTGTGAGAAATGTAGAAAGCAGAGAGAGGAATGACTGGCTTCACGGCTGCCTTCTCTCATTCACATTCTTCTGGTTGGGTTGTGTTTTTAAACACAACACTGAAACTGAGTCTGATCTTTGACCCCTGGTGATGTAACAGTGTTGATACTGAGGCCTGGCACAGCGGCTGCTTTTCAAAACACAATGAGGAATGGAGGTGCCAAAGATTCAAAATCTAATTCAAAGCTGAAAAAACAAAGAAAAAAAAGAATATTTCAGATTTGCACGGTCACTAATCAAATAAATTTTGTGGCATTAATCATGTGGCTTCTTGTACAAACAGTTAAATGTTCTTTTTCCACTGAACAAGATGCTGATTTGGTTATTCTAGATCAGTTGTCACCAAACTTGTTCCTGGAGGGCCGGTGTCCTGCAGATTTTAGCTCTAACCCTAAACACACCTGAAAAAGCGAATCAAAGTCTTACTAGGTATATTTGAAACATCCAGGCAGGGGTGTTGAGGCAAGTTGGAGCTAAACCCTGCAGGGACACTGACCCTCTAGGACCGAGATTGGTGACCCCTGTTCTAGATAAAACTAGAGAATAAGATCATCAGTTTTAATGTTCTTTGTGTCCAGGTTCACGTTCTATGACAAGACCAAATCTAAGATTGGGCCAGCCATGCAAAAAAAAAGGTCTTTTAAGTCCATAAACTTTTTATAGGATCCAGAGTGTTCCGCTAAAAAGTCTTAACATGTCTTAAATGACAAAAAAATTAATTTTAGGCCTTAAAAAGTCATACATCCACAGAAATATTATGTTGTAAATCAACAATAAATGTTGTAAATAATTTTAAACAGGTCTTAATTTTGCTTTGTCCAAGTAAAGCTACTTATTTGGGCTGACATCCATCCAATCACCAGCAACCCGTCTTAATACAACCTTATTTTTTATGTTAAGGCTGTTCATTGCAAGGAGATACAATTATTAACAGCTGTTAGACATTTTTACAGCAAATTCCACATTAAAAAAGAAAAGAAAACAAAAAATGATAGATTTATCATGATTATACTGTATCATTAATAAATAAAATAAAAACTGTATAAGTCTAATATTTTGTTTTTAATGGTCTTAAAAGGGTCTTAAAAAGTCTTAAAATTGACTGGATGAAACATGCAGAAACCCTGAAGATCTCAGTTCTGTCTTAGTTCAGTTCAGTAAACTGCTGTTTACACTTTTTTCATTTTTAAACTTCTGTTTTTATTCAATTAATTGAGGTGGAAGCAATCTCCATCCACAATGTACAGCATAAAACGCATGATGCATGACCATTCACGCTCACTGGCCATTTGTATATTTTGCCAGCATTCATACTTGCAGTCTAATGGGCTGCGTAGTGTTCATATGACAGGGGCTTGATGAATCTGGAAACCATACGCAATAGTTCAGAAGACCAGTCCGAGAGACATTGTGGATAACTGCACCTCCATTTACAAAAGTCTGCACAAAAAGGCTCTTCAGTCCATTTTTAAGGGTCGAAGTTGATGCTGAAGTAGTGTTGATGCCTGATGTGTAACCGTAACAAACATATGGGTTTTAAAATGCTAATGCACTGATGTAAACTTCACCTCAGAAGAATATGGACTCAACTTCAACATATCAACTTCAACAACACTGGAAATATGCAATTCTGGATAAATTTGTTATTTAATTTAATGCAAATAGCTTTACTGAAAGGTTTTATATTACAATAGGATTTCTCACTGATGTCATATCTTTTTTTGTTATTGGGAAAGCATGCAGCACATATTCACGCCTAAACATCAGGCTCAGCAGTGTGTACAGCATTGCTGTGTCGGTTATTATATCACCGCAAAGGTGTTTAGATTTAGTCAACATCCACAAGAAGCCAGAGCTTTCCCTATCCAATCTTTTTTTTGCCTTATCTCAAAAACAATATGTACCCACAAAACCACTGAAACTGACTAAAATTATGATTTATATGCATGTCAGTACACAGCACATTTCATGACAAGTATGTGGAGCTGTAATTCTTCGACTGAGATACATAATGGATGGAGAAAAAGACTACTCCATAACATGCACATAAACCTTGTGTGTGCTTTCTCCCAACCGAAACAGGATGAACATGGAAAATGCTTTTCAGTGAAGTCGTGGGTTCTGCAGTGCAAACACAGGCATGTAGTCTGCCATTGTTGCTGCTGTCGCTGTTACATGATGTAGCTGTGTTTGACTAGTGTTCAGACGTGGGCGGATGACATTATATTTTTTCGTTAAATATAAGGACTGGGTGCTTACACAAAAACTCGAGGCCATTATTATTAGTTTTATCCACTCTGGGACCCGGTTTCAAAAATAGGGCTGCTTTCATTCGGACAAAACACCTATATGATACAAAATTCAACTTAATGTGAGTTAACCTGAGATATGAATATTTTTTTATGTTTTGTGTGCACAAGTCAGAACACAAACATAAAGTTGCTGGCTGCAGATCACATATCAGCCACTGGTGTCACTAAAACAAGATCTCTGAATACTTGAAGCCTCTTTAAAGGGCACCCATGATGCAGAATCAACTTTTGGAAACTGTTTGGACAGAACTGGCTGTAGGTATCAAATTTGGGAGATATAAACACAAGTCTCTTAAATAAATTTCCTGACATTAAAATAGGATCCAAATCTTTGCAATTTTTGAGGACCTCTGCAACGGGATGTAGTAGTGTGGTTTTCCCCATGTCAAGAATGAGTTTTACAAGTTTAAAATGTTTAAAAACAGGACATGTTTATAATAAAGAAAAGACGTTTAGGCTGTACAAGGTCTCTTCAAGGAGACATGCAAAAACTGTGTGTGTGTGTGTGTGTGTGTGTGTACTGCGAGAAATGCTTTAATAAACTCCACCATATATCACATAAACTCAATTGCTATATTTGACTCATAAACTCAAAAAATGAATCCTGGATCTGCTTTACCAGTGTCTGTCTCTGTCACTGTGCTAAGTTACTTGTCACAGTAGACACGCACATGGGAACAGTGGGCCGGGACAACCAGCTCATTTGCATTAAAGGCACAGGCTACAAAAACAGCTACACATTGCTCTGAGCACAAAATTAGGCATATTCTGGACGGTATAATAAATAATCTGATGGATATTTTGAGGTGAACTTTACAGACACATTCTGGAGACACCAAAGACTTATCTTACATCTTAAAAAAGGGGATAAAATAGTAGTCCTTTAAATTAGATTACATTATTGTAATAAAACATATTAAAAGGATTAATATTTATCTTCCTCTGTCTCTCTATCAGAGAAGCGTGACTTTATTGTGGTCCATCACCTGGCAGACTTGAAGGGGGGATCCATCTCTCCTCTCATTTATGGAACACCGATCACCTGCAAAGTGGAAAACACAGAGCGATACACCACCCGCTCCAAGGTGTGTTTGTGAACATGTCATTAAAAATCTGTTGCTGTGATATATTTAACGATGTGACTATCCTGTTTGTAGGTACATGTGTGCACTCTATACACAGTTCGTCTGACACATGGCGAGTTCACATGGACGGTGAAAAGAAAGTACAAGCACTTCCAGGAACTCCACCGGGACCTGTACAAACACAAAGTGATGCTGCAATTCTTGCCTCTAGGGAGGTGCGCGTATTCACAGACGCATGCAAATTCACTACACTTTATTTGTTTTGCTGGAGAAATTGCATCATGTTTTTTCTCCCATTGTTTATGTGATGTTCAATTAGATTTGCAATACAGAGACAACAGCTGGCAGGTTTGACGGAGGAGATGCCGACTTTACATGGAACTGATAGAATCAGGAGAACGTCGAGTAAACCGGTATATTTGTGCTAAAGCACTAAAACCCACTGCCATCCAAAAGATGCAAACAAAATGTCTTGAAAAAGATGTGTTTGTGTGTGTTTTTCAGAAATATCTGGAGGAGTATCTAAACAACTTGCTAGAAAACACCTTCTACAAGAACTATCATGGGATGGTGAGAAGCTTGCGTATACATTTTATCAGTATAATTATCTGGATTCTAAAAGAAAACCTTTAGATGTTTATATAAAGAATATTAACAGAGCAAGGAAGTTTTCACAGTATGTCTGATAATATTTTTTTCTTCTAGAGAAAGTTTTATTTGCATTATTTTGGCGAGAATAAAAGGAGTTTTTAATAATAAAAAGAAATTAAGGTCAAAATTATTATCCCCTTTAAGCTATATATTTTTCGATAGTCTACAGAACAAACCATCATTATACATTAACTTGCCTAATTGCCCTAACATGCCTAGTTAACCTAATTAACCTAGTTAAGCCTTTAAATGTCACTTTAAGCTGTATAGAAGTGTCTTAAAAAATATCTAGTAAATGAGTTAGTAAAACTACTATGTTCAGAAATGTGTTAAAAATCTGCTCTCCGTTAAACAGAAATTGGGGGAAAAATAAACAGAGGGGTGAATAGTTCAGGGGGTTATTATGTTTAGAAATAGGTAAGAATAAAAAAAATAGGTAAAACAGAAAAAAATCTCTCAGTTAAAAAGAAATTGGGGAAAAAAAATAAACAAGGCGGCTAATAATTTTGATTTCAACTGTACATATCAACCCAGGCTCATTGTGGAAACGTAGTCCCGCGGACGTTTCTGGAGACGGCGGAATACGTCCCGGCGGGTACGTATGGCTGCAGTTTTTGTTTTCGCGAATCCGCGAGAGGCCGTTGTTGTGCGCTTTCTCGCACCTCAGACGCCTCTGGACAAACGGGTTGCAGCGGGGAAGCCCTCCACAAGGACGTAAGGCAACTGCGAAAGGGAACACAGCGTCACACCGCCCTGCAGCGTTCGCTTGAAAAAAAAAAAAAACGCGGCCGTACGTACCCCCCGGGACGTATTCCGCTGTCTCCAGAAACGTCCAGGGACTAAGTTTTCAGAATGAGCTTGGGTTAGTACATATACTTGGATCTCATTTACAAGGGTGACTTGGCCAAGAGGTCCGGAACACATGATGTAACTACCCGCCGGTTATTAAAACAGTCCACGCTTCCAAATATTGATGTCCATCATGCGTTTCATTTATTGAACACCGTGAAAACTAAAGGATAAACAAATAAACAAACCAAATATTTCACACAAACATAAATAGACAGTACATCTAATAAATATACAAAACAATGTTTAGTTTACCGTGTTGGCCTGATAAACAGCTGTAGAATAAGCAGGAGCATTTAACAGGTGCTTGCATTGAGATCTCACTATGCTGAGTGACCATACACACTCTCGCAGGTTAAATCAATCAAAGAGAATCATGTGACCTCCCACTCAAGCCAACGGGAAACAAAGAAACTTGTAACATAAACATACACATTCAAATAATAAAATAGAAAACAATAAACAAAACACAAGCTGACTGATCAGCATCAGCTACACATGACTTATGAAAAAATAATAATAATAAATAAAAAGTGAAGATAATATGAAAATACAGTTTAGTTATTCAGCTTTACCACATTACAATATTTGAAATACACATACATTGAGAAATGGACTGTTGTTGTTTGTTATAAAGGATAAAACGAAATTATTTAATTGGGATGACATTTTTAGTTTAGACTGAAGGATATTCCAGCATGAGGGGGCGGCATGGATAAAGGCTCAGTTCCCTATTTCAGTTTGAACCTGGGGAACAGACAAATGATTCGTTTCACTTGAACGTAGGGCATACTGGCTTTTGACCTATGAATAGGCCCACATAGACTCTTTTAGCAGATTTTTAGCCCATCATTGAGTTTATATATTTACTTGTGTAAATGTGTGTAAATTTATATTTATTAAGTTTATTTATTCATTTCACTAATATTTTTGTGGTTGTAATAATAGTAAAAATAAAATGTTCATATGATTTATTTACAATACAGTTTATTAAGTAATATGTTCTTTCTTTTAGTAGATATGTTATATGAGTGACTTGCTTTGTTTACTAAATAATTGGATTTGCATTGAAACAGTAAATAAAAGTAAAAAATTTATTATTTGTTTATTTCATATGTTAAGTTTTTAGTTATGATACTCCTAAAATCATTCCACACAAATATTTAAAAATACAAAATTCTTAGCAGAAATAGCTAAAAATGTCTGCAGATTCTGTCTGGCGTTTGAAGAAGGGAACATAGGTATAAAGACCAGACCCAAAAGAGCCTTGTAGACCAGAGTCATCCAGTGGGTGTACCTTCTTACATTCACAAAAGTCCTTTCAGCTTTGACACACAATATACATGTATTCCTGTTAGGGCTGAACGATACATCTCATGCGATTTTTGTTGTGCGCAGTATTCTATAAAGCTGTTTCTGTAATCAGCTGTGAACCTTTAGCACGTGTTTAGCTGGAGATGGGTTTACTGCACAAAGCCATAGTTCTCTGTCAAGCTACGCAAAATATCACATGCGATATCATGTGTTAATCAAATCACAAATAATCATTCTGTGATATTGAGAGCTGTTTGCGTATCTTCACCATGAATATGATGATATGAAAAGATGATAATCCAATGATCAATAAAAGTTAAGCAGGTAGTATTACACTAAACTAAATTGAAACCCAAAGAACTTAGATTGGGTAGAGATATATTAAACATAGTAATATAAAGGTATAAAACTATAGTGTTTTACTCTAGAAAAAGGTATTATAATGTAAATATTATAGTATTTACAACTCCTTTTTTATCTATAGTAATACAGTGAACAGTAAATTGTGTTGTTCCACAGTTGACAGTCACTCTGAATGAACTCACAACTGAAGCATTCTCTCTGTCTGTGTGATCTCAGACAACACATGAGTTCTCCTTCCGCATGAACTGTCAAATACACACACAATTGTCAAAATGTTCATCATGTGGACTAACAGTGAGTTCAGTGTGTATATTGCACCACCGATAATGATTGATCAGACTTAGCAGGCACACAAAAGCACACAAGAGAAATAATTTACAGTGGTGGGGGAAATAAGTATGCAACATGTCATGTCTTTTTCTTAGGAATGATATTTCTATAGGAGCTGTTGACATGGTATTGATCCAGGTTTTGTCAAAAACCCAAACAATACAAATATAAAATTAAAACAAATAAATAAATCAGAATTTTTTTTATGTGTAATAACAGTGGAATGACATAAGTAGAAAGCACTGCATATTGAATGTTTTTAATATGTTTATGAAAAAGGCTTTTTTCATGATGGCAGCTTAAAGATGCCTCTCATATAAAGAATGAACATTATCAGTTCATTCTTTTTTCTTTTTTTTTTTTGTCCAGACTTCAACAGAGTGCAAAAATCTTGATGGTTCTGTGGGTCTGGTCTATCAATCTGATCTTTATTTAGTATTTTCTATTGGATTGAAGTCAGGTGATTGGCTGGGCCATTCTAAAGCTTGATTTTCTTTTTCTCATTGTCGTTAATCATTGTCTTGCTGAAATGTCTACCCTGGTTTCATCTTCATCATGCTGATAATGTAGATGTTGACAATGTAGACAATAACGAAGGGCAGAGGGTTGCTGAAAAACTACTGAGAGATTTCAGCTGCCGTAAGGCTTTCACTGCCTTTCTACACCTCCCTTACCTCATGTGTTCAATACGTTGTTCCTGCGTCAATTAATTTTATTACACATAACTTAATTTGCAAACGAATGAGTTTTGATCGCCTTGCATATATGGGCTTTTTTTGGTTGTTACCAACGTCCAGTGAAAATGTCAACAGCGCTTTTAGAAATATGTTTTCTGAGAAAAATGGTGACGTCTTCAATAATTGTTTTCCCCACTGTGAATAGCTAGGCTTATTCTGCAGAAACTTTAGTAGAGACATCTGTTAGTAATTCTAAGAAACTTGATAAATACGGTCGTTTCAATTCTAAGACTGCATCTCTCACATTATCAAGGCATGTTAATAACATAAATAGTAGAATTTTTAAGGAAATATAACTGATAACACACTTAATAAAGCTTCTGGTCATTATAAATATGAACTTTTCAAAAAAAAATCTATCAGAAAGTATTAGACACAATCGTACGCTCGTCATTGATTTTGACACAAATTTTATAATGGAAAAAGATTGCATGTAAGCTTTTATGACAGCAAAGGTTGCACTGTGTACACCTGCATTAATGCATAAAAGATCAGAAAAACACCACAAAGATACAGAGCCACATACACAGCATTAGTGTAATCTGCAAGAGAAAATTATTGTTTACAGTGACCACACTGCATTAAATACTTTTTCTGCATTATAAATACATTTTGTAAATTCTGGACAAACCATTATGTGTCTTTAAAGTGAATCCAATTTGACACCAAACTCCAGTGAATATATAGAAGTTGACCAGACAAACATGAAATACTTTGGGCTCTATTTCGACGATCCATGCGCAGAGCGCAAAACGCAGGGCGCAAACGCTTTCAGGGCGTGTCAGGACGCGTTTTTGCTCATTTAAGGACGGGAAATCTGCCTTGCGCCGCGGCGCATGTTCTAAAAGGGTTGAGTTTATTTTCTTAATGAGTTATAGGTGTTTTTGAGAATAAACCAATTAGAGTCTCATCTCCCATTCCCTTTAAGAGTCACGCCAAGAGCGCATTCGCTATTTACAGGACGCAAAGTAAGTCTAAGTGGAAAAAATGAGCATTTCACAAGCAAACAGTTAACAGTTTTTTAACAGAAAACTGTTAAACAGAGCATCTACTGCGTGAGAATAAGTGATAATGGAACTACTTTCACATTCGCTCTTGGATAGGGAAACCTTTACGCACAGACATCAATTAGTCCATAAATAAATAATTTTGTTTGTTAAGCGCAAATATTCGTTTCAAAACTATTTCTAAATTCAGTTCTAATTTCCAGCAAACGAATAAATAAATAATAATAACAAAATGTGCTCAAAAACTTGAGTTATATCCTAAAACACATGCTGTGCCCCATATGGTCTAAAACCTGACAGGTGGGCAAATCTAAGCTTGTTTTTAATAAAACAAATATAAATATGGATATAATAAATAATACTGCTAATAATAATAACATTATACAAAAGCAAATTGTTATGAATGAACTGAAAACGCTTCCTGAGATGAAGAAGACATAAAAGCAGTGATTTTTCATATTTATGTAGGCTAGAAAATAATGTTTTGTATATTTTAATCCTTTATATTTATATTCTATATCTATTCTTATTATATCCTATATATATCCTTAATATTTACATTTTTTTATATGTAAAGATAATTGCCTATTGCTCTCTTGTGCGTATTAAGCAGTGCGTAAGCGAGGCGCAACTCTGCGCCAGAGTTTAGACCGGGTTAGTTTTGGTCTAATGAAAAATCTATTTTAGTTTCTCATAATAGCAACGCGCCAGCGGTCCGCCTCAGAATGCCTCGCTTTTTAGACCAGAACGCCTATGGGCGCAAAAATGAGCACTAATGCATTTGCTATTTAAACAATGTAGCGCAACGCCGCAAAACCACTCTTGCGCCAAGCTGAAACTACCAAAATACTATTGCGCCGCGCCTTGCGTCACACTGCGCCGGGTGTATGATAGGTCCCTTTGCGTTTATATTGTCTGCAATAAAATGCAAGTCAAAGTAAATTTGAAAATCACTACTTTCTTTTTTATTTGCATTTTCCATATTGTCACAACTTTTTGTGCACAATTAGCGAATAAAGCAGATTCTGATTCTAAATTAAGAGGTAACAGTTCATAGGTGACTGCTGTACAAAACGAAAACACCTTCATAAATGTCCCAGGCCTAGCCTCACTACTTCTTCACGGTCATCACTCCTCTGTGGGATTTAAGACTCAGTGCAGCACATAGGCTTTACTCAATACTTCTTGAGTCACCGATCATACTTTGATTCCCGGAGTCTTGGCGTTGTCCACCCTCACTGACCTGATGTTCGCTTGAGACTGCTATCAGCCCTATCCCACTAATCACACACCCATTACTAAATGCAAAGTTACAGAGAATTGTGCTTGTGATATATTTTCATATTAAAGTGTGTGTATTGTGCTCTCAGATGGACTTCTTGGCGATCAGTCCATTGTCATTCATCAGAGACCTTGGACCCAAAGGCCTGTAAGTATTATGACTTCAGTACTTTTCCACTGTTGCCAGAATGTAGTTCTGATATCTTTCCCCCCCAACAGTGAAGGTTATATTCTGAAACGGTCGGGGGGTCACCGCATCCAAGGGCTCAACTGTATCGGACACCATCAGTTCTGCTTTCGCTGGTCTCGCCGCTGGCTTGTGGTGAAGGATTCGTTCCTCTTGTACATGTCCAGGTGAGTTTCACCTCCATACCGATACACCCACTTCTTGGGTGTTATCTGTAACTTCAATTTGCTTCATCCCTTTTTTTTATTGTCTCATGCTAAAACATGCCTCTCAGTTCGATCTGTGAATAGATAAGAAACACACATCAGCCACTTGCTGTTTCGGTTTCTTTTTAATTCACCTTTTATTTTTGGTTTTATTGTCTGTTTTTCAGAACATTCTGCTGTCATGTCAATTCACAGATCAGTACATCTAACATGTTTCATTTATACATTAGTGTTAAATACTGTACAATGCAATATGGAATGGATTGTCTGTCTTTCTCTCAAAAAAAAAAAAAAAAAAAAATAATCGATCTTCTCAGCCTAGAGCTTAGTTGAGGCTTCAAAATCACAGGAGGTCAAAGAAAAGTTAAAGCTGCAGTTAAAGGTAATCCAGGAGATAGTTCCTGGACTAGAAACCAGCCAAACAGGTTCTCTGCTTTTACTGTTTCGGTGTAGAGGTCATGATTGTTTGGTAGGGGTGTGCGATGTTGACAGAAATATCTTGATAATCTTTTACATTAAAGCATAAGATAAGAAAATGCTTTTGTCATAACAAGATGTGTTTTTGTTTGTAAAAAGTGATATACACACCTGTCAGATCCTACTGTACACTGAGACACACCCCTGGTGTCATTTCATTTCTCAGTAACACTTTCGCTACTTTTACACTGCAGGCAAATGTGGCCCAAATGCATTCGTGGCCAAAACTCACTTTTTGATTTTCAAATGTGACTCAGATCTGTTTTTGTCATGACTCGGGAATCTGGTCTTTTCAATTCCGATCTGTGCCACTTTTATCTGCAGTAATAAATCCAATACAGATCTGGGGTCTAATTTGCATAACATTTGCCTAGAAAATATCTATAACAAACATACAAATACATTTAAATTGTATTTATTTATGATTATGGCTAATATGAGGATTTAAAGTGGTTCAATTAAGTTAATGTTTAAATTAAATAGGTTTACGTAGAGTTTAATTACTGCTGTGCACATTCTCTTGTCAAGTTTGTTTTTTATAGATCAAAACATTCGCATATATCATACACGTATACATCATTTGTGTGCATGACCTCAGATGTTTTGCAATGCGACCGCAATGTGAACGGTCATGTCCAAATTCATGCAACTTTTATGAATATTTCGTTTGATATGTCATCAACTTTCTTCGCTGACATGTACTACAAACATCCCCTTTTTTCTCAGCAGCTGCTCATTAACTCTTGATAAGTTCACTGCACTTGTGTGCTCTGTCCAGCCATGCTTGTCATAGATCATGACTTATCAGTGTTTTCAATCACATAACACTTATTTTAGGCTTCAGACATTTAAACACACATTAGAAGGATCCAATCAACCTCACAGTACGTAGTTAATAGAAATTACACCTGCTGTCTGTGGAAGTGGCTAAAATAATAATTTTAAACAATGTGCTCCATTCACATCTTACAGTATACACATTGTGTACATAATTAGAAAGTTTACGCTGTGTGTAGTTTTGCACATGTTGGTCAGTTAAGGACCATGATTCTTTTACACTGGAAATCTGATATTGACTGCATTTAAAACAACAATCTGAAAGGCTATACTAATAAATATCAGCTCTGAGAAAGAAAAAAAATCTTGTTTGAGCACTAAGACTTGCAGTTTGAGCATAGCCTAAGTTTTTAGAAGATCGTAACCAAGTGCAGATGGAAGTGTGCATTTTTAATACAGTTCAATATGAATGTAATACAGGTCAACAAGGATCATTTAACCTCCACTGAATGCTTCTGTCAGCGTTCAAACAGGATTTTAAAAAATTTGTCAGGAAGGGAAAATGACTCATCATTCATTGTTCCTTTTAAGGCCTGAGCCAGTTTATGTTAGTTGCAGTAACTATGCATAACACATATATGACAAACAGGCAAAGCAGTTCTGGAAAACAGACTGGTTTCCTTGAAAGCAGAGGCAAATGTTTGCCCTGCCCTGAATTATGTGCTAGTAAAAAGCCAGGAGGCTAAATATGTAACCTTACAGTAAATGAATAAATCAAAGGCAACAAATAGTGAAATATACAACAACCTGAGTGGCTTCCTGAATGTTTAGTGAGGGAAGTTTCAGTCGTGCATAGTTTACATTGTTTAGATTTCTTCATAAAGAACAATCTCAGGTGTTGTTTTAGTGGCTAAACTGACTCATCTAGGCGTGGACCTCCTGTTCCATCTACAGTACACATCTGACATATGTATCATATGCAACCTTCTTCCTTTTTTCAATGGTCTTTCATTATTTTACACCTTCATCTCTTATATTCACTGCCATTCAGTACCATTGAGGTTGATGAACAGAAATATTATGATATCTTATTATTGCACCTTGAAAGAACATTTTTATTTGAGTATATTGTGATTTAAAAAGAATATCACAACTTTAAAAATCTGTATTTAATCAAAGAAACATGACGAAACCTTTGGTAATCAATCAATGTAAAGAGTATTTAAAAAAGACTTTTGTTCAGTAGAAAACAAGTTCTTAGATGTTCAGTATGACCCCCTCCAGACACTCGAGCGACATCAACTTGAAAGTTGTGTGTGTTTTTTTTTTTTTTAATCACCCTGTATATTCTATATATTAATAGAATATGTAATGTATTCTAAAACTGTAATTTTTTCTTTGATGCCAAAGCTACATTTTATAAATGGATACAAGCAGCCATGACATGACTCATTAGATAATAATCCTTATCTTAATTAGATAAGAAAGGCTTAAGAATCCTTTTGGATAACTTTCAGTGCTGAAACATTTTTTGAGATATTATATTAAAATTATTATATTAAAATGATTTGGTAACACTTTACAATAACAGTACATGAATAATGATGTAATAATGTGTAAACTAAACATTACTTTATTTTGAACTAATGATGAGTTAATGCATGAACTAATCATTAATTAACTTTAACTCCAACATAATTCGCAAGAGTTCATGTGTAAATAATGGCTAACTTAATACTTGTTTTTTGATAGTAAGGTAGAAGTTGGTTTGAGGTTTTGGGTAGGATTACTGTGCGTTCGCACTGAAGGCGTTGAGAGCGTCAAAATTCGCTACATTGATCTCATATCTAATGAGGCCGTTGCAGCATATCATATGAGTTACATTCCCGCATAAAACATGCTTTCTAGCATGAAAATGTTGCACACTTTTTATCAAACTTAACTAACAATGGAAGATCAAGTTGCATGTGGTGTAACTTTGCTCCACTTAATTATCCAATGTGTCCATATGTCTGAAATATTCTGAAGCAGCAATACTTTTTTAAAGAAAAAAAATAATAATAATATGTAAAAAAAAAAAAAAATATATATATATATATATATATATATATATATATATATATATATATATATATATATAAACATTAATGCACATCAGTAACTCACCAGTAAATTTTTTTAACGTATGTCCCTGTAAGAAAACATTGTAAATAATTAAAAATCCGGTGACAGCAATAATCAAACCCTTGGGAACAATTGTGGTCGGAACCAAAGTTCAAAGTGACTGTGTTCTTTGGAGTCCTCTCAAGCGATGAACTACATTCTAATTGCTTGCTGCCGAACCACCGCAAAACTCGTTACCATAAAGTTGACTTGAGCTGCGTCCCAAATGGCACACTTTACACCATGCACTTACACACTCAACAGCATAGTATAAGTATGTAGTGTCTTCCCAAATGGAACACTAATGGTTATTTTACTAAGCAAAAATTCAAACCGTTTGATTACAGAAATAAATGACCAAACCATCAAATAATACCTGCCATGATTATAACTGCATTCACCATCGGGAGGCGGTATAATCACTGTCATAGGAGAATACTGCTTTTACAATCCAAAATAAATAAAGTAATCCAACATGTGCGCCCAATAGCTCTGCCCCTTTAGTACGAACGCACTACTTACACTATTTATGCTACTAAATGCATTGAATAGTGCATAAATACAACTCTCCTCGATACCACCCATTGAAAACGAATGACTTTTGCTACTTTGACTCTCTTGCCTCTTTCGTTGTGAATGTACAGTTAGGGATGCAGAATAAGATCATATTTTTATAACTACTAATAAACAGTTAATATATTAATAATAGGCAGATAATAAGCCAGTATTTAATATTGTGAATTGTGACCTAAACTAAAGTGTTACCCATGTTGTTAATAAATGTATAAGTGTCAGCTAAATGTAACCAACATGAACTCGTGAGCTGTTAATGTATATTTCTATCATGACTTTACTTGGAGGGGCACATCATCAACTCATCCTTAACTACTCATCAACTCCTGTGTTTAAACTGTTCCTATTGATGTTAACAGACCACTTTTCTATTGTTATTCAGTGTAAACGCACTAGATGGACATGCATAAAAAGTTCATGAATAGTTAATAATGGGTTAATGATGATGTGCCCCGCCAAGTAAAGTCATGACATAATCATACATTATCAGCTCTAGAGTTCATGATGGTTAAATTATGCATAAACTAAAGTTGTAATTAATACATTAAATAACAAACAACCATGTACTGACAAGTAATTAAGGTAGCCATTGTTAATTAATGTACAGTATTAACTAACACTTAAGTTTAAGGTTAATGTAACACTCATGAGCTGTTAATGTATAATTCTGTCATGATGACTTTACTTGGAGGGGCACATCATCATTAACTAACAAGTAATTAAGGTAGCCGGTGTTCACTTATGAATTCTTGTGACTCATGTTGTAGTTAACATTAGTTCATGATTAGCGCATGCCTTAACTCATCATTACTTCATAATAAAGTACTGTTTAGTTTAAATGTTAACACATCATTATTTATGTTCTGTTATTGTAAAGGGTTACCAAATAATTAAATAGGCACTTGATTATAAATCATTTTAACATTCTTTTACACAAACTATTAGTTTCTCTTAAACACTGACTTTAAATATAACTGTAGATCTTTGTATTGTTTTTGAAATCATGTTTATGCTTTGTATTTGATGTGGAAATGATGGTTGATTCAGCTCTGAATTGTCTCAGCATTGATGTTGTTTATTGCAGCACTCCTATTTAATGTGCATTAATATTTAATCATTCATTTGTTAATGGGTTTTCTATTATTGTTGTTGTTTTCTGTCACTGTTGTGTACGTGCAGAGATCCTGGCATTGTGTCGTTTGTTCTGCTGTTTGACCCCGAGCTGAAGGTGCTGGTTGGACGTGTTTACACTGATATCCAACATGGCGTTTGCATCGAGAATTTCGGCAGGTAAAATAGTTTATTCTCATGACCGGTGTCAGGAAGTCTTCCTCTTCCAGATAGAGATCTGATTTTAGAAAGGCATGTGAAGAAATGGCTGGTATTTGTGTGTGTTTTTAGGAAGCTGGTGATCAAGTGCAGCAGTTACAGGCAGGCTCAGTGGTGGAGTCATGAGATTCGCAGTCTCTCTGAGCGCTGTGATTTCTATAAGCTGCATCGATTTGAAGGCTTTGCCCCACCCAGACCGGACACCCTCACAAAGTGGTCTGTGCATTTGCATAATGCTTCATTTTAGAGAATATTGATTTATGGGCTAGTTTATGCAATGAAGTTGGTACTGAGTAAATGACTGTTGATTGACAGGTATGTTAATGGCCATGGCTATTTCTCAGACCTGGCTGATGCACTGGAACAGGCCAAGGAGGAGATCTTCATCACTGATTGGTGGTTAGTTTAAACCCACACACATACACACAAACACAAACCTACAACAGTACATGACCTGAATGTGTCAAATCAATTAACAGAATCAATGATGCATTCTTAAAAATGAGTTAAATCCTGCAATAAAATGTTGGGGTATTAGATCTAATCCAAATCACATACTGCCAGTGTAAGTGCAATACTGGATTCAATGAAAAAAATATATTTTACAATGACTGTCTGTAGAACTATCGTGGCTTAATGGGAAAAAGAACTGGTAATTTTTTTTTTTTTTTTCCATATTTCATATAATAACAGACAAGTAAAGCTGCTGATCATGTACTTCTGTTTAAAACATTGATATCAGTTTAAACTTTGAATAAAAGCGTCTGCTAAATGACTAAATGTAAATGTAAAGGAATAATATTTTTATTAGGCAAGTACAAATTAAATGATGGTTCACTGAAAAATAGATATTCTCACTCTCCACTTGTTTACATTTGTTGCAAACTTTTTACAGTTTGTTATGCTGTTGAACACAGAACAGAACAGAAGATGGTTTGTAGAATTGAAAACCAGTAGACTTTGACTTTCATTGTATTTTTTCCTACTATGGACTGCAGTCGACACTCATCGGCCACTTTATTAGGTACTTCTTACTAGTACCTGGTTTGATCACCTTTTACCTTCAGAAATGCCTTATTACTTTATGGCACAGTTTCAACAAGGTACTGGAAATCTTCCTCAGAGATTTTGGTCCATATTGACATTGTAGCATTACGCAGTTGCTGCACATTTGCTGGCTGTACATCCATGATGCGAATCTCCCGTTCCACCACATCTTAAATAATTGAAAATCACTAGACATTGACTTCCATTGTATTTTTTCCTACTATGGATTTCAGTTTCCAACATTCTAAAATTGTTCAGCTGAAATAGGAACCAATGATTCTCCAGGACCAAAGTTTCCTATCTCTGACCTAGCCTGTGCGTTTGGAGGACTGTAATGTTTAATATTGGTTTAAACTGTCCTTATGTCTGTGGTCTCTAAGTATTTAAAATCACTTAAGGTTTAAAAATTGTGTAATGAATGCCAAGTCTTATATGTTGGTCAGAAAAACGTTTTTTTTTTTTTTTTTTTTGTCTACTGGGAAAGTAGACATTCAGATTCTAGGAATATCTGAGATTGTTAAGTTTAGTTAAGTACTTGTAAATTGGTATGAGTGAAAGTGTTGTGAAGTTGTTTTTCTCTCTGCAGGCTCAGTCCAGAGGTTTTCCTCAAACGACCGGCAACTGGAACATACTGGCGCTTGGACAAGATTCTCAAACGCAAAGCAGTATGTGAGAGAACCTTTTTAGATTTATATTCATTGCCTTAATATGTAAAGGGATAGTTCAAGCAGAAATGAAAATTGTGTTAGGCTGCGTTTACACTGCATCATTCAAGTGACCCAATTCCGATTTAATTTTTTTCCATGTGGCACAGATCATCAGGAAAAAAATCACATGGATTCCGATTTACTCAAATCAGATTCAGGCCTTGTTCATATGTGGAAATGTATTCCATAGGAATGGGATTTGTGCCCTTGTGTCTGCAGTGTAAGCAGGTAGATCAGATTTTCACCTGCCAATGCTAGTCGTGCATCATTAAAAATCGTAGCGAATGACGTCACTCTGCCACTTTCAGCAGAGTCCCAAACCTTACATTTCATATACCAGAAAAAAAAGCATTTATATTGTCATATAGTACATGTATTCAAGCATGTTAGCAAGCGGGAGAGAGAGAAAGCACAACATCTGCTACGTAGACAATATATTGCTTGCATCACGTGCATAAATCGCACCATGGACATTAAATTAAGATGCCTACTTGTTTAAAAAAAAGCCTAGACTAAAAGAAGATGGCCAAATAAGAACTTTTCTGTCACAAACTATAGTAAAACAGCTTGTCAAAAAGAAATTAAAAATGAAATCGTTTGAACAGATTAAATACAGGAATGGAGAAAAGGGTGCTCTTTTATTATAAGCTGTCAGTCAGCTCCCGCTCTTTTTTTTTTCCTGGTCATTGTGTCTTGCCATTGTGTGCAGTGTAAATGCAGACAATCGGATATGAGTCACTTTTAAAAGATGATGTAAAAAAAAAAAAATCAGATACATTCACAAAATCAAAATTGACCATCAAGATCTGCAGTGTAAATGCAGCCTTTTTCATCCTCCAAACCAGAAAGAATTTTCTTTGTTCTGTTGAAGAGATTTTAAAGAATGTTGGAAACAGGTAGCCATTGACTTCCAGAGTCTTTGTTATTTGTTTAATTTTTTGCTATCAGTTTCCAACATTCCTCAAAGTCTCTACTTTTGAATTCCACAAAAACAGAAAGAAATCAAGGTTTGCAACCACCCGAGGGTCAGTAAGTTGAGATTGAATTGAAAATGCAATGAAAATTTAATGAAAATCAATTCTATTAATAATTATTCATATTTTGAAAGATGTTAGGAAGCAAACCGTTTAATAGCTCCCATGAGCTCTCTAGTTGATCTTTTTTAACCAGACAAAACATTACATCTGTAAAAGTATGCACATTTAAAATATGTTGATTGTTATTAATTTACCATGACTGTGTGTGTTTAGGAACAGGGAGTAAAGGTGTGTGTGCTGTTGTATAAGGAGGTTGAACTGGCTTTGGGCATCAACAGTGGATACAGCAAAAGAAAACTGATGAGCCTGCATCCCAATATCAAGGTTCATACAGCATAATTCTATCACATCATAACAGCTGTGATTTTTTTTTTTCCCCCAGGCCAGCTTTTAGATGACTCAATCTCAATTCATTTCTTTTCCTTTAGGTGATGCGTCACCCTGATCATGTGGCCTCAGTTGTAGTCCTCTGGGCCCATCACGAAAAAATGGTCGCCATCGACCAATCGGTGGCCTTCGTGGGTGGGTTGGACCTTGCATTTGGGAGGTGGGATGACAGCGATTATAGGCTGAGCGATCTGGATTCCCCAAAACAACCCAGTCCTCCAGAGGCAGCGTCAGAGGTACAGCTGTGACAAGTAGCTGTTGTCCTCAAGTAACCTGTTGGTGCCATACTATTCCAGTTCCAATTTATTTTCTCTCTTCTAGCTTCCCACTCCCTCTTTGTCTCAGGGTGACACTGTGGACGGCTCTGCAGTTCCTCTGACACAGCCTGCGTCAGAGTGTGAGGATGAAGTAGATCTGAGCTGTAATGCCCTCTTGTGGCTGGGAAAAGATTACAGCAACTTTATCAAGAGGGACTGGACACAGCTGGATCAGCCTTTCCAAGGTACACAGTCCAGTCCAGTCCAAAACAAAACAATTGTAAATACTTCAATACTTTTATGTATTAAATGTTCCTTTAAAGTTTATAGCAGCACATACAGTAACTAATATTGCCATCTTAAAATGTATTAAATCTCAAAAGCTAAATTTTAGGCCTTAAAAAGTTTTAAATCTACTGACATATTGTGTTGTAGGTGTTAAATCTTTTTTATCAGGTCTTAATTTTCCTTTGTTTATATATACCATTCTGGCCATTAACACCTTTACAATCACCAACAATCCCAATCTCAAAAAATCTTTTAACTTTTTATTTAAAAAGAGCATTTTATTACCCTCCTTACAGTAATATTTGTTTAAAAGTACTTTATTTATTTACTGCTGAGCATACTGACCTGACATGATGTTTTTTTTATTATTAAAGTACTATTGTATTATTAAATCTATTAAAATTATAATCATTTTTAGACAAGGCATGTGAAAATCTTTTCAACTGAGATATTCAGAAAAAAATCCTTAGCATTTAGCCCTGTATCTATAATGTTTCAAAAAGTCTAAAATGTCATTCCTAATGTCTTAAAAATGTCTTTAAAAGTCTTAAATTTGACTTGGTGAAACTGGCAGAAACCCTGGAGATTCATTCATTCAACGGAATGAACCGCCAACTTATCCAGCATATGTTTTTACTCAGCGGATGCCCTTCCAGCTGCAACCCATCTCTGGGAAACATCCATACACACTCATTCGCACTCATAAACTACGCACAAATTGGCCTACCCAATTCACCTGCACCGCATGTCTTTGGACTGTGGGAGAAACCGAAGCACCCGGAGGAAACAAACGCGAACGCAAGGAGAACATGCAAACTCCACACAGAAATGCCAACTAACCCAGCTGAGGCTCGAACCTTTAAGGATGGCTCTAGCCAGGCTCTAGCATTTAAGGAAGCTCATTTCGGCTAATTTTGCTAACCAACAACTGCCGCTCGTTAACCAAATATTAACCGTTAACTGTTCAGATAAATATTTAATTAAATTTTTTTTTTTTAATTTTGACGTGTCTATTTTGTGTGACACAATAAATATTATTTTAAAATACTGATTTATTTTAACATGCAAACATATTAACAACAGAACACCTTCAAGCACCTGCAGTGTTTCCAACAGCACAGAAATTAGGAATAAACTAAATACAAAGAGTAAAGTAATTAGTCCTGACCTAGATATATTTCACTTAAATTACAAACTTAGATAAAAAAAAATTAAAACACTGACTGAATCATTTTTAAGAAACAGCATGATGGTTTTTCCCATGATGTTTAAAAAAAATACAAATAAATAAATTTGCAGGCTACCTCAAATCTATCGCTCTACAGAAAATATGCATTTAATTAATGCTCCACTGTTAATAAATCACAAACCTCTGTCAACATTTTTAATAGAAGTCATTATTTTAAAGATTATGTCTTGAGCATCTGGTTTCATCTTAGAGCTTGTGTGCTTTTATTTTCTCTCTCACTCGTGGTTCATGTGCGCGCTGCATGTGATAATAGACAATGACAAAGCTCATATGTTGGCTTTTTGTAAAGTATAGGCTACTATAGCATATAACAATTTTGTTTTAATTTGGTGTGGAGTTATCAATATGCATGAAGTTATTGCATGCTATGAAGGCTGTTTTAACAATTGATATTTTATAAGAACTATTAATAACTGTAATTTTCCAAATGGAAAAAAGGTTGGTTTGTTGGTTGGACACTAAATCATCACAACTGTAGCCTATTTGTTGTGTTCCTAAGAGGTGCCGGAGCGCACTCTGATGAGAGAAAATTCCAACACTCCAACTTATGACCGGCTTGTTTCCAAAGCAGCGCACATTTTAGAAAGTTTTGTTTTGTGCTTCTTTCTCCAATTGTGCAAATGAACAGAAGTGTTTATGAGGCAGATCCAGGACCGAGGCAATCAGCATCAGTGCTGGTTTGGCATCAACTCGTCTGTGTCAAACTGTGACCAGCAATATCCTTCTTTCATCTTGCTAAATATATCTGTTGTGTTTGCACCTGTTAGCATCCCGTGAGTTAACAAATACGTGTTGCACAATTATGCAACTAATCAAAAAATATACAGTTAAATTCAAAATTATTAAACCCACCCACCCCCTGATTTTTTTTGTTAATATTTCCCAAATTATGTTTAACAGAGCAAGGAAATTTTCACAGTATACCTAAAAATATATTTGTTTCTGCAGAAAGTCTTATTTATTTGATTTTGGCTAGCATAAGAGCATAAAAGTTTTTTTTTTTTTTTACTATTTTAAGGTTAAATTTATTAGCCCCTTTAAGCTATATATTATTTTTCAATAGTCTAAAGAAAAAAAACATCATTATACAATAACTTGCCTTAACTTAATTAACCTAGTTAATCGATAAAACTTAATTAACCTAGTTAAGCCTTTAAATGTCACTTTAAGCTGTATAGAAGTAGCTTGAAAAACATCTAGTCAAATAATATGTGCTGTCATCATAGCAATGATAAATTAGTTATTAGTAGGGCCAGACTGAATCTGCGGACATTTTTTGTTATTTCTGTTGCAATTTTGGTAAAAATCTGTGGATTTCTGCAGAATTATTTTGGGAGTATCATGACTAAAACCTTAATATGTGAAATAAAAAAATATTATCTTCTTAACTTGTATTTTTTTGTAAACAAAGAAAGTCTTTCATATAATATATCTACTAAAAGACAGAAAATATTACTTTACAAACTGTATTGTACATAGATCGAATGAACATTTTCATATTAGTCAATAATATTACTGAAAATAATTAAAAAACTGAATAAATATAGATTTACACACATTTACTCAAGTAAATAAACAGATTTAATGATGGGCTAAAAATCTGCAGAAAATCTGCCAAATTCTGCACCCACAGATTCCGTGTGGGCCTAGTTATTAGAAATGAGTTCTTAAAACTATTATGTTTAGAAAAGTGTTAAAAAAAATCTGCTCTCCGTTAAACAGAAATTGGGAAAAAAAACAACAAACAATAATAATTCAGGAGGGCTAATAATTTTGACTTCAACTGTAGAGATAAATACATTTTTAATCGTTTAACTGATGCCATTAAACGGTTAAAAATGCACCCTTTCGGTTAACAGTGAATTGGTTATTATGAGCATCCCTACTTGCAATGTTTATAGAAACATATGTCAATTAAGTTTTAGCTTTGCCCAAGTCATTTGACTAATAATATACTAACAGAAATGTTGTTGTTTAAATATTTGTATTGTATTATATTATTTTAGATTGTATTATATTATATTATAATTACATTATATATATATATATATATATATATATAATATTACATTTTAAACTTATTATCATAGGCTGATTATTGTTTATTTTTTCAGGATTCTTTGGTATATAAAAAGTTAGATGTTAAAAAGAAGAGCTATTAGTTATTATTACTTAGTTGCAGGAATAAATAGTTTGGTTTTAACAAGAACAAATGTTGGGAAATGTCCAATGTGGCTTTAACAGTAATGTAGCTTTTGCTTTTGTTTCTTAGACAATGTTGACAGAACTCAGGTGCCACGCATCCCCTGGCGAGACCTGGGTGCAGCGCATCATGGAAAAGCAGCCAGAGATCTGGCACGACATTTCATCCAGCGCTGGAACTTCACTAAGGTTGGAAATTTTAAAAAATAATAACTTTTAAATTTTTTTTCTTTTTCACACTACAAACTTTTACCAGTTTTTTTACACATTGCCTATTTTCTGTGTCAATTAAAAGATTTTTAAGAACAAGTATAAGGATGATTTCTACCCATATCTCCTGCCAAAATCTCACTGCACATCAGACACACTGCCATTCAGCATCCCCGGTGCAACAAAAGCCTCTGTACAGGTACACACGTGTCCCCATTCTTTCATTCCCTTTCCCCGAAATGTCATTAATCTTGTCCGTCATCTATTTGTTTTTTCTTTTATTCCAGGTTCTTCGTTCAGTTGATCGCTGGTCTGCTGGCACATGTGAACACTCAATCCTCAATGCTTATGTGCATGTTATTGAGAACAGCCAGCATTACATTTATCTAGAGGTAACAGCCGCCCTGTGACCTTACAGAAAGCATTTGCTTCTGACTCATAAGACTCAGCGCACACACAGCTGAACAGACACTGCGCTTTGTTCACACACAGAGTCTCAGTGTTGTGGAGTTGTTTGCAGTGTTTTCTCCCACTAGGATCATGTGATTGCACTGCATTCAGCTGGCAGCACACAATAGCTCTCTGCTTTGGCCTCATGCTCAGACACAGGGTCCTAATGCAAGTCAGCTAAGCCTGAGAGAACATAACACGTGCTTCAGGAGGAAATGTTTATGTCCATGCAGAAATAAGGATAACACACCGAATGCTAAATCTTCACATTTGAGGATTTAAAAAAATACAGTGTTGAAAAGTACTAGTGTTAACCCCAATTTATACTTCTGCATTGAGTGCACGTGATAGGTCTGGCATAGATTTTGAACATTCACATACTCTTCAACATACCCTGACTTTTTAAGATGTTTTATAAGAATGTGCAATTATTTTAAAATAATACATATTTTCCTAAGAATAAAATTTAATTTGTCTGATTGTAATCACGGTTTTATAAATATACAGTCTGCTCCAGATAAATGTCCACTAGATCAAATGTGAATAATAAATTTTTTTAATGATTTTCAGACAATCGTATTCATACATTACCTGATGCCCATATTTTAGCAAATGTGAAACATATAAGGCAAACTCTTCTGTGTGATTTCTGTTTTTCAGAATCAGTTCTTCATCAGCTGCGCTGAAGAGAAGAATGTCCAAAACACCATCGGAGATGCCATTGTCAAGCGGATCCTGCGAGCTCACAGGTCTGTTTCAGCTGGAAAAAAGGATGCAGTTCAGTCAAATAAAATAAAAGTAAAATAATAATAATACTACAATAATAAAGTTCAGTGCCAGGTGACAGTATTTCTGTTGTTCTAGCGAGGGGAAGAAGTTCAGGGTGTTCGTTGTCATTCCTCTGCTGCCCGGCTTTGAGGGAGACATCAGTCAGGGTGGAGGAAATGCCATTCAAGCAATACTGCACTTCACCTACAGGTACAGCGCACAGACACAAGTTTTTTTATAATACCGCATAAACTGTATAATCTGTCTTTTTACCTCAACCCTACCTCTAAACCCAACCCTCTTAGAATAAACAAACCCTGTTTATTATATTTTTTAAACTTTCGATTTATGAGGTCTAGTGGTGTCAAACGATTAATCACAAACCTAAAATAAATGTTTGATTTTATATAGTGTGTATAGTCACTGTGTATAAATATTGTGTATATATATATATATCTAAATAAAAATATATGAAATACAAATAAATGCAAACCAAACTAAATATACAGTTGAAGTCAGAATTATTAGCCCCCATTTTTTTCCCCAATTTCTGTTTAACGGAGAGAAGACTTTTTTCAACATCATTTAGGAAATGTTTTAAAAAGAAAAAAAATTCAAAGGGGGGCTAATAGTTCTGACTTTAACTGTCAGAATTGCCCCCTGCTTATTTTTTGTCCCCCAATTTCTGTTTAACGGAGATCTTTTTTTCTACTTATTTCTAAACATAATAGTTTTAATAACTCATTTCTAATAACTGATTTATTTGATCTTTGTCATGATGAAAGTAAATAATATTTGACTAGATATTTTTCAAGACACTTCTATACATCTTAAAGTGACCTTTAAAGGCTTAACTAGGTTAATTAGCTTAGCTAGGCAGGTTAGGGTAATTAGAAAAGGAATTGCATAATGATGGTTTGTTCTGTAGACTATCAAAAAATAATATATAGCTTAAAGGGGCTAATAATTTTGACCTTAAAATGGTCTTAAAAATTAAAAACTGCTTTTATTCTAGCCAAAATAAAACAAATAAGACTTCCTCCAGAAGAAAGAAATATTATCAGACATACTGTAAAAGTTTCCTTGCTCTGTCAATTCAAAGGAGGGGTGGGGGGCTAATAATTCTGACTATATGTACTGATATGGATACATATCTATTTAAATGTATGCTTATTATATATAGATAGTTAATTTATAAATATAGATAATTGTCTAATATTTACATGTGTGTATTGTCAGACCCCCAGCTAAAAAACAAAAATCTTAATTTAAATGCAAACTATTTGCAAAAATTCAGTTATCTCATAAAATATCCAATTCTAAACCATCTAATCAAATTATATTGATCTCAGTTTGCAGTTAATTGTTTTGCGTGACTTCTAGACGTTGCATATGCTCGAGTGATTTACTTGTGAAGTCAATGCAAAGATGTGATTAGACGTCCTGCTTCCTTGCTATTGACGAGTTTTACAGCAATCCGTGTTTTAGGTGTATTACGGTAGGGGAAGCCCTAACACATGTCCTTAGTGAGGTACATGATGCCCGATGCTCCAGGGAGTGAAATCTAAGAAAAGGGAGGATTGTGGGTAAAAATATAAGTTTTACAACTTTCCTTTGGCTTAATCTCTACCGTTTTGGATCTCTTTAGACCTTGTCTTGACAAGAGACCACAATAAAGAAGCTTTATTTTTATGATTTGTGTTACACTATGAAGACTGCACATCTAACATAGTGCCTAATATGGTAAACAAGATCTCAAAAATAAAAAAAATGAAAAATAAATCAGGAAAAACTAGGGGGTCTGTATTGTGTGTTTGTGTATATATGATTAATCTTTTGACAGCACTAATGAGGACATATAAAAAGTTCATGTTGATATTATAATACCCAGCTAATACCCATGTCATTATACAAATCTGCCCCTCCTTACACACACAGCTGACAAATCTTGTTTAACACACACACTTTCTCTACCCACAATTCTCGATCATGTCTTGCTAAAAAAACTTTTCTGTACGCAGAACGATTAATCGAGGAGAACACTCCATTCTTTCAAGATTAAAGGAACAAAGTAAGTATCTGACAGCATATTTAGCTGTCTGTAATTCACTCTAGTGCATTGTTTATATTTTAGAATCTTTTCTTGTTCTCCATCTGTTCCTTTCCTTCTGTCTGTTTATATAAGTGATTTTAAATGATTGAGTTTATTCATTGTTGTTTTTTTCAGCCACGCATTATAGCATTCAGGCCATTAACCAATCTCACAGATGGTTTGGCATTTGTTGTTGTAATGATTGTGTCATCTTCTCATCAGTGCAGGACAAATGGACGCAGTATTTCTCTCTGTGTGGTTTGCGGACACACTCTCAGCTCGGCTCGTCTCCTGTTACAGAGCTCATCTATGTGCATAGCAAAGCCCTCATCGCAGACGACCGATGCTACATCATAGGTGAGAGGCTCCGCTTCAGATTAATACAATAACACAAAACTGACTGTTTGTAAAAGGCCGATGAGGCTCTCTATATAAAGGGTCATCAAAAGTTATAGGTCAGAAAGATTCTGGAAAAATAAATTCATATATTTTATACATATTTTATTATTCATATAATTTCATTTTAAGATATTTCATAAAAATGCAGGGTAGGATACAATATATAGGATGCACAAATATAAGTTTACCAATTTACTCATCCTTCACTTGTTCTAAACTTGCTATTTGAGCTTCTTTCTCCTGTTAAACACAAAAGAAGATATTCTGAAGAATGTTGGAATCCGGCAGGCGCTGAATTTCATAAAAACTAATTTCCTGCTATGATTGTTAGTGAGTGATAGTTTCTGATATTCTTTTGTGTTCAACACTTTCGGTGGTGTACATTAGAAAAAAGAAAATCTTAGTTTTGTAACCAGATGAAAATTCTTTAAAGGGCGCCGGTTTCACCCCTTTTCAAGATGTAAGATAAGACTTTGGTGTCTCCAAAATGTGTCTGTAAAGTTTCAGCTCAAAATACCCATCAGATTATTTATTATATAATGAAAAATCTGCCAATTTTGGTGTCTGAGGACAATGCTGTTTTTGTAGCCTGTGGCTTTAAGTTCAAATGAGCTGCTTTTCCCCGCCCACCGCTCCAATGCGCGTGTCTGCTTCTCATGAGTTTTGTCAGATAAACAGCAGTCAGTGATATTGACAGACACAGATGAAGCTGAAATAAGGTTACTAGTCAAAAGTACCAAGTAAGTTTATTTGATGTATTTGTGGTGGAGTTTATTCAAGCCTTTCTGAAATGATGAGTCACACACAAATTCCATTTGCAGGATACACAAACACATACACATATATATGCAGTTTACTCACACCATGCGGCCGTGGTGATTATAGCGGTTGAGAATTACATGATGATTTTAATCTCTTTATTACAAACATGCTCTGTTTTTAAAATGTTTTAAACCTATACAATTAATTATTTAGATGCAGCTGATCACAGAGAGTAGTAACATATGTTTTAATCCCAGTATCTTAGCAAAAATGTTCAGTGGACATGTGTATACATGTTATTATAGAAATATGACATCTGTCACTCAATTCAGTGGACAGGGAAAACCACACTCCTACGTTGTGTTGCGGTGAGTCTCAAAATATCTGGGATTTTGGGTCCTATTTTAACATAAATTTTAAAATAGAGACTTGTTGTGTTTTAGCACTCCAAAATGACTGTGGACATGCTAAACCTACTCACAGTTCCGACAAATCCTGACAAATGTTCCTTACTATTACTTTTTACCTTTTTTTTTTTTTTTTTTTTTTTTTTAAGCCTTGCCAACAAAGAATGCGTGAATTATTATTATTTAATTTTTTTTGCACTGCAACAAAATATTGAAACAATTTTTGTACCTAGTGTAAAAAAGACTAATTAAAGAAATTTATTTTTAATAATATATGAAACATTTGTACAAATTTTCCCCATCCCATGTATGCCAATATCATTAGCACAGCATCATTCATTCATTCATTCATTTATTTTTTGGCTTAGTCCCTATATTAATCTGGGATCACCACAGCAGAATGAACCACCAACTTATCCAGCATATATTTTACCACCGATACAGCATCATGATTGAACAAAATAAAAATTAAAAACCAAACTGTTAAAAAAAAGAATGTAAAATGGTAAAGTATTTGCCCCCTTGGGGTGTTTATACTCTTTGTTGACATTGGGGAATTGCCTACTCAGGATTTTTACTTTTGTGCATGGAGAAGCAAAGCTCCAAAATCTACCTGCTGGTACAATACTGGTAGTACTGATCAGAGTTCTTCAAAATGTCCTTCCTCTCCTGTTGTTATCAGGGTCAGCGAACATCAATGATAGGAGCATGCTGGGTACTCGCGACAGTGAGCTGGCAGTGCTGGTGGAGGATGAGGAAAGAATTTCTTCAGTCATGGACGGAGAGGAGTACCAGGCTGGACCGCTGGCACTAGCCTTACGAAAGGAGTGCTTCAGGTCAGTTTACTTGAGCTTAAGGCAGCAAAGTAGACACGTCACAGTGTGTTTAAAATTGTCAAGGTTTCTTTCTGTGAAGTCAGACTGGCAAAACAACATTAGTCAAGCACATATTAAAACTACATTGGAGCTTCTGTGGTCACTCATGATCAAGATTAAAATCAGGAGTATTTCAAACATGGCCTGGAAAAGTCATGCAAATATCCCCGTTTTTTGGATATGTTTTGCATGGAGGCTCTGAGAGCTGCATTTGATTCCAGCATGGAGTTTGCAGTCTGAATCCAGTTTGATGAGCTAACAAGACTGTACCAGAAAATTACAGCAAGATCCATGTCTTTCTGTTAATTAAGAATAAATACATGCAGTGTAGCCAGTGTAAACTACTGTACAAACGTTTGGGGTGATTATTTTTGATTTGTTTTTGTTTTTGAATATAGTGAAAGCCTTAATTTTCTTCATTTATTACTGCAGTCTCCAACTTTAAATGATGCTTCAAAATCATTCTGATTTGCTGATTTTGTGAAGGCAGGGCTTGACATTAAAACCTGACAATGCGGATAGATTTTAGTTGTGGCGAGTGAGATAACGTCTCCCACTAGCCTTTTTGGCAGGTTGAAAATAATTTTTAAATTGCTATTGCAGGCTCATCTTTAAAAATTTTAGTTATAGTTTATGACGGTTTATCAATATGTGTGCAAATGTGATCTTAGAATCGAAAAGCAGATGAGAGGATCATGCACACAATGAGACAGGATATCCTCATTCACTAACGAGGGCTTTTAATTACTGATGAGATGCATGAGGGTTTTAAAAGCTTGCGTGCTCTCGTTTCCTTGTGTGACGCAACTATGCCTGGAAACGCAACTAGTGCGATTGGTTCTCTTTGAAATAAACTGGAAAAAATGTGATTGATTGAGATTCTTTGTAAGCAGCAGTGGTTGCCGCTTTCGCTTTAACCATTGTTTGAACAGATAATTAATGGCCCTAATGTTAACCGTATGCACATGATCATCCTTCCACTATTGCACACAGAATGTTTTTTTTTCCTGCTTTCTTTTTCTTACAGTCAGTTTTGTTAATGTGGTTTAATTATCATACTTTACAATAACATTGGTGACGCGGTGGCGCAGTAGGTAGTGCTGTCACCTCATAGCAAGAAGGTCGCTGGTTCGAGCCTCGGCTGGGTCAGTTGGCGTTTCTGTTTGGAGTTTGCATGTTCTCCCTGCATTTGCGTGGGTTTCCTCTGGGTGCTCTGGTTTCTCCCTCAGTCCAAGAGACATGCGGTATCGGTGAATTGGGTAGGCTAAATTATCTGTAGTGTAGGAGTGTGTATGGATGTTTCCCAGAGATGGGTTGCAGCTGGAAGAGCATCCAGCATTCGTGTGGATTTCCTCCGGGTGCTACGGTTTCCCCCACAAGTCAAAAGACATGCGGCACAGGTGAAATGGGCAAGCTAACTGTCCGCAGTGTATGTGTGTGAATGAGAATTTATGGGTGTTTCCCAGTAATGGGTTGCAGCTGGAAGGGCATGTGCTGCGTAAAACATATGCTGGATAAGTTGGCAGTTCATTCCGCTGTGGCGACCCCAGAATAAAGGGAGTTTATTAAAAGAATGACTGTTATTAATGACCGCGCAAACTTTTAAGAGCATCTGTGCGCCGTGTCTCACGCCTTCAAACGCCACTACGCGTTCATTGCATCTTCTGAGGCGCAAGTAATTTATTAAATGAAGAAGAGATTGACGCAGTTTCTCCTACTGCAGCAAATTATGTTTTTACTTCGGATATTTGGCGCCAGTTTACCAGGAAGTGACGATTTTGTTCTCTATGACTCGTTGGATGGAAACGCTGCTGTATTCACACATCTCTTATGCGATATTCCAGTTTTGCGCATAAAGTTAATTCGCATTTTTGGATGGAAACATAACTAGGGGCTGGTGATCAATAGAGCTAATGTCAAGGCCTGAGTAAAGGGGTGTCAAATATGCAGCCCACAGGGCAAATTTAGGCCACAAAGGTGTCTAATCCTGCCCAAGACATTACTCAAACTATTATATGAAAAAATAAATGAAATATTGATTTTGAAAATGAAAGTGCTTTTTCTGCAATAACTTTTCCAGACAGTTTAGATTGAACAAAATAAATGAGATTGAACATTTTACTGTTTATCATCTAATACTGTAAATGTTGGTGCTTTTACATTGTAAAAACCAAACAAAAATAACTGTCAAAAACCTGTAAAGAGTCCAGAAACACTGACTGCATGACAAAGCTTGTGAATGCTGTTACAATTAACTTATAATTCAAGATGCAAAAATGTGCTTGTAAGAATTCTATTTATATTTATGTCATATGGTATTAGCCTTTCCCACAAGCAAGGGTGCCCTTTTCCTGTATGTCAGTACATCCACACATGTGAATTGTGTTTTAGGCACAATGTTATGATTTCTCCAAAGAAAATAGTTTCAAACAAAGCCACAAAGCCAGAGCAGAACATCTGTGCATCTCAGAGTAACACTGCTGAAACTGCAGTTGTGTTCCTGAATGAATAAGTCAGCGATTCAATGATTCAATCATGAAAGCAGTCAATTGTTTTGTTTCTGAATGAAGTAGCTGTTTCAAATGAATCATTTGAATGACTGATAAATAAAATATTTTGTAAAAGTTTTGACACTCCTGATTAAGTGTAACTTTTTTAAAGAAGGATTCTTTGATGATCTTAATGAGACATTCTACCAGAAACGTACAATTTCACTTATAAAAAATGTGACATGGCCTGATAAATGTAATGGCCTGACTTAAGCTTGTCATCCTCAAAAATCATACAAAACAAGCATACAATCATACAATTCAATGATTGCGTTAAATTTAATGTAAATGTGACAGGGCTGATAGATACATGGGGACAATTGTAAATGTATTTGTAATATATATTTGTAGAATTTATTTATAATTTCAGGTTTCTAATCAATTGATGTGAATAAAAACTTAAACTTGCTATTTCCTTTTTTTTTTTTCTTCTAAATAACGTTTTTTAGCTTAACAAAACTATTACCGCTGTAGGTACAATTGGACTGAGGACAAGTACAATGAATGGTTTGTACATTTGTAAAGTGTTTTTAATAAAGAACAAAAAATCTGAGACATATTCCTTTACAGAACAACTCACAGAAATCAACCATCAGTCCTTTATAGACATTTTTGGCATTAAATACTTTTTATTCACTGTATTTGTTTTTATTTCAGGGACAGATAATGTTTTTTTTCTGGTAGAATGTCCCTAATCCTTTTACTTATTACAAAAAAACCAAGTCTGTGGCGAAGCAGTGGCGCAGTAGGTAGTGCTGTCGCCTCACAACAAAAAGGTCGCTGGTTCGAGCCTTGGCTGGGTCAGTTGGGATTTTTGAGTGGAGTTTGCAGGTTCTCCCAGTGTTCCGTGTGGGTTTCCTCCGGGTGCTCTGGTTTTCCCCACAAGTCCCAAGACATGCGGTACAGGTGAATTGGGTAGGCTGAATTGTCCGTAGTGTATGTGCGTGAATAAGTGTGTATGGTTGTTTCCCAGTGATGGGTTGTTGCTGGAAGGGCATCCGCTGCGTAAAACTGGATGAGTTGGCGGTTCATTCCGCTGTGGCAACCCCAGGTTAAGAAAGGGACTAAGTCGAAAAGAAAATGATGAATGAACCAACAACTCAAACTCATCCCCAATGATTTTTGTTTGATTCACAATAAATGACTTTCATGAGCCACTTCTTGTGAACCTTATTCTAAAATGCAGAAATGTACTTGTTTTTTATAATTGTTTTAGAACTTCCGATTCAGTTGCCTAAGGGAGAAATGACTAGGAATAATAAATGGCAGAAAACGGTCAAACTACTTGATCTATAAAAAAGTGTGTCCATGACTATACAGACAAAGCAGAATAATATAATAAGAAAATATCAGTTTGCAACATATAGCAGCGTAACAAATTGTTTTTAACAACTAAAAATAAATGCAAGTGAATGAGACCGGAAGTCTCAAGCCAAGGAGATTCAAATGGCTGCGCTCGTCCGTACGCAAAGAATAAGGTAAATAATAAATAATTTAAGACGAATCACACACTTAAAGAGTTAGTTCACCCTAAAATAAAAATTATGGTATTAATTATTTACAATCATGTTGTTCCAAATCCTTGAGACTTTGTCTTCTGAACACAAATTAATATATTTTAGATGAAATCTGAGCGCTCCCTCATTCTCCATAGACAGCAATGGTACTGGTGGTCATTCAATGGTCATTCAAAGTCCAGAGAAAACAAAAAAACATCTTCAAAACAGGCCATATGCCTTCAGTGGTTTAATCGGAATATTATTAAGTGCACATAATGGCACATGGTCTGTTTAGAAGTTTTTTGGTACATTTCTGGACTTTGAAATCTGGAACATTGCTGTCTATAGAGGATGAGGGAGCTCTCAAATATCCAATAAAATATCTTAATTTGTGCTCAAACAAAGGTATCAGGGGATTGCAACAACATGAGGGTGATAAATTAATGACTATAATATAATTATATAATATTATAATTTTAATTTTTGAGTGAACTAACCCCTAAAGCATACAGTAGGTCTCGAACTCGATTCCTTGGAGGGCCGCAACTCTGCACAGTTTTACTCTAACCTTATAAAACACAACTGATCCAAATAATCGAAATGTTCATAAACACCTTCAATAGTTGGATCAGCTGTGTTTGATCAGCGTTGGAGCAAAACTGTGAAAAGCTGCAACCCTCACTGCGACCCAATCGAGTTTGAGACCGATGCCTTAACGGTTTACTGATGTGAATCAGTATGAAGTATTGTTCAGCCTGTAAGACTCAAGTATTTATTTTAAGGTTTTGAAAGTATTTAATTGATTAAATGTGTTATGACTTGCTACAATATCTGCAAGCCGTTAATTGGACAGGAATGCCAGATACAAATATGAAATAGTTTATAGCAAATAATAATAATAGGCTGTTCAGTTATTGACATTTCTCTCCCTGGAATACCTCTAACAGTCTTTCGTTTATCTGAATAACGTGAGAACTGTGTTAGATCTGTGTTTGTGCAGTGAAGCACCTCAGCTTCCCATTTTGTCCAGCTTCTCCCCTGTCTGTGTAGGAGTGTGTGAGTGAAAAAGAGGAGTGTGTGTGTGTGTGTGATTTGTGTTGGCACGCTGCGTTCCACACTGCCAGCTACCAGAACATCTCTCGGTTGCCAATGGAAACAGCGAGATGCTTCTAATGATGCGTGTCTGTAGCACCTTCTAGTGCTGGCCTTCAGATGCGTGACCTCAAGCCATTGTGTTCATGTCCGTCTCTGGGTCTTCTGATTTCATTGAGTTATTTCACTCTAATCTCCTCACATAGCACTTTCCACTGTTCACATTTGTTCTTGCTTTATGAGACTTTCTACTCAGTGTACTGTCCAGAGGGAGCGGCATATTAGATTGTTGAGCAGTTTTGATATTTCCTTTTGCGATGTTTGCCCTGATGTATGAAGCCAAACGTTATTAAATTAACTTTTGATATAATCTGATTCAAGTTTAAAATGATATTATGATGTAGACGGAGGTTGTGCAACCTAAGGCAGTTTTCACTCAGTGCATATTAGAGATTTGATTCTAAACCTGGTGCATTTTCATCCTTTCATGTAAGCATTTATAAACATGACAAACACTTTCAGATCTATAGACTGAAACCACCATGACTTCCATTAAACATGATTTGAACTCATTTCCTTACATGTGAATTTAGTCAGAACACTGTTGTCCATTTTGAAGTGCTTTCTTGTGGTAGTGAAGCGAACAAATTGTAAGAGTTTAGAAAGGGTCTAAATCTAGAGTTTTCAGTCTTTTAGATGCTAAGACCTCCAAATATGATCACACTCCTACAAGGGATAATTACATGAATACCTTTCTAAAGTTTTATTGGATGAAGACCAAATTTATTCTGTGAAAAATGAATATTATAAATGGATTTACATGCTATTTGTAAATTATTTAGTTTTGGTCTTGTTTTGTCTTAGGCTTGACTGACTCTGGTCTTGATAAAACTACTAATGAGTTGACACTTGGAAATGATAGATAGTGTATGCATTTTATATTTTATCTTTTTATTTGTCCTTTATTTGTTGTGGGTCTTAAATCTTTTAAAAAGGGTCTTCATTTTCCCATGTCCAAGTAAAGCTACTTAATCGGCTTACACCCAAACACGAATTATCCATCAGAAAACTTTTTTTTTTATAGCTTGAAGTGGTTATTGCATAGAAATACAATTCAAAACAGCTGTTGTATTTTTACAGCAACCTCTCCAAATGAAATCATTAAAAATGCAAAGAAAAATAAAGCAACACATCCTTATACATGTACTTCCATTAATAAAAAACTATTTAAAGAAGTAACCAGGGCATTAGAAAAATCCTTAGACTTACACAGGGCTAAACACTAACATTTAATTCATAATGGTCTTTAAAGAATTGCTTTGATTTGAAGAAACCTGCAGAAACCCTGTATATTGTCCATTGGTAATCCTGTCAACTCAATTAACAAAACAAGAAAAATAAATATAGAAATGCATAAATACCAAATTAAGTAGATCAAATGTATTTTATTATAACATCTGATAATAACTACATACAGACAGGTGATATATGCATTTATATATAGTTTAACTTTTTTTTTTTATTAGAATATGCAAAAATCATACAAATACAAGAAAACATCAACAGATAACAAATACAAAGCAACAAAACAAAAACAAAACAAAAACATCAACAATATAGTCAGGTACTGGTATGTGCGTGAGTGTGTGCGTGTGAGTGTGTGTATGCATGTAAAGGTAACTTGGTGGACAGGTCAGAGTACATACATTAGGAACAATAACAGTCAATAAATGAAGCAAGTGTCACAGATATAGATAAAACATATAGAAAGAAACCAGTCAGAGGTAGGGAGTAACAACAATGCTTATTAATGTATGATAGTAAATATGAGAGTAAAAAGAGAGAAAGGACAACAGTAATAACTGACAACAATAATAATAAATCACAAGTGCTACACCAACTACTACTACAGAAAGTTACTTATATTACAACTACTACTGCTTCTACTACAGCTACAACCACGACTACTACTACTAAAGTGTCTACTAATACTGATACTACTACATCGACTACCACTACTGATAGTACTATTGCTACAACTAATACAACAATGTCTACTGCGACTACTACTACTACTACTACTACTACTACTACAATCACTTCTACTACATCTACATCAACAACATCTACTACTGATATTACTACACCAACAACGACTACTACTACTACTGTAACAACCACACCATTACTACTTCTGCTACTACTATACCATTGACATCTACTACTACATGAACTACAACTTCTATAATCTCTGTAACAATTACTCAATAACAATCGATACTATTACAATGACTACTACTTCTATGTATAAACTATATAAACTATTCTATATATAGTTTAACTTAAGTTCAGGTTTAGACAAAACTATAATACATACGGAAAAACACTTCACCCGTAGGACTGTCAGTTAAGGTGCAAAACAAAAGTGTGCCTATATTGTAATTATGTTGTAAACTCACAATCTACCTTGTCCCCACAGTGTACTACTTGGAGCAAAATCTGATCCATCTCTGGACATTGATGATCCAATCAGTGATCATTTCTTCAACGATGTCTGGAACAAAGTCGCTCAAACAAATGCCATCATCTATGAGAAGGTGAGGGGTAGAGTTGTGTTAGACATGTGTTCTGGATTTTCTCCAAACTCCCCTAAATGCCATTTATGAATCCGACGTCTTTAACCAAAGGTTTTCATTTAAAGTCATTGTGTGGGGTTTGAGCTGATACAAATGCACTGAATGCAGGTCTAAACCGCAGTAAAACCTGCAATTACTGTAATTTGCAGGTTGTGCAGAAGTCCTGCAGACAATAGCACCCCTCCCATACACTGCTGCACTCATTACCCATATATTTACACTTGCATTCATAATCCCGATGTGTGCATGTACTAGTTATGGATTAGATTTCCAAAATGTTTTGGCTTTAAAATAAACATTGGGATCGCAATATTGCACTAGTCAGCGTTTCAACTGCAGTACCCTTTCTTCACTGTGCAGGTCTTCCGATGTCTTCCACTGGACTCCATCCGCAACCTGCGTGAGCTGATGGAGCACAAAAACTCAGAGAACCTCAGTCTTACCGACCCGGAGAAAGCCAGAGAAGAGCTCCAGGCAATACGGGGCATCCTGGTTCATTTCCCACTGCACTTTCTGTGCGAGGAGAACCTGCTCCCGCCACTCAAAAGCAAAGAAGGAATTGTTCCTATCGAGGTGTGGACGTAGCAGGGAAGAGTAAATGGTCTGTAGTGTGCCAGTAAAAATCAAAACTTACCAAGAAGGTACGGTGGTGACCAACACATTTTTGGTTTAGACCAGGGGTGCCCAAACTCAGTCCTGGAGGGACGGTGTCTTGCAAAGTTTAATTTTAACCCCAATCAGACACACCTGAGCTAGCCAGTCAAGATCGTACTTCTGTAGGCTTTCTAGAAACATCCTTGCAGGTGTGTTGAGGCAAGTTGGAGCTAAAATCTGCAGTACATCTGCCGTCCAAGACCAAGTTTGGGCACCCCTGGTTTAGACTGAAGTAATGGATGATTAGCTCTAAACACTAACCCAGATATAGAGTAGAATGATCTCTTTAAACATTAATAACATGATAATGAGCAGTGCAGTGCCAAACGACCTTGATGTTCTCCCCAAATACCCATTACAACCACATAAGTCGTGATCTGAGTATTTTAGATGGCCGAAAGTTGCATATGAAGGATGGAATGAGAATAAGAAAGGAGAGATGAGCAAATAAGGTGAAAAAGAGAAAATCCAAATTTCAAAATATTGTACTTCTCCTAACCCAGTGAGATGCTGTGGTAATGACCACCACTGTTTTGTCAATTTTGGTTTAGACTAAACGAATGTACGATTAACGCAACCACAGAAGAAGGAACACATGATGATCATGTGTGAGAAATTTATAAAGCCTTCATACCAGGAGAATCAAACAGTGCAGTTGCTTATACATCACAATGCCGCCAAATGACTTTCCAGCAAGCATTTTTTGTTTTTAAAAGTTGACTAATAGATGTCTAAACATTGTCGTCTTGGCTAAAACAAGGCTTAATTTGGGCTGTCAGTGAAATATTAATAGATGTCTAAGAATAGGCCAAAACTAGACTAGTCATCAAATAAACAGAAAAGAATGGCTACACATATAAAGTATGTCAAATCTGTCTATTTGAGGACTAGTCTAGTTTTGGGCTATTTTTTGTCTACTTTTAGATGTCTATTAGATGTCTATTAAACATGAAATTGTTTGCTGGGTTTGATGTTCTCCCTAAACACCATTACAGCCACAAAAGTCGTGATCTGAGTATTTAAGATGGCTGAAAGTTGCATATGGAGGGTAGAATGAGAACGAGGAAGTAGAGATGAGAAAATATCATCCTATTTGGTTTGGACTAAAGTAATGTACGATTCGCTCTGAACACTAAGGCAAACACAGTAGAAGAAACACATGATGTTCATGTGTGAGAATCTAAAATGCATTTATACCAGGAGAATCAAACAGTGCAGTTGCTAATGTATGAAAATGCAATGAAATGACTGTGAAATTGTATCCAAATGGCCATTATGTCCGTGAAAGTCCTGATCTGAGCGTTTAAGATGGCCGAGTGCTGCATATTGAGGGTGGAATGAGAACGAGGAACAGTGAGAAAAGCGAACGAGGTGAAAAAGAGAGAGAGAGAGAGAGTTTTTTTGATGGCCGAGGAACAGAACGTACATTTATTGTTGTGAATGTGTGTGGGCGGTTAGCGTTGCTTTACCTTCTCTTCCCTCTCTCTTTATTTCGTTCTTGCGTGCACTACACCTCTCAATGCAGTGGCAGCAAATCTGTCAGAACATTTGTGGTTGTTATGGTGACGGGTATAAAGAGCTGACTTGGTCTTGGCTGCTGAGAGGAGAGATAGAGAGAACGAAAAGAAGAAGAGATCGAGAAGAGAATGAAAAAATAGTCAAACCGTTAAAAACAGGGATGGAGGTTAGAGAGGAGAGAAAAGTACCAGTGTACTTGGTCACGAAAATTACGTAATTTATGTGTGTGCGCGGGTTTTGTCTTTTTAAAAAAGCAGGTAGGGAGGAGTGTTACGGAGCAGGGATCAGGTGGGGCATCAAACATGGTGAGATATTCAGGGGGAGTCTCAGCTCAACATTTATCAGCCCCCCTTCCCAATCTCCATGACAACCAGGAGAAATTATTGTTATGCAATAATGTCAGCAGCCCAGAAGATTCCACTTTGGGTTTTTCGGAAGGGGTTTCGACACTAGTGGAGAAGCACACTGGAGGCCAGAAAGGCAAAGCTAAATTTATCAATGCCCCACTTAATAAGTGATCATCACTAATCTGCCCGTGTACTGTGGAATGCTATAGATGACTTGCACTGCACTAGAAGAGAATGTTTTAGGGTTTGACCACTAGAGATATGATCATTAATATACTCTAACATTCCAATCACGTCAAGCAATCACCTTTAAGAACTGACAATTATGCTTTTTAACAACAAAACACTCCACACCTGTTCAGACAAACTAACATATCTGCTCTTTTTTTTTTGCACATTTTATACTTCTAATGTAAATAGAATTGCTTTTTTTAAGAAAGCATATAGAACTTACAGACTAATACTTAAATTAATCTATGCTAACACTATGTGTTTTTACTACTTCTGGACATCTAGGGTCTGTTCTTCGTACGTGATTTACTCAATTAGCTGGATTTGATTATTGACGATTTGACACGATCCAGGATGGTTTCGTTCTTCAAAACTCATCCGAGAGTTGTTGTCATGGCAACAGTTCTGGTAGCTCAAACCTGCTCAGGAGCAGCAGCTTACTTTATATAAACAGGATTAGATCAGGTCATTTTGAGCGAAGGTAATACTGAAAGTATTTACCGAATTCTAATATTTTTTGACAGTAGTAACCTATATATTACAAATACTAGGGAAAACAGATAAATTTATAATAAAAAAATACGTTTTTTAGAAATTACAAATAAAATGTATGCAATCTATACTTCAAAATAAAAGTACAAAAACTGTCACGGAGGTGTTGTCTCCCCAAGGGGTTGAAGAGAACATTAATTAATATGGACTTTTTTTAAGGTAAGGAACAATTCATGCAATCATGCACATTTTGACAGCTATGCAGGTAATTTGATGCTTCACCAATGTTGATACCTTTACCAATATCAAATGCTTTTTTGATGCAAAATTAATTTAAACAGCCAGTTATTAAGACACTTTGAATAGGCCTACTAATCTGAGCATGCAGCCCACAACAAAGGGGCAAAGTTATTGTGTATCATATTTATCAAACCGTTTGCTACGAATTTTATGTAATTTTGCTTATTTGCACTTTTTAAAAAAGCAAATTAACCAGAGATCAGTTATCAAGATTAACAGATCCAAGATCTGCCAAATCATCTTAGATCATTTATGCGAGGTACAAAGAACGGACCCCTGGTGTAGATAGGGTCGATGACATGAACCTTTCTTCAGATAAAAACGAGGCTGTGAAAGATGAGCTGTGATTTCTGAAAATAACTGTTTTATGAAGTTTCAGTCTGCTGAAAGTGTTTAAAGCAGTTGATATGTTGTTAAACAACAGTACTATATAATGAACACACTTCTAACTCTCGCAACCTGGTTTTCATTACCGTCAGACATGTGCTACCCTGACTAAAGGTTTATGAACTAAACTACAAAAGACTGTTTTTCTAAATGTATGACATGCAGTTTTGGTTCAATGGCTATAAATGACATATCATGGCTGTTTGTAAGCAACTGAGCAATCAATATTTTTTTCGTTCATCTGTTCTCTGACTTAATAAATAAATATATATTCTATAATTAAGTTGCTGTGTGTGTGAAGTTTTGCCAACATTGTGAGGACCAAAATGGTTCCTCAAAGGTAGTAAAGCCTGAAATCCCCTACCTTGTGAGACCCAGCCAACAATGTTTAATTATTTATACAGCAGCTTTACTACTACACTCAAGGTCACTTTACAGAGCAAACAAAACTAAATGTGCAGCAAAATCCAAAACGTAGAGGCAAATGATAATTTAAGAAGCAAGTAAATGAGGAGAAAACGCTTTGTTTGATGAAAAATTATCACTTTAAAGTAATACTTCACTATAAAGATATTTCTGTATTAATTTACCCCTGTATGATTCTGTTGTGCTGAACATAGAAGAAAATATTTTGAATAGTGCTAAGAACCAGTTTTGATTACTGTTAAAACATTAAAGAACACCAAAAGTTTGAGTTTTGCAAAATTTTTTAAAATGCAAATAGTGGTGGAAAGAGTACTGAAAAGTCATACTTAAAAAGACTTACTTGCTTAAAGATGTATTGCAAGTAGAGTTAAGGTATCTGTTATAAATATTACTTAAAGTATGAGTAAAAAGTAGCCCTCTCAAAAGTACTCAGGAGTAAAGAGTAGTGGGTTTTATGCTGTAAAAAGCTAATGTGTTTACTAGTAATTTGTGGTTTGTGTGTAAACGTAACATTCTGTAGTGGATTTAGTTATCATTACCCAGCAGGCTTACAACATCATAAGATGTTAATATTAGCTTTGATTTAGGTTGTCAGGTGACCAAAATTCAATGACTAGCCAGCATCCAAGGACAACATTATTTTGATGTCAAATAACAGTGTCAAATGATGTTGATATTTGGTCAATTTTAGGTTGTTTTGGGAAGTGAACAAAATCCAACGTTTAGCCAACATCTTAAACCAACGTCATATTGACATCAAATACTGACATTCATCAGGTATGGCAACTAAAATCTGATAGACATCATAGTGGTAACGTCCACACAACGTAAAGCTGTAACATCATTAGACGTTGATATTTGGTTGCTTTTAGGTTGGATGTTGGACATTGATGTCATCGGCCTGACATTGAGTTCTGATGTCAACCTGATTTTCATTTTCAAACAAAACGAAAAAAAAAAAACATTGGGGTAAAACGTCAATTTAACATCATGTTGATGTCTTGTGCCTGTTGGGTGTTTAATGCCATTTCAGTCATCATACAGTAAACATCTGTCATCTTCTCATTAGTGATAAACATATAAACAGTCTCTGGGTCAACGCGTGTAAATATTTTTGACATCTTCTTGGACACTTAATGCTTCCAAACAGTTTGCTGCAATTATAAATTGCCCATGTCTTGAGGTGGTTCATTATGATGCGATTTACCTTCTATGTGTGATTTGATCGTACAGGAATTACTAAACTGATTTTTCTAATCTCCATAGACAGGAAAAAATAAAGTGACTGCAGGTTGAAGGAAAGTAGTGGAGTAAAAGTACCAATACAGCACTAACAATGTACTCAGGGGAAAGGTAAAGTGCGCATTTTAAAAACTACCTAGTAAATTACAATTCCTGAGAAAAACTACTCATTTACAGTAATTTGAGTATTTGTAGGATGTAACTTTACACCACTGAATGCAATATAATGTAAAGTTAAGCAGTTTGAGTAGCCTATTTGGAATTTGTTACTTTACACCACTGAATGTAATAATGTCAAGATAAATGTTAAGTCTTCAAAATGCTAAAAACACAACGTGTGTGACTGCACAGCAATATTTTGGGCAGGATCATCCCGGTGTCACCTGTCTCCAGCGTAGGCAGCTTTCCTCAGGTAGTTTGTCCCAGTGGCAGCACCGTAGCGCTTCTCCAGTCCAGGAAGACGGGAGTGAGAAGCGCAGAGGAGGGAGGGGGAGAAAAGGAAAGTGCCTGGAAAACAGTGTTGTGTTTTCTTGCAGAGGAGGGACGTCACAGCCCGACCACAGACAGCAGAAGTACGAACAGGATCATACCAAGACCGGAGAGAGAAGTTCAGTCGGACAAATCAAAACATACGACCTCACTGCAGAAAAAACAAAGTTGGCTTCCTGAGGCGACTCATTAGCGAGTGATTGAATTATCAGAATATTATGTATGCATCGTGACGAGTCGCTGCTGCTTGCTATTAAGGGTCCGGGCTGAAAACAAGGGACTGTTTATGGTTTTTCGTTCTTCCCCCTCTCTTTCTCTCCCAACAAATCGGCGGAGGTTTTGCGCACAACCGGGAGGTGCCGCTGACTGTCGGCAGGAGGGAATGAAAGTTTGCCAGGCGGGCGGAATTTTATTCGACGTAAACACTTCTTGTTTTTGACACCGGGGCCGTGTATTTCATTTAAATACACGCTGTATTGACTTTTAAAAACTGTGGACATTAACAGAGCCGAGCGGGGACATCGAAATCCAGGCAGAAATCCTGTTTAAGGCGTGTGCGTGGGTTGCGCCGTAACATGACGGCTGTGGCAGATTGACGAGGAGATCACGAGCGCCGCTGTTTAGGATCGTGAAGTTCTGCCTGTGTATTTACATATTTTCGCGATTACCTGCATATCTACCCCTCGTGTATTGACTAATCTTACTGTTTGACTGAGGTAGGCTCGGCTTAACTTACGCAGTGCTGCCAAAATGAGTGTAGAGACGGAGCGCAGTGTGGCACATCTGATTCGAGCTCGTGTAAATGTTGCCATGCAATCTTTAGGATTATAGGCTCAACCACAGCCTTTATCATCGATAACTGCAGAATCTCGCCTTCACAATCGGATCGCTTTGGCCTTAAAAGAGCCGTTTGTTCTCCCGTAAAGAAGAAGAAACAAACATTTTATGGTCCGAAATCCTGCAGCTGTTGTCGGTTGAGCTGGTCGCGGCCAAATGTTTCAGCGGGGACCTCGCAAGTTTTTCTGAACTGCCCCTTGAAATAAACATTGTGATTAAAAAATAACATTAGCAGTCTTCGAGGACGTCTTTTCAATAGTCTTCAGAAATCGTTGTGAAAATGTCAGAAAACGCACCTACGCGGAGTCTGGATGACATCGACCTGGCCGCCCTGCGGGTGAGTGACTGTGTGTGTTTTTGAACGAGTGTGTGTTGCTCACCTGCCTGCACCTGTCAGAGGCCTTCACACCCAAACAAATTCAAAACGGCTCCATTATTATGTCATATGAGGGATAATATATATACAACTACGATTTTGAATGTTTACTAGCTCGTGTTTGTTTTCATTCTGCGAGCAGGTGAGTCCTGGGCCTGTATTGTGTAACAAAATAATCCTGGCCTGGAGTGTTAATGTGTTTGTGTGTATGCAAGTCTAGGTCTCTCTCTCTTTCAAACGCCTACATTTGTGGTTTATAGGGCCTACCTTGCAAATAAGTGTTAACAGGGACTGTAATCTTAGAATAGCTTTCTTATTATGTGGGGAATACCCTGCAAAACAGTGTAACTTTCCGTTTAGGCCAGAGCTTTGTGTGTGTTTACATTTAATACAATCGTGATAGAATCATTCAGTGAACTGTCTGTGTGTTTTTATGGCGTCGTTTATTTATTTAACAAAAACTCAGCATTCCCTAGAGCACCGGTGCTGGAAAATGTGAGTTAATGGATACATCAGATATTTTTTGCAGCAACAGTTTTGTGAAGGGAGAAAATTAGTTGCCCACTTAGCAGAAGTAGGCACATTATTATCTTGACATGAATCCAAGCTATGTGGCAAGATGACAGTCCTCCACCAAAGTCTATTTTAGCATGACACTAGCCTGATACATTTTAGCAAATCTAATATGCAAGTATGAAATACATAAGATTTTAAAAAATATTTGGAAGTTTTGCATGTATGCCAAGGCTGCATTTATTTGACCGATAACAATATTACTATATTTTAAAATATCTCATGTTTTTTTGTGAAAGCTGCAGTGCTGGATTTTTGCTGGATTCTGTAATGACTAATCCTGTTAAGAAATCCTTGCAGTGTTATAAAAGTGTTTATCACATCGAATAAATTTTATGTCGTTGCTGAAAGTATGCTATCACAAAAAAAATGTACCAGGAAGAATCAAATGGGGGTATTCACAGCAATGCCATACAATGGGAGAACCTTTTTTGGTTCCCTTTTATAGAAAGTTTTTCCTTTTTATAGTGCAAAGTAGGCCTGCACAATATTTATCAACAATATGCAACGTTGAGTTTTTTTTTATATATATAAGTTATCATTTGCATTGTAATTGTATAATAACTTTAAAAGCATTCAGGTAAAAGAAATTGTACAATTTCTGATCATAACTATGATTAATTTTATTAAAATACTTTTATTTTTATAATTCAGTTACTGTACTTGAATATTGTTAAACTCAGGAAATGATAAAACACTTTATTTTAATTGTATCTTCTTCTTGATTATATTTATATATTGTTATGCATGAAAATACTCACAACACATGCAAATGCAGAAATACACTGCAAATAGTACAGACCACAATAAAAAATGTGTTAGGGAACCCAAAAAAATTTATAGATTTTTTTATTAGGTTTTATGGAAATGCAAATATTAAACTTTAATTCACCAATCTCTGATTAAACATGTGCATGAAAATACTCACAACACATGTCATCTGTTGAAATTGTATGCATATCGCAAAATATTTTGCAAAGTAAAAAATATTGAATTTATATTTAAAATATAATATAATGTTAGATTTGTCCAAGATCATGCAGCCCTAGTGTAAAGAACATTTTCAAATTTAAAGATTTTTTTTTTTAACCTTTGCAACAATAAGGTACAATGGCTGTTAAAATTAATTCATTAAACCGTCGTTGCTAGAGAAGAACCTTTATTTTTAATTGCATAATTTCTTTTTAATCTTCCTGTCCTCACACCTGTGAATAGTAGTGTGCATATATATATTAGCTACAGAATAGCTAGCATTCGTAGTGTGCTAGAATAGTCCCTCTGTAGTTAATGTGCAAGCCGAACAGAAGGCTAATCTAGTCCTCTAGCTTAGTGGTATGTTAGCAGGTGGCTAATCCAGTGTCTTAGGGCTAATTACACTCACTAATTAGGTGACTTGACTTCCTGCATAAAGGTGAGGTTATCTGCCATTCACAAAGAAACATTTTCATTTTAGAGTTCTGCTTTAGTTCAGGTTTTCTTTTGATTTATTTATATTTTTTTCCTTAATGAAAATATCATCCTTTATATTGATCTGTCTGCAAAACATTTCACTAGGGACAATTATTTAGTTGGCGCTTCTGATTGAAAAATATCTAATACTTATATTTTATTTTACTTTACTTTTCATTTCAAAGTATTAATAATTTATTAATAATATCCCTGCATTATTGTTTTGTTTGTTTTTCTTTCTTTTTTTTCTTTTTTTTCAAACAACAATGTTTGAAACTACTGTTAACAAATCTCAAGGTATTCATCCCTCCTAAACCACTGGTTTAGGCTTTGTGGTCTGGATTAATACTACCTTTTCACCTTTTTATTTTTTGAAGATTAATAGTATAGTTTTTTTAATATAAGTTTCTTGTTTAAAGAAAGAATGCAGCATTACAGAAATTCCGACAAAAGACAAAGGTGCAAGACTGCATTCAGTGGCTTTATTAAGATAAATAAATAAAGTAACATGAAGTATGGAGAATATAACACTTAGATAAAAATGCTATAGTTGTTATTTGTATGAATAGAAAAAAAATATGGGAAATATTTATACATTGCCTGTAATTGAATGTGTATATGAATTTGTAGAGCAATCATTTTGATAAGTTCTACCAATTTTTGTTATTTGTTTAAAATGGCAATAGATATGATCAATATGATCCAAGATTTTATGTCTTAAAGTACAGTACTGCACACCATTTTAAAGTGTGTATGTGTATATATATATATTTATACACACACACACACATGCATATATACACATATATGCATACACAGTTAAAGTCAGAATTAGTAGCCCCCCATTGAATTAAATTTTTTTAAAATGTTTCCCAAATGATGTTTAACAGAGCAAGGAAATTTTCACAGTATGTCTGATAATGTTTTTTTCTTCTGGAGAAAGTCTTATTTGTTTTATTTCGGCTAGAATAAAAGCAGTTTTTAGTTTTTTAAAAGGGTTAAAATTATTAGCCTCTTTAAGCTATATATTTTTTCGTTAGTCAGTACAGAACGTTTGAAATACAGAAGAAACTATCGTTATACAATAACTTGCCTAATTACCCTAACCTGCCTAACCTAGTAAAGCCTTTAAATGTCACTTTAAGCTGTATAGAAGTGTCTTGAAAAACATCTAGTAAATATTAATAACTGTCATCATGGCAACAATCTTCTCTCCGTTAAACAGAAATTGGGGGAAAAATATTAACAGGGTGGCTAATAATTCTGACTTCAACTATATATATATATATATATATATATATATATATATATATATATATATATATATATATATATATATATATATATATATATATATATATATATATATATATATTAAGCAGTTACATGTGTTAGGATGAATTAACCAGAAACATTAGAGCAGTGGCCATAACTCTCTTTCTCTCTTGTGTGTTGGTACAGTGAGTTCCTGGGCACGGCTTTCCAGGGTGTGATGTGTCTGATATTGCCCCTAGAGAGAGAGCAAGAGCATGATGATTCACTTCAGCTCATTGTTTGATAGCTGTCCTATATAACGCCCACATATCGCGTCTCTCACACTACGCTCATAGATGCCTATTTAGGGGAGGAAAGGACATGTACATAATCACAGGACTTGCCTGCCTTGCATGTGGCCCTCCAGCTAGAGTTGCATACTGCTGAGATGGTTTGCAGTTTCATGGTATTGTTTTGAACTTGAGAAGCACCTGCTCTCCTGTTCACCTGTGGTCATCTTGGAAAGATCGTTTTTAAATAACATTAGTCTACCCGGAGCATCACAACTTGGCATAGAAGCAGTTTAGAATTAAGTTATTTTCTAGCAGCAGATTTTGGTAAACTCTCATATTTAAACGAGTCTATTACATAATCATAATAGCAGCCGTTTGACGGTTGGGTTGCTTATGTAAATGAGATATAAATGCTAATGACATCATCATCACAAACCAGAATATCAATAGGCTAAGATGTTAAATAAACACAATCTAATGAATATTCACAATGGCTTGAGAAATCTGCTTTAGCTTTTAAATGAAACAGAAGCTCCTTATTGGTTGTTTAGAGTAAACCAGCTGGCAAATAAACAAGCTGAACAAAAGTTTGTATTAAGCCAGATGTTTGTTTTGTGTCTATTATTTGCAAGGAGCAATTGTTTATGAATGCGTATTGGTTTCTGCATTCATGAGGTCATAGGTTAATGATGTAACTTGATCTAGTAGTGCTTAAATATTGATATCTGTTGGATGGCTCTTTACTTATTATTTTATTACTTTACTTTGTAATGGCTTCATCTGTGGTCTAAAAGCTGCAAGCTGTTCACAATATTTTCCAGCTGTTTCCATTTTCCAACCCTCGTTTGAAGTTTTTGTGTTGTGTGTGCGCGTGCGCGTGTGCGTGTGTGTGTGTGTGTGCGTGCGTGCGTGCGTGCGTGTGTATACACAATAAGTATTCTAGGTTAGGCATTAGACTATAACTGTTTTCAAGGTATACCGAGGTCTGGAAAAGTCAAGGTTTTAAAACTGCCAAAATTTTCTGCTTTACCGTACCATATTTTATATAAGATTTTTTATTTCCTTTTTTAACCCTTTTTTTTTGCCCTTTTAAATTGTACAGAAATTTGTGTTTTTGAAACAAATGAAGACAGCAGAAGTCAATGATTTATTTGAATTAATGTTCATTTAATCATTGTTGATTGTTCTTATAAATATTATCAATATTTCTCAAAATAAATTATTATCTTCAATAGGAAAAAATTGTTGTTTTTTACACAGACATTTAAAAGAATGTATTCTAGAGCAGTGAGCACAATACCGTCAAACCATAAAAACTTTGATATTTTCCAAGGCTACCATATCTTCAGAATCTTATATGGGCCTATGCCTAGTCTAGGTATGTTTAATATA